TCCAAGGGATAGTTGAGCAAGAGGAGGTTGAAGCACAAATAAGGGAGCAGATGCCAAGGGCTCCAAAGCGTGCTAGTCGGTGTAGCAAGTGTGGTTCCTTTGCTCACACCTTCAAACACTGTACAGTAGATTGAATAGTATTGTTATATAACACATTTAAGTCTCAAAGCAATCTATTAAGTATTGGTTGAGATAATCAGTGTTAAAGGTGGTAGACACGTAATTCGTGGACCACGCCGTGGGGTGGACCGCGCTCTGGTGTTTGACGTTAGGTCAATTGTAAGCGTTAGATAATCCAAAGCGGGCAGTGACACACCCGCTCCAGAGCCATCGTCAAGGCCCAGAACTTTTCCTAAGCGATCTGATGACTGTTACAAAATGTAGCTCCGGAGCTCAGAACCCGCGGCTTTCTCCACGTGCTTCATCACAGTGGATGACCTTCGCTCGCCACAAGTTAAGTCGCGATAAGAGCTCGGCTCAGTTCTGTAAACAAATGTGCTATGCATGCTATGAGCATATCTGATATCACAATCCTTTGACCCGCACAGAGAACAATTTGAAGTGATGACTGCTGTGCTGCACCGACGATAGCTTTTGCGCGTCCTGAAATAATCGTTGTCTACCTGGACACTTCTTCGCAGGCTATGAGCAGGACCTGTTCACCAAGAACATTGACTGGTGAGACCAGAAGGTGAACTTCTCATTTGCTCGCTATTGCTACGATCGGTTTGTATTGTCTACATCCTGCGATCAGGACACGAACAACCCAACTCACCTGTGACAACATGGCTTCTTCAGCAAATGCAGCGCCCGAGGGCATCTTCACCCCACTGGACACAGATCTTTACAAGCTGACGATGCAATGTGCCGTTCTCAAGTTCTTCCCGAACGTCAAAGTTATCTACTCGTTCACTAATCGGACTGAGGAGAAAAAGCTGACTCGAGCTGCCTTCAATTGGCTGCAAGAGCAAATCTCCAGGCTTGCCAACCTGCAAGTTACTGACGAGGAGATTGACTGGCTACAAAAGACATGTCCCTATCTTGGCAGCACGTATCTTGACTATCTGCGCTCATTCCGCTTCAAGCCGGCCGAGCATATCGTTGCCACTTTCGCGCCTGAAAACGTCACGGATACCACGGATGACTCCGCTCTCGGCCAGGTCAATCTATCCATTGAAGGTCTCTGGCTTGAAACCATTCTTTACGAGATCCCGCTTCTTGCATTGACGTCTGAGGCCTACTTCAAATTCGTCGACCAGGAATGGTCACATGCCGGTCAAGTCGCGAACGCGAAACGGAAATGCGCTCAATTGATCGAGAATGGTTGCACGTTTAGCGAATTTGGTAGTCGCCGTCGCAGAGACTACGCCACCCAAGACATGGTGATGACAGGTATCATGCAAGCAGTCGCGGACGCAGACAAGGCTCCACCGGTCGACGAAAAATTGCCTGGTCGCAGCTTCTCCCAAGGCAAGTTCTCGGGCACCTCAAACGTGCACTTCGCTATGAAATATGGCTGTGCACCCATCGGTACCGTTGCGCATGAATGGACAATGGGAATAGCGGCCTTGAACGACGACCCTGCCGGCGCCAACGAACTCGCATTACAGTATTGGGTGCGGACGTTCGGTCGAGGCGTGCTGGCCATTGCATTGACCGATACGTTCGGCACGGAGACCTTCCTCAGATCATTCGTTAAACCGGCTGCGTACGGAGACGATGAGGTTGCTACAAACAGGTCAACCACTAGCGACCGCGCTACTTATGCCGATGTGTTCACTGGCGTACGGCAAGACAGTGGTGATCCGCTGGACTTCTTGAGTCGCATGAAGGACTTTTACATATCACAAGGCATATTATCTCCAGGGTCGCTCAATGCGCCACGAAAGACTATTGTATACAGTGATAGCTTGAACACGCAAAAATGCATCAAATACGCACGAGCGACCGAGGAAGCAGGTCTGACTCCTTCCTTTGGAGTAGGGACTTTCTTCACCAACGACTTTGTTCGGCAACCTGCCGCAACAGCAGGTGGGAATGCAGCACAGAAAGACATCAACGAGGGAGCGAGGGAGGGTCACCAGGCCGACGGAGAGAAGAGTTCGCCTTTGAACATTGTCATCAAACTTCGAGAGGTGGAAGGCCGATCCGCGGTCAAATTGAGTGACGACATTGGCAAGAATATGGGCGATGAAGACGCTGTTTTTCGCTACAAAAGTGCTGTAGGCTACCGCGATCATTCCTGGGAAGGCGCGGATGAGCGCAATCGATGGACTTGAGTCTCTCGAACGATGGCAATGGCTGGCAATCACTACGAAAATATGAGAACATGAACGGCAGAATTTTGATGGCGCGCAAGCTCAACGATATCCAGGCGAGGGCTTCAATATATGAGAAGAGGGCACAGAATGTAAAGATGAATGATGGGATTACTCAGCAGCAGCGCTGGATGAATCGGAAGTATATGATGCTAAAAATTGTCGTTTTATCAGCGACGAGATGTTGACCTTGCGGACAATCGCGTGTTCTGAGCCCTCATGTGCGATGCCTTTCGTCGGCACGCGAGATGCTGTGACATGCACCATTTTGAGAAATGGTGGCTCTGTTTCTCTATCCGATTCTGAGCGAGGATCAATCACGGAGGCGATGCATTCTGCATCCGCCAGCAGGCACACATTGAGATCATAGCCCGGCTCCAGCTCGTCCTCGGTTTTGATCATGGCAAAAGTACTAATTGCCAACATGTCAGCGCATCTGCTGCGTTAGTCGCGAAGGAGGTCAAATTTAGCCACGACAGACCTTGCCACACCAACAGCGCCCACCCCATCTGTTATCTCATCCTCCACGATGATCATGTCAAACTTGTCCTTGATGCGGTGCAGACCAGTAGATTCGGCGGCAGATGTGACTTCTTGGTATAAAATGACCTCATACTCGTTCACGAATCTCTCCCATCGGCCCTCATCCTCGTAGTCTACACGGAACATGTAAAATCCAAATTTCTCGAGCTTCTTGTTTTCAACTAACGTCACAAGAGCATGCTCTGCCGCCACAGGCGCTTTTGCAGTCATGGCGAATATTCGGGCTCAGCTGGCCAGTAGCGTCTTCGGGGAAAAGAGAAGCAAGCTTTTGGACAAGCGGCAAGTCTGTTGAGCTTGAAGAAATCGAAGTTTGTGAAGATGGCGGAAACTGGTGGTATAAATTATGTTGGAGTTGTCCCAACCAACTACAACTTCTTACATCCTCCAAAGTCCTTGGGTAGCACTTTTTACACTCATTTCGACCCTAATAGGTGGGTCTCCTTCTGCACCCTCCACGGGGGGCTTTATTTCTGCTGTGCTGTCGACCTGTGGACGTTTTCGAGGAGATGAAATTCAACACGCAACGACAAGTCATTTTTGGAACTATCGCATTCAACAAAAGTTGGGCCTAGCTGGGCATGAACAAGACACTGTCGGCTCAATCGTGGGTAAATGAGACCCGGCATCTTGATTTGCAGGAGGTGTTGGGTGGTGCACAAGTGTGAGCCGTGAGTTGGAGGGTCCGCGGTGATAGAATTAGACTCCGTGCTCGTTTTCCGCAATGATGATTGCTCCCGGCTTTGCGCCATTTCCACCGACGTCCGAATGTCCGCGGGAGATAGTAAAGGTGCATTCCCTCCTGCCTGATAAAACTCCGTCCAAACAACCTCGAATGTAAAGTCAAATGCGCCCAAGATGACCTTTCAAGCTTTCTTCCGTCAGTTCTCTTCAATATCGCGCGCCGTCAGTTCGTCCCTTCTGAATCGAGGACCCGCAGTCCGACGTCCGCCCTTCAATTCGAGCTCGCGTGCTTCTGTTCGATACTCGTCCGCAATGGCAGCGGGGAGCCTCCGCCCATCAGCATTCCTCTCCGCCATTCAATCGCATGACCCCGATAGCATCGCGGTAGTGCACTCAATCTCCGGGAGGCAGTTCACATATGGCGCGTTGCTACACGACATCGTGGCTGCGAAGCAGAAGGTTTTGTCCGCCATTGGTAGGAAAGAGAACGAACTTGCTGGGGAACGCGTAGCTTTCTTGGTCGAGAATAGCTATGATTATGTAGGTATGAAACATCACTACCAATGCGCAATACCTAAGAGATGGTGCTGACGTCAAACCTTCGCCCAGTCACACTCTTGATGCTCATGGCATCCGATGCGATCGCTGTTCCTTTGGCGCCTGCGTTTCCTGCGGAAGAGATGCGATACCAGATCAACCAAAGTGGAGCACTGGCATTATTGTACTCTGACAAGTTTGCCAAAATCGGGGCTGCTGTGCTACAACAAGGATTGGACAACAATCCCACAGGCGTGAAACTGGACAAACTCATGCCTCGCGAAACGCAACCGGCAGAGCAGATCAAATTTCTGTCATCAAGCGAGGAGGCTTTGGGTGGCATGATGCTCTACACTTCTGGCACGACTGCGAAGCCGAAAGGCGTCCTTCTTCCACAATCAGCACTCGAGGCGCAAAGTAAGAGCTTGGCGGAGGCCTGGAATTATTCGCCCAAGGATCGCTTATTGCACGTTCTTCCGCTACATCACATCCACGGTACTGTCAATGCGCTCTTGACACCTTTGCTTGCTGGCAGCACGATCGAGTTCATGTTTCCTTTCAATGTCGACAAAGTCTGGAGCCGACTGTCGACGCCCTTCCTCCCTTCCTCACCAGAGCAGCAGCAGCAGCATCAGCAGCAACCGATTACATTCTTTACCGTTGTACCAACCATCTGGTCGCGAATGCTCCAGACGGCCGACAAGCTGCCCGAGGAGTCCCGCAAGGCGGCTTTTGAGGCTATCCAACGCAAGCATCTTCGACTCAATATCTCCGGCTCGGCCGCACTACCAACACCGACAAAGGCCGCTTGGACTGAGCTGAGCCAAGGCAATATTCTACTTGAGCGATATGGCATGACGGAGGTTGGCATGGCACTTTCCTGCGGTCTCTCCGATAGCGATCGGGTGGATGGCTCAGTCGGCTGGCCGCTTCCTTCAGTACAGGCTCGTTTGGTCAACACAGACACGGGTGATATAATCCCGGAAACTTCCCTCGGCGAAGAGCATGCCGGAGAGATTCAACTGCACGGGCCTACGATCTTCAAAGAATATTTCCAGAATCCCGAGGCTACGAAGAAGGAATTCACCGAAGACGGGTGGTTCAAGACAGGCGATATCGCGTTTCGCCAGAATGTTGATGGTGCAGGAAGCGGAGCGAGCGGCGCATGGGCCACAGGTCCAGCTTGGTTCATCCAAGGTCGCAAATCTGCGGACATCATCAAGACGGGTGGAGAGAAGATTTCCGCACTCGAGATCGAACGACAGCTCCTCTCTTTGCCAGAGGTCAGCGAGTGTGCTGTCGTCGGCCTACCGTCCGAAGCCTGGGGACAAAAGGCCGCTGCGATTGTTGTGCTTACAGAGCAGGGCAAGACAGCCGGCAAGGGTGGCAAGCAATGGAGTGCTCTCGACATGCGTCGCGCGTTGAAAGAGAGGCTTGCGGCTTACAAGATTCCTCAAGATATGGAAGTTGTGCAGGAACTGCCGCGAAATGCCATGGGCAAGATCAACAAGAAAGACCTGATCAGCAAGGTCTTTGGAGATCCGACCAAGATTCGAAGAAGGAGTATCGAAGTGAAGGAGCAGAGAGAAGCAGCCAAGAACCAGTCTGGCGCGCAGTCATAAATGTAGACAGGACAGACACCTGTCATGACAACAATAACGTTTTAAATGCTTCTTTTTCGTTCAATTTTTGATATCATCCAAGCGACTCGAACATCTTTGTTCAGGATAGCATAGTCTTGGGAATCTCTGAGGCATCCGCCAGATTTTGTCATTAGTGACGTCGAATAGGTACACATCATTTATTATCACTCGAATTCTTCAAGCAGGCTGCGACGTTGTTGACTTCCTTCTGCGAACTCGTACAAGCCTACCTGGCGCGGAGCTGAAGGACAAGACTATGAATCTTGTGAAATGAGTCACGATCGTGCCATCAAGGCAACCTGTATTTCTCGCTTAAATTCGATCTCCATAAATTCAAGGCAGTTCTCCCGCGCAGCTCGAGCGCTGGTTCAGGGCATCATTTACACCATGCAGACCCCTCTGCTTTCTGCGCCCACTGCGGCCAACTACTCTTCAGACCGCCTGACCATCGGCGCTGGAGTCGCCATATTTCATGTACGCACCGAGCGAGTCGTCGTCTGCTACCACACACTCGAGAAGTACTGGTTTCTGCCCAAGGGACGCAAGAATGCGAATGAGAGCATCACAACCGCCGCCGAGCGCGAGGGTTTCGAGGAGACTGGGTACCGCAATCGGCTGTTGCCGATACCCATCATCCACAAGCAGACTGATCCCGACGCCGGACACGAGCCGTTCGTAACTGAAGCCGTATGGGTCCAACTGCTCCCTTTGTCTGCGATCAAGCAGTATCTGCTGTTCTGGTACATAGCGGAAACAGTCCCGCAGGATGTAGAGCTGTCGTATGATCGAGAGGTCGGTCAAGACAGCCAGACCGCGCTCCCATCGCGAGTCTACGTCCCACCCCCGCCCTTCCCGAAGAGACAAACATTGCAACGACGGATCGACGAAGATACCCTGATTGCTGAGGATGGCACGCGCAAGACGTATGAGCCCAAATGGCACGAGGGAACTGGCGTCAATGAAGACGAATCATACTATCGCAGCTTTCTGCTGACGGTCGACGACGCGTGCAAGAAGCTGGGTCGAGGAGTCATGCGGGATGTGGTTCGTAAGGGTTGGGAGGCCATTCAACTGCGACAGACGGAGGAGTCAGGCAGCGAAATTACAAGTCCATGACACTGGCGTGAATGAAGGGAATCATCTCTTGCAGATGATAGTGGTCCGCCACCACCTGACAGAGTTCCGTTGTGAGACTTAAGATGTCTTCATTGAAGCGAGATAAGAGACACGACAAACGGATATGCCGCGATGAACAACGTATTTGTCGCTGCTATATTCACTGAACTCCATATTTCAAATGCTCTCATGCGGAAGATTGGAGATGGGATCGCTAGGGTTATAGGTTTGCACTGTTGTCAAGCCCAGATGTATGCAACCATGCCGAGGTCGACCCTGAAAAGTTATGCTATTCCTATGCATGATCTCATCACTACAGGAGATCCGTGAATGTTCAAGTGTTGAGGGCACGGAGTAACAGTATATACCTCTTACTGAGAACACTTGTTACTGCATCGCAACTGAACCTACATCGACCTTCTGCTTTTCACAATCGAACCCATTCATACCATCGCCCGTCATGTCAAGTTACGCCTCTCTCACCGACCCCAAGGCCTACCACATTCTTGCGTATGGCACTCTGCTTGGAAGCACGATGTTCCAGACATTCATTGCCGGACCGGTGGCGTTCAAAGCGCTTCCTAGACCATCCTTTAGCAGTCTGCAATCAGCGATTTTCCCCGTGTTCTTCTCGATCCAGTCCGTACTGCCTGTCGTGTTGGCATTAACCTGGCCCGGAAAGAAGGTCCTCGAGACTGCTGGCGGTCTTGCGGTGCGAGAGGGTGCAGGGCTAAAGGGGCTCTTGCAGAATGATAACTTCTGGACGGGACTGATCCCTGTGGCGATTATGTTCGGTACGGCCTTCATCAATTTGACCGTGTTCGGACCCACCACAATGAAGGTCATGAAGGAAAGGAAACACCAAGGTAAGCCCGAATTCTTGTGATCCTGAGACAACAATGGGTCGGGGCCCTGCGAACCCCAACGAGGTCTACGTGGGTAAAAGAGCTTGAGGTAATGATGCTAATATGTGAATCGTAGAAACGAAAGACGGCAAGAGATACTATGAGGCGGGCCCCAAATCACCTGAAATGCAACGATTGAACAAGAAGTTTGCTACATTGCACGGTATCTCATCTTTGAGCGACCTCGTGGGACTTTTCGCCATGATCTACTACGGATTTGTCATTGCCGAGCAGATCTAGATATAGACATTGGAAGGAGGTAGAACGCGCCACTGCGCGATGTAAATCACCATCATGAAAGCACAATTCTTAGGTATTGATGTGCTTCAGAAACGTCGGGCTTAGTCATTGCACGGACGCATTTGAACTCGTTTGCCAAACATCCTCTTCTGCAATCACTGCATGCGAAGATGAAGGTCGAGTGTCGTCAAGTACCATCGTATTGGAAAACATAAACGAAGCGATAGTGATAGTTGAGATAGACTACCTAAGTATCATCAGTCCTGTATTGTATTGACGTCCCCAAGATCAATGACGTATGCAGAGCATGTGGAATACATCTCCACGTCTTCCCCACAGCCCAGGCAGCCACGCGAGACGGGCCAGGTCGCGCGCATTGCTATCTCCAGCGTGACTATCGGCGTGTGTCAGCTGGCGGGCACAGAGAGCTCGCGTCTTCCACGGGTAGTGGCTGGTACGTGAAGCCGGTACACTCAGGTGCTCAGAATCGCCATCCTCATCACCATAGCTCGTCTCTCTCCATCTTCGTTATTCATACTCGGTTGAGATCTGAGACAAGCGACCTTCGGATTTCGTCTTCCGGTCTCCGTCTCCGCTTCAGCTGTGGTCATCTCTGTCTCGCTCGCTCCCTCATGAGCTTCTGAACTTGGCGCATGAGTTGATTCCGATCCAACTCAGCCAGCTTGCTGCCCGATTAGATCGATAGTCATACTAATATGATGCTCGCTAGCACACTTGTGCTGCCACTGGCGGCACTGTTGTCCATGACAGGAACCACATTTGCTGCACACCAGACGAACCAATACTACACAACGAATGACGCCTTACTGCAACAGAATCCCTTCCTGACCTTCAACGATCGCCCGGCCGACTGTCCACCTTGCTTCAACTGCAATCTCGGCGACTTCGTATGTCATCAATTCGCCAACTGCACACAAAGCAGCGGCAAATGTGCTTGTCTAGCAGGCTTCGGAGGAGAAGATTGCAGCGAACCACTCTGTGGCTCTCTTGCAGGTGGCAAGGATCGGCCGCTCCGCAATAAAGATGCGCCCTGCGACTGTGAGGAAGGATGGGAGGGGATAAACTGCAATGTGTGCAAGACGGACGATGCATGCGCGGCTCTTATGCCAGGCGATCATTCGGGAGGCGTCTGTTTTCGCGAGGGTGTCGTGGTCAAGGAAAATTACCAAATTTGCGATATCACAAACCGCAAAATCATCGATCAATTAAAGGATCAAAAGCCACAGGCGACCTTTGGTTGCAATGCAGAAAGAGCCGAGTGTAATTTCCAATTTTGGGTGGACCAAAGGGAAAGCTTCTATTGCGCGCTGGATCACTGCGAATGGGGTTTCGAAGCTACGGAGACACAGAACAAGACAAAGTACCACTGCGGAGAAGTCAAGTGTCGGTGTATCCCAGGCCGCATGCTCTGCGGTGCCGATGGAAGCATCGACATCAGTGAATTCTTGACAGAAGAGATCAAAGGCCCAGCCGATTTCACCAGCATCAAGACTGCTGGCGGATCTAAAGACGATGGCAGCATCTTCTCGGAACCCGCGATGAATGACCTTATTTCAAGCGTCTTCGGTGACCGGAGCATCTTTCTGTCATGTCATAGCGGCGAATGCCTTTACAAGACCGAAGTCCCTGGCTATGAGCGACCCGTCAAGACCATCAACACACCACTAATCGCCGCTGTCATTGCAGGATGTGCACTGTTCGTTGTCGGAGTGATCCTGGCAATTTACTTCATTGCTCGACGCAATGCGAAGAATAAGTGGGGGCCGATCCATCTAAGTGATGACGAAGAGGAAGAAAGCGCAAGACTACTGGCAGACCACAAACCCGCAGCGCTATTCTTCGAAAACATAGCGTACAGTCTCAAAGGAAAGCAAATCTTGTCCAACATCTCTGGCTCTGTGCACCCTGGCGAGATCTTGGCCATTATGGGAGCATCTGGCGCTGGCAAAACGTCGTTCCTTGACATCCTTGCGCGGAAGAAGAAGCGCGGAGCTGTCACAGGAAGCTTTTGGCTCAATGGTGAAAAGGTGTCCGATGCCGACTTCCGCAGTGTGACCGGATTCGTGGATCAAGATGACACTATGCTGCCGACCTTGACCGTCCACGAGACGATCCTAGACTCTGCCCTTCTTCGGCTGCCGAAGCAAATGAGTCAAGCAGCCAAGGAGCAGAAGGTCGAGGATGTAGAACGACAACTGGGCATCTATCATATCCGCCACCAGATCATTGGCTCAGAAGAGGGCAACGGTCGAGGCATCTCCGGCGGTGAAAAACGTCGTGTCGGAATCGCCTGTGAGCTCGTCACAAGCCCAAGTATTCTTTTCTTGGACGAGCCGACGTCAGGCCTCGATGCTTTCAATGCCTACAACGTTGTGGAATGCCTTGTAACATTGGCCAAGACCTACAACAGAACCGTCGTATTCACCATTCACCAACCTCGTTCAAACATTGTTGCGCTCTTCGATCAACTTATCCTGCTTGCTCAGGGACGGACAGTGTACAGCGGACCGTTCAAAGACTGCCAGAACTATTTCGATAACATCGGTTACTCGTGTCCACCTGGGTTTAACATTGCCGATTATCTGGTTGATCTGACGATGCACGCGAGCGCGAACTCGGACGAATTGGGCTATGATGACACTGGCCTGCTGGGATCCGATATCGACGGACAAGCAACTCGCGCGAGTAGTACCATTGCTGTCAAGAGCATTCCAAGCATCAGTAATGTCAGTATGGAAGGATCTATAGGCTCGACTGCGGGCGACAGCTCCCACAAGCCTCGAAACACAAGAAAGACCAGCATTAGACAGCAGCAGGAAAGACAACTCTTCACGCGGCGACCGACCCAAGACAATGGAACGGCAAGCATTCGTAGCGAAGGCGATAGTCTCTACGAACGTGATACCCTCGAGAATCGTAGACAATGGCTGAAGCTCTCCAAGCAGCAAGGTCAGCCGTCTGCTCAGATCGTCGACGATTCTCATAACCTGCCCCCTTCTGCAGACGGTACGGACGCCCTGAGTACCCTAGTATCCGCTTATCTTGGCTCCGATGTTGCCTTGAGTCTTCATGCCAGCATCCGTCATGCTATTAGCACTGCGTCGGAGAGCAATGGACATGCGAATGGCGCACCAAACGGATCTATCACTGCCAGAGTAAGAGGGTATCAAAAGCCTGGTATCGCACGACAGTTCTACATCCTTTCTGTCCGAACATGGCGAAACCTCTACCGCAACCCTCAGCTCATGCTCACCCACTACGCCATTGCCATTGTTCTGGCGGTGTTCCTCGGATTCTGCTTCTACGGTATGACTGATGAGCTCAGCGGATTCCAGAATCGTCTCGGATTCTTCTTCTTCCTTCTCTCGCTCTTTGGCTTCAGCACATTGACGTCCTTGACTGTCTTTGCACCTGAACGTCTCCTATTTGTCCGTGAACGCGCCAAAGGCTACTATGCACCTATCTCATACTTCCTTTCGAAAATTATTTTCGATATCGTGCCCTTGCGCATCATTGCGCCGACGATCATGGGATGTATCGTCTACCCGATGACGGGCCTCCTGGCGAGCTGGCCGGAATTCTTCAAGTTCCTGCTGTTCATTGTGCTTTTCAACCTCGCCGCGGCTTTGATCTTGCTCTTCATTGGCATCTGTGTCAAGAACCAGGGCGTGGCAAACTTGCTTGGTGTTTTGGTCATGCTGTTCAGCCTGCTCTTTGGAGGATTCTTGCTCAACCATGAGACCATTCCAGGCCCGGTCAGGTGGTTGCAATACGTAAGTCTGGATCTTTCTCATGCGTTTCTCATACCTATGCATGGTGTCTTTCTCATTACTGACTTGTGTTCTCCTACAGCTCTCGATCTATCACTACGGCTTCGAAGGCCTCGCTGTCAACGAGGTCCGCTATCTGTCTCTGCACGATCATAAGTATGGTCTCGATATCGAAGTGCCGGGATCTGCCATTCTATCCAGCTTTGGGTTCAATGTGCTTGCATTGTGGCAGGACGTCATTGGTCTGGCGATCGTTTCGGGAGTCTTCCTTGTTCTTGGTTATGCTGCCATTCACATCTTGTTGATCGAGAAGAGGTAGAGCGCTCGATGCATCGATTACAAGTAATTTCTATAGAATCTAAAGATTTACCTACACTTTCACTTTGCTCGTATTTCTCGCTGACGATGCAGTGGGCATGCCCGAGTCTGCAGCTCTGTTTCACTGCCATGTCGATCTCATTACCCCCGGATGGGCCTTGTGTCCCACAACCCAACGTGATCATTACCCGCTAGTGACGGCGACCCAATATAGCAGCCTTGACGATCGGAGACAATCCGGCGCAGCGATGATCTGCACACAATGTTTTTTCTTCGTACGGCTTTCGCGAAGTTCGGCTCTTCCTGCTCGATTAGGAACCACACTTCGCCTGTCCCGATTGCAGATCAGAGGGCCGCACTTCCAGACAGGCGCTCAACCAAGTTGGTGCGATGCGACAGAGTGGGTCCATCGAAGGGAAAGCGCTCAGAATTGTCTGGATAACGGCACGGGTTGAGGCGTACGCACATGCGGCACAGCAGCAGCGAGGGAAAAACTTGGTCCTTACTGTGCCGCTGTGCACAGCATCACGACGACACCCGCATCACGCTTACGAGCAAATTGTCCCGTCAAAAGCCAATCGCATGGCATGTATTTCTGTTTTGCTCCGTTTTTCTTGAAGACTTGAAACATCGGCCCATGCGGTTTGCATGTGTGATGGGCGATCCTCTCGAGTATGTGGGTGCGCACTCATCTCATAGGCTGCCGAGGCCGCTGCCTCGTCGATCTGGTGTGTGTGCGAACAGTTGGTCCATGGTCGTGCCGCTCTTATGTTTCTCACGACTCATGTACCAAAAATGGCTCGAAAAACTCGCGATCGTTTTCGATTGGCGTACGGTTACAAGCTTGCTTTGGGGGATCCTTCCCTGGCGGCTCGAGAGAGCAGGACTCTCCTGTTAGCGGAGCTGCTCTGCTTGTCTACTTGGGCTCTGAAGCTCGTGTCTGCATTGAAATCTCGCCTGATTGGTGATGTTTGAATAGGATCTCACGCGTTTCTGCTGATATAGATATCGAGTTTTCTACTGATTCGTGTCTGGTAACAGCAACAAGCTATGCTCAGTGGTAATCGAGGTGCAAAGTCATATCAAGAACGTTTGTCTCGCTTGTCAGAGATCCCATAATGCACCTCCTAAGTTGATTTCGGCTCTAGACAAGGGATATTCATCACACCTAGTCATCAAGCATTCAGGCAGGCTCGCTTCTACGCTCGGCTTGTCATCAATTATGGTCCTTACATGCGCAGAGAAGGGGACGGTCTTAACAACCGATGTGCCTCAACAACGGCAGCTGAGGTGATGTGTGCCTCACAAGCCCGCAGGCGCAATAGCCTATCGCTGCGCCGCGACTTCACAGCCTGTGTACTGCGCAATTCCGGCGCACCCAATAGACAACAATCACTTTTGGATGCATGAGCGGAACAGCTATGCGGACGAGTGTATCAGCCACTCTCCTCATGCTGTCCTGGCACGGCCGATACGCATCATTGGGAGATAAGGCACGCTGCGAATCAAATTCTTTCTCGTCTCATTGCAGCACGATAGGATGCAGCATGTGTGTGCTGATTTCCACGAGCAAATGGTGGCGTGCAAGATCCACAACGTCCAAGGTGCATGCCCACGTTCTCGACCAATTCTAGCTCCGCAGATCGTCTCTGATCGCGAAGCCCAATGCCATGAGTGTATACCTCAAGGTCTGGCCAACAACTGTGATTGGGTCTCTGAGGTTCACGTATGACTTGCTGTTCTGCACTGCTTCGCCTGATCGCAGATTCTACCGTTGGCCGGAGATGCACAAAGATGCATTTGATTGTAATCCAACAGAACGCAACCCTGACTTTGAATCGCCTGACAGTCATGATCCATGTAGAGCATATCCTCCACCAAACAGGAAATGTGATGTTTTCCGCTTCCGCTTGCGCATGGCAACTGTGTCAACATGGGTCCAAGCACAGCAGCCCATGGCCTCGCAGGCTTCCACATATGACGCAGAAGCAGTGTTCACTGGAATGCCTGTTGGTAAAGCCATGCCGCCGCCACGTTTATCCGTCAGCACTCGATCGGGTGTAGCCACGCGACGGAAAGCCAAGGGTGGTCGCGATAGCGGGCGGACATCGATTCTCAGAGCGCGCACCGTTCCAGGACATTCCGTCTTTAGATGCCAGTTGTTCAAGCAAGGTCGCTACGTACAATCGCGCCGAGCAGATGGAGATGGGATATTGATCATGTTAGCCAGTGACGGGCGTGGCACCTTCACTTCCGAAAATAGTGCCGGAAGGTGACATGAGGATGTCGCGTGGGCAGACGAGCTGCAACGGAGAAGACTTCCAGAAGAGGTGCTGCAGCGTCCGTGGCCATCCGGAACGACACACAAGGTGTCATCCCGATGGATTGGTCATGACCGCTGCTCTCCGGGAAAAGTCTTGGTCTGCGAATCTGCAGGTGGTAAGAAGCTGTTGCCGAGTATCTAGCGTAGCAGGGAGCACGCCCGATGGCTTGTGTGATAGGGAGACAGGCGGAGTGCCAGAGTCGGTGACTACAGGGACGGAGATCTGGATTGGCGAGCGAGGAGAAAATAGGCTGGTTTGCGGCGTCATTCTGCCTGGCGGGAGAACGACGGAAACAGTCTAGAACTTCACGTGTGCGCCGCGTGAACGAGGGCTTCGTTTCCGTGTCGCCGGGGTAAATTTGCGCTTACCGTTTTCTGGTCTGCTCGCTGTTTAGTGGAAAGATGGTCCCTCATGATTGTCACCCGCTGGTGCCCTTTCGCGGTGTGTTAGTCCCTAGGCAGATCCTGGGCATGATCCTGCCGTCGACAGGGTTCTCTGTGGCGAGCTTGCAGGCGAATGAAGGATCTGAACACCCATACCCTCGTGGCAAGGAGCAGCGAGTGTAGCAAGTTGCGCAAACTCGTGTCAAAAATGACTGTAAATACGGCACGAATGTGAATGGTTCCGCCTCGAACGACCATAGCAGCGAGCTTGGCTCTGCACAGCAGCATGAAAGTCGCGTGGGAAGTACCGGCGGAGGCCTTGTGCAGGTGCATGCAGGAATCCATGATGCTGGCATGTCACTCATGCCCATGAGAGGACTCCTGTGTGTCTCCTGAGTGTGATGTGGCTGGGAGTGGTCTCCCGATGCCTCTCAATGTCCCATTTGTTACATCAGGTCGACTACGAGAACGTGTTCGGCGAGCTGTAGTACTGCGTGAAGGGACAGAATGGGCAAGTCCCGCTTGCGACGCGGAACGCGCAAATTCTTCCGAGTTCGCATCGTGAGAATTCGCGATACATGCTCCCGGCATAACCCAGCAGTGATCGATGGACACTGATCACTTCTCTGTCACTGCGCAACAGGATTCATTGTGAGCAAGGGCAGATTCATGCTTTCGAGGATCGCTCAATAGTCGGCGCCCCGTGGATTTGGCGGGTCAGGCGAGGTTCGCATGGTGGTGTGTGTTGCGTCGGCGCAAAAGCCAAAAGCCAGTATTTCGACAGCCACAGGCGCCTCTACGAGTGGCACGACAAATACACTGACATGCCAATCATTCTCCTGTTTGCCCGCTGTGTAATGCGAGTCGTTGTCGGACAAAGTAGAAGAATTACTTCGTCGGAAAATCTCTAACACATCACATGCATGCACGCTGCTCTCATCATCGTTCGCATACGATGTATACGATAGATCTGATATGCGGCTCGGCGTGGTTTGTGTGCGGATGCCCCAGGTGCCTTCTCGAGCACGGCATAATCGACGCTTACGGCACCATGCGATTTCCCAATGGGGAAGTCAGATCTTGATCAGACGGTGTTTCGGGCTTTTTAACGGGCATCTCTAGACGGGACGAATTGCAGCTACGCGAGCTTGTCCTGAGCCGGGATTGGCGGGCCACGCAACGTGCGTGATGATAAATCAGGATCGACCATTTCCCGTCTGGTGTCTGACCACCAACACACAGTGGCGTATTGTACTGTATACGAACTCCTGCCTGCTCCAAGGACACCACCTTTTCCCGACTGGTGCACCTTTTGGGTTAGGGCTTGAAGACACTGCATGAACGATCCGCGCAACCTCGTGTGACCACATGATGAGAGATCGACAGCGATGACATCGACGGGGAAGAGCGAGAGGGGAAAGTGAAAAAAAAGCAAACCGAAAATCTGAAGAACCACGCATGAGTTTGTGTGTGACGTTGAACATGTCGTCGCACACTCGATAAACATTACGTCGGTATCAGACTGTGGGATTGAAGTGCCATATCATCTCTGAATACTACACACGAACCAAAAAGGCAGTTGAGTTACGACTATGGTGGAGCAATGTAGACGAGCGGACAGACAGCTTGCAATTGGAATGGTTATCGTCAACGGTAAATCTTGCTTGCAAGGTCCGACAGTAAGCTTTCGTGGTAGTCCAACCCGCTGATCGTTGGTGCAACGCGTTTACCATGAGATGATGGAAAGTCAAATCGGGACCATTGTGTCGATCTCATCTCGCCTACAGTTGTGTGCACGCCAATATAGAGCGGATCAAACGCTTTCACAAATGGAAAGTACACATATATCCTTCTGGAAGTCATCTCCGTTGTTGGCTGTGGGATTCTCGCTATGCTGCAGCGCCGAGTCGCTCGCGTCCTTGGAAATCCAAGGCTCCAAGCAGCTTCCACCGTCTGCACGCAGAAGGACCGTATGGGCGGGACGCAAGTGATGAGCCTAGCATCGAAGGCTAGACAATACCCCTGCTGCCACGAGTCCACTCTTCCGGTCGCAAGCGCGACGATCCCCTCCGCCAAGCATGCACTCATGCATAAGCGTACTCGTGGTAATGATGGCAGGGAGTGGTGTGTGGGTCGTCCGTGAGGTGCGCCAGACAATTTGGGGATCGATGATCTCGTCTTTCCGCTTCCACTGGACGTACTCTTTGGTTGGCAGATCGTATGCTGACATTCACGATCATCCCAACAGCGCTAACTGGTGCACCAATCGATCACAAGAGTTGGGCCAGGGCAGGATAGCTTTACTCTGTCACCTCCACCGCTCAGAGAATCACGTTGCCAATATTGCATCCTCTAACTTTCCACGAAGATCTTGTGATGCGACTAAAATAAGCAGAATGAGGGGTAGGGGAAAGTGAGGAAACCGTAATGATGGTCAAACGGATCGCAGGGGCCAAGCAGAAGCGTGATGGCATTGGGCGAAATCATGCACCTGCCCGAATACATGTACTGTCCGATAGCTCGCGCCCAGCAGTAAAAGCAGCGTCGATCCGGGCAGTAGGTCAGCATATGGCGGGAACGCGTCAGCCTCTTCCGTCTGACGGCGCTGCGGGCGAAGATTCGCGAGGGAGAAGAACGTTCTGGCTCTTTGATGGCGTGCCGGAGAAAAGCCGGGCGGCGGCCACAATTCGATAGGCGAGGTGATGAACCGCCGTCGTCCGTAGTCTCTGGACTGGATGAACGGCAGACGGGCTCACTTCCTATAGTATAAAAAAGAGATTTCGAGCGACACATTGGCGCGAGTCAGTCATGATGCGCGACGATCTTCTACAAGGGACCGTGAAAAGCCGTCAGCGAAAGACGGATTACCGGAGATTGATGAGCCCGACGGCACAGGCATGCGTTTCTATTTTCTTTTCACGGTTTCACTGTTCGTACATTACCCGCCATGTTCAGTTAGTCACCTGAATAGATCAGCACGATCCTCATCAGAACCAGATCGGCAGAGAGATCTGAGTAGAAGGTATAAGTTGATTCTGAAACTGGTAGCACACACTGAGGCGCCGCAATTTGTTGCGCCCAGTGGATCTGAGTTGAACAGAACAGTTTCGATGCGGACAGGCTTTTTGGGCACACGGTGAGATTGAGGCGCAGTTCTAGAGGTGCTCGCCGAATAATGATGGCACGCCCAGTGCCGCATCATTTGTGCATTGTCTGCAGGAGTCACTCTCCATGTTTCGTCGATCGGCTTTGATACGGCGGCGACGGCACAGCGTGGGAAGCCTGACTGTGTACTTGTGTACGGCAAAACTGTACAGAGATCCTGGGCGCCTGTGGATCATTCGCACGTCGTTACGCACATCATGAATTCGGAAGCAGATTTCGATCGTCGTAATCTTCGATCTGTCACCGCGAACGCGGCGTTCTGTCATTTACAGCATGATCGAAATATGTTGCAGCCGCCTCATGCGATGAGCAACAATGATACTATAGCGCCCTCGAATGGAACGTCTGGCAATTATGTTTATCGAGTGTCGCCGTTCACTCCGCGGGGCTCGATTCTGCCAAATATCATTACTACTGTAAACACCATAGTACTCGTGCTGCCCGCGACATGACGACCACACATCCATACCAAGCCGCCAGCCGAGTAGGAGACAGTGGCGAGCAGAGAGGCGTGAACGACGATACCCAATCCGAACATTTCGCCGAAGCTCGCACTTGTATATAAGTAGAACGATTCTAATCACGGTGACCACCGCTTGACGCCGAGAAGAATGGTGTGGAGGAGAGCGGTGGCCGTGTGTCGGACGTGTGTGGATGTGTGCAGATCGAATTTTTCGGTCAGTCGTTGCTTTTGCGCTCATCATCGGTGCGCCAATCCGTCATGCATCGACTGGCACGCGGCACGCCTGGCCCACGCCCTCGGTTTTGGTGTGAAACCAAGTTTAGTCCCCTGGTAACCGCCAATGCCCCCATCGTCAGCCAGCAGGAGGAGGCCCAGCCAGGCTTCCCTCTACCCTCTGCCACCCGGGCGATCCTTCTGTTGGAGACGATCATTATCGTCGTCATGATTATGATTATCGGCGGATGAGTGGTTGCGATAGAATTCGAGTTCCATGGATTGAGCTATCAGTGAACGTCATACTTGGTGAAAATTTATGACCAACAATAACAATAATGTCATTGTGGTGAAGTATAGCAATGCTCAGCATTGTGGCAGAAAGGGCGCAGTCCAGGCGGTTGGGCGCGATGGAGTCTCATCATGTGCTGCACTGTGCCATCTGGTGAGGCCTGGAGTGATGATGAGTACGCCCATATGCACTGAGGAAGCCATCATCATCTCACCCTGGAGCACATCATCGATGGACAGATTCCTCACCATCGTCAGCCATGTGCCACCGCCGCTCGCCTTGCCTTGTCGCTGAGTGGATATTTTTATGAATTCATTTGTTCTCATCACACACACAGACACACACCTATCTTATCACACTCCCGACGTAATGCCTAAATATGTACAAGCACAACAATCATCATTTCACAGATAATCACCCACCCGTGTATGCCTGCGGGCCTTCCATTCTCTCAATCACTTGCATTTCAGTCGATTTTGCACGACGCGGTGCCCGTCCGTCCGCCCCATCCGCCGTCGCCGCCGCCGTCGCCGCCAAACGCGCCCAAACGGTCAATAGCTGCACATCCTCGTGGCGGCACCCAACTTTTTGCTCTCCCAAGGTGGCTTGGGCCTACGGTATCGCCCATGGCATTTAGTCCGATCCATAGTTCCCTTCCAAGGTTATTATGTTTTATAATAATGGTAATACGGGAGGGGGCCGTACTGTTTCGATGCCTCCTGTCCGTCCACACCCACACGCCCATTTTCCCGCTCGCATGCAGTACAATCATCACGCATCCTGTACATGGCGGCGAGCACACACACATGGTGTGACACACGTACCCTCCGGCTTCCCTGCCCTAGGCGATCTTCCTCCCTGCACACTGCGCGTTGCCACGCAACCCTCCTAGAAGTGATGCCAAAATGAACGAGTCCCACCAAACCACCACCACCACCATCATTACCACCAACTAGACCGTACTGCCAATCATGTAACTATCCACCTGCTCATCGCTCCGAAGTTTGTTACGTATATTGACCCTCGTTCCCCCGCAACCGGTAGAAAGGCCCAGTACTCTAGAAGAAAATCTTATTGTAGAATTCTACTACTGTATAGCAATCCTCATTCTCGCTTCGGTTTTGAGGAAGAGAACGACGCCTAGTCTCATTTGACCCTTCCACTCTAGCTTCCTTCCTTCTCTTCATTCGTCCCTCTTGGCCTGCACCCTTGGAAGTCGATCGACAAGCAACCTCTCATCGTCCTATCCTTATAACTCAGCCATCCAACGACACATCGAATATCGTCAACTCGTGCGCTTCCAAACTACATACCAACAGAACTGGTCTATCGACCCGTCCCAGCTCCTACTTGATTGACACGTCTTCGATTGGCTTCTTCGACAAAGCCTGTTCAACAACTACGCTGCCACAGTCGTGACTCCGCCGACAATTTTACCACAGCTTTCCGCCTCGAACTCGGTTGATATTCGAGCCGACAAATCCATAATGGCAGCTGCTGGCGTTCTGCTGCTCTCTGGCGGCGAACATTTCCGCAGCCATCCATATTCGCCGACGACAATGTACTCCTCTCGCTCTTACGCACCACCAGCTAGCGTGACAGGCTCGATCGATCAATACTCGCACGCCACGTCTCGACCAAACAGCTCACACTCGTCGATGTCATTACCATCCCGCGAGCGAGAGATTCCTTATCCTCATACACCCAAATCGGAGGATAACTTCCGCCCATCGCTTCCCTCGATCTCCAATCTGCTGAATATCGCCGACCGCGAGAAGTCGCATCGTCTACCAGGTAAGATAATCGACACTTGCAATCGTGGAATCCTCACTGACCAATGGACAGGACCCCGGCCACGATTGCAATCTCCGCCACGTTCCTCCTACGATCGACGACCGACTTCACACCCAACTCAACTCCCTAGTTTGGGACCACAATTCGACGAACATGCTCGACGACAAATGCACGATTTGGAAGTCAGTCCGAGAACGACCATGTCCAACTCATCATCATCCCACATTAGGAGCCACTCTGTGATGGAAGGTTCCCAGAGCCCGTCAGCAATGTCGACCAGATCCTTACCTTCGCATTTCAGCTTTGGCCCAGCTCTTCACCAGCACGATGCACACGATCACGAAAGCTCACGGCCTGCCAAGCGCCAGGCTCTCTCAACGCGGCCATCTCCGCCTCCATACTCGCGCTCATATTACGCGACTCCGTCATATTCCTCGTCGCCCGAGGTAGTCCCGAGACGATCCTTCCGTGCACACCCTGATGATGTGATCGCACCTCCACCGGCATCTCTCGGACTTGCACAAAACCGCTCTCTTCCTTCTCCCCCATACCTCACTCCCAGCTCGTCGGAGTCGTCGACGCTGACCCGGAATTCGGCACCGCTTTCACCCGTCACCAGCGAGCCCTCGACTCCATCATACCAACATCATCATCACTACATCAGCAGCTCATCTGCAGGTGCGTTGCCACAACAGCAAGATCGTTATCTCTGCCCGACTTGCAACAAGGCTTTCAGCCGTCCTTCCAGCCTGAAGATCCACACTCACAGCCATACTGGCGAGAAGCCTTTCCGCTGCCCGCATCGCGGCTGTGGCAAATCCTTCAGCGTCCGAAGCAACATGAAACGGCACGAGCGAGGATGCCACAGCGGCCTAGGCGGAGGCAGCTGCACCGAGATTCACTCACCATGAGCGTCACTACTCTGTCCGAATCACATCATTCCTTCATACAATTTCTTCCTTGCTTCAACTTGCTCAAAATTCTGTTATTTCTGTATGGGAAGATACCAAATCAAGTCGCCAGTGTCGACTTTTGAATTTCGAGGAAAGCAGGCTGGCGTTTTGTAAACTTTTATGCGTGCATGACGGCGTTGCCCTCGACCACAGTCTGGTCGCATGGGAAGTCCATTTGGCGGCCTTCTCGGCCTTCTCATCTTAGCCTGTCGGCTTCATTCCATAGAATAATGTCGCAATATGTGTTCGATCGTCATCATCTTTTCATTCATTAAGTCAGGCTCTGTGATTTATGTGAGTGTGGCTCGGCCCAGACGGAGAACTATTCCATCACGTCCATCCATGTCGTTACATACCAAGCAGTGCACAACATTATCTGTGATGGGATTTCACAACTTGCTCTTCATAAACCATCGCCTTATCGTCCATTTCATGAGCCGCGGGGTGGACGAGGCGGTGATGTCGTCGTTGACAAGCTCCTATCACGATCACATTTGCTTCCAATGTCGGAACAACGTCACAAGTCAGACAATGTCCTCGGTAAGCGCCAGCCAGTGATAATCTGACTTCTTCCACAATGTATTGTTCCATCGCATTCATTCAAGTCGGAATTCTCGGTCTGCCCAATACATTCGCGTAAGTTGAACTTCTCGGCTTGTGCATTCCCGTTAACACCTTGTGTCATCGATACTGGCTGAGCGAGGTTTGAGTACAGCCTTCGAACAATCGAATGGCTCGTAGAATTCCCCCTTGTTGATCTGACTTTGTGTAGACTTTGAAAGCATTTTGCAGCGCTGAGGCCAAGAAACGCTCACACAAGAGGACATTGGAGAACAATTCACCATTGTTGGTCTGGCTTTGTAGGCTTTGACAGTAGTCGCAGCAGCGGTGATGACAAATGCTCATGCGAGGGCGCATCAAGGGGGAATGGCGTCGCCAGATGCTGTTTGCCAATCTGCAGAGTACACGACATACGGTTGACAGGTCATTCATGATGGAAGGATGGTGTTGCGAGATAGAGTAGATCCAGACTGAAAGCATTACACCAGCAGTGCACAACACGGAAAGCATGGTGACAAAGGAGAAGTGCACTTTATTTTTGTCACAGGATACTCGGTGTATATTTACAGTCGATGCTCGGGCGAAGTCTCCACACGCGTGCTTACATGATGGACATGTCACCAAATTTCTCCTGCAAAGCTGGTTAGATCTGGCGGATTGACGAAAATCCATTTTTGAGACGTTGCGCACCTTGTAGCCTGGAACGGCCCATCGGCCCTTGGAAACGAGTTGCTCGACGCGCTTGTCAATTTCTGGTCGGGCGGCAACGACTTCGTCCTGTGACGTTATGTGTGAGCCGAGGCAGATCACGTGATTGCCGATATTTGGCAGAGAATGCCTTTGCGAAATACATACCACTGTGAGATCCTCGAAGGGTCGGGCAGTCTCGATGTTCTTCAGTGTCTTCTCCAGATCTTGCAGCTCCGCGTCGACCTTGCTCTTGGTCTCCTCGGCACTCTTCACGGCCTGAGCCTCGAACGCCTCGATAGCCTTAATCTGCTTGCTGACATCGTATTTCTTCACCTGGAAGCCGTTCAACTGCTTCTTGATGTCGTTTATGATGTCCTGGTTCTTAAGCGTTTGGCGGTAGTGCGCGAAGTCGACGGTCTGGGCCTGCTCAGAGAGAATCTGCACTCGGCGGCGGGCGTCGTCGTTGCGCTTCTTGAAGGCAGCGAGCGCCGACGCGGTGTTACCACGGAGGCCGAGTTTGGTGCCAAGGTTGGCCCAGTCGATCTTAAGGGCAGCAGAACGCTGTTTGAAATGTTAGCCATAGCCGAGTGTCGCAAATGAGTTCCCGAAAAATATGGCTGGCCTTTGCCGAGCTGGATCGAGCTCGGCCAGGCGCGAGCGGGAGCGGTGATGGAGATTGTCGCGACCGAGATCGCTTCGGGGCTCTTGACGTACCGTGGCCGCCATTGTTGCGATGATGGGTGATTGGCAAGGTGGTGTATGGCCTTGATAATAGTCGGTTCAATATCTGGATGTGTTGGAAGCTCCTAACTACCAATAAGGTTGACGGGTTCACCCGCTGCGAATTGATCCAATGCCTGAACTCACGTGATATACAACTGACGTCCGCCGTACCTCCATGTTTGATAACATGGAAGATCAACGACATACATCTCATTCTCTCCTCTTGCTCAAATCATAGTCTTATGACGAATTACTCGGTCCCAAAAATCGTGGCGTATACCCCGCGAGCGAAATGAGTCTTTGTAAATGCTGATGCAAGACCGAAACCGCCCGTCACACGACTATGCAATATCCGCATCGTCTGTCGAACAAATGACTGCTGAGCGCTATCCTTATCACACCATCAATCACTGAGAACTATGCTGCACGGGACAGCGGTGAGATTACCGTCGCTTTTTGAACTGATACAATTTCACAGTTGCATGTTCGGGATTTCTTCATGCCCAATTTCGTTGATATCATGCGTGCTTTCTGGCCTCATGCCTGCACGTGAATAGACTTATATACTCAGTGCCATGATGCTGTTGACAATATCGTTGTCGTTCTCCTTAAGCGCCTTGATGGCCTTCTTCCGGCTCACGCTTGCTTGAGCCATGACGAGCTCAATGTCCTTCGCCTCAAGACCTGTGTCATCGACTTCTTCGCCATCGTCTTCCTCCTCCTCGGCAGCCTTCTTGGAGTCGCCTTCGATAGCCTTGCCCTTGTCATCGTGGTCGTGGTCGTGGTCGTGACCCTCGTGTGCAGATTGAGCTGCGAGTTGTTGTGCCGCAGATGCTTGAGCCTGAGAGTTAAGGTCCTCAATCTTGGCCTCACCAAAGATGCTGTAAAATGGTCAGCGTTTCCAATCGATTCAACATGACCAATCACTGTGCCTACATCCATGTGTTGCTGTTCACTGATTTGTAGACCTCGGGCTGGCTGATGACGAAGAGAATGTTCTTTGGTCTCCGAAGAGTGACCCGAGTGATACCCTCAACGCGCTTCAGTCCGAGCTTCGCAATGGACTTCCTCGCCTTTTTCTCGTTCCGGTTGTGAACTGCAACCTGCGCACCGGCAGGGATACCGGCCTCACCAGCACCGTCTTCTGACTCATCAGATGATTCGTCCTCGACCTCAACGTCCCTCTTCTCTGGCTCGTCGGGGAGCTCCTCAACTCGTGGGTTGGCCATTGTGTCTATGTGGGGAAATGAAGACTATGCTCAACATGTCAGTTCTCAAGCCCGCTTTATTGACCAAGACAAAGACTTCCGCCATCTTGTCAAATGTGACTTTGATAAGGACTTCTTACCTGGTTATTCGAGGTCGAATTTAGAGCATTAACGCACTGCAGTGACTCCAAATAAGTGCATGTCTCCGCAGCGCTCTCAAGCTGGAGCCCACAACGAATGCCAAGGCTAGCGAATTGTGATCGCGCACGGACCATATACAGGCTACGTATGATGATTTATCGTCAGTCAAGTCAAGAACCCAACAACTCAGGGCATCGTATACATAGTGGTCGCATTAATTGGAATATGAATCAGTGATCCTGAGTGTTCGAGGAGTAGATATCAAACCGCGTCCCCGATCAACCCATCAACCATCACAAATGCTATGGACATGGATATTCGTGTTTGGATGTTCAGACTTACCAGTCTGATGCTTTCCATTGGCAGAGAATCTCTATAATATCGATCACATAAAACGACATTCGTTTCGAGAACGATTTGTGAGAAGCTCAATCGAGCCATACATTCGGAAGCGCTATCAAAATTTTGAAAGACTGCCCAGACCATCCCCGATTCGCCGACTCACTCTCTGAACGTTTCCCGTGTTCGTTTCATGGAGTGAGTTGAATGCTTCGTGTCATTTAAAGACTTAATAGAAACCCGCAATACCCTTGCAAACTTGTGAATCATGCTTTGGCTTGTGCAATCGCTTTGCGAACCTCGAAACGAGCCTGTATTGAATTGAACGGTCAGACATTGTCACTCCATATTTTTATCACGACGAAGACAGCGTCGCATGCGATGCTGTGCTTTGTAATCTGCTTACCTGCTTCCTCAGCCGTGTGACCTTGAAGCGCTCGAAATCGCTAAGCTGCTTCCTCCGTGCTGACTTCTCCAACTTCTTCGCGAATGAGCCGTTGATCCATTTGCTGTCGACCTCGGCCTCCTCCCACTTCTTCTTCAGCGCTGCAGGGCCGGAGGCTCGGGGGAGTTTATCGATGACGATGCTGGTAAGGCTGACGCTGGAAAGAGGAGCGGAGTGACGGGGCACAACCAATTCTGGTTTCGCAGAGGGACCCTCAACAAGGACCTGGGAATTCATGTGAGCTTCACATCCGGAAGGTCGCCCTCAGAAATTCGAGGCTTGCGGTTCACAATCACGTACGCGCTTGTGGTCAATGATCTCGGCGATGGTAGCAATTCGGCCGGTGAAGGGTCCAGCACCGAAGAAGACGACACGGCCGACCTCGACCTGTCGCCAGGTGCTCGCAGTAACGTCGATATCGGCCATTGCGAATGTGTTGTGTGAGTCGAGATTATGCTGTCGTTGAAAGATGTGTTGTCGATTCCCGCTGCATAGTGCTACTCGGTGCGTAACGAATTCTGAGTTGTGGTGAAGCGCCAAGACTTTGGTCCAAGCTCAAAGAAGACTAGCTCCAACTGTTCTCCGCGGCTCTCAACTTTTCATGAGAGCAGCTTTTCTGTCGCTCCAATAACATCCATATCCTACTGTCCTTGTCAAACGTCTCCTTCAACTTTCGCTCACCACGCTGGAGGGCCATAATGTGGCCAAAGTTTCTGCGGCATTCATGGTGAGTATCTCCGCTCTAGCTGTCTGATTCACAAGATGACATAATTTGCGATTGATGGTCGTGACCGGAGTTACACGCCTGTTTCTCTTAACGGCATGGTCAATTTGATATTCATTTCTTACATATTCTGATCCCTCCCGACCGACTCACTTTATCTTCCTGTCTATACCCCGAATCCATCGAGCTAATCTGGATCATGTTACAGAACCCAGATCGCATGGTCGTTCTGTACATTGTTGCGGCGACCAACTGTCGCTTAGCGACCAGCTTTTCACCTGGTAAGTTCGCCATAATTTCCTTTCTCCTTCTCGCCAATGATTAGAAATACAACGCACTAGATAGTAATTGACCTTCGGGTATGATCATCTTTACACCAAGATCACTGAGGACACTCCATGTTCACCGCTCCTGTTCAATCGAATTTCCGCTGCAAGCATGTTTGACTAATTCGTCTGACACAGTAGTGCATTACTTTAGGATTTGAGCAGTACCAAGTCGGAAGCTTCCCATCTAAGCGATAATGTCTCGTGACGCCACATGGACTCCAATCAAGGTGCGTGGCAAACGTCGTGGGCAGCCCGAAGAAAAGCTTCGCAGTCATAAAGTTCGCGATCCTGTACCCAGAAGCTGGCGTACAACCCTTCAAGGGCCGTCCGATGTTACTCAACCAGTAAGCCACACATGTTCTCGAGGGCAATTGAAGCGTCATGAGAATGTACACCTTGTGCCACTGGAGCTTCTGCCGGTCGAACTACTGCATTTGATATTTGAGCTTTCATCGAACCTCAACCTTCCGTTAGCATCTCGCACGCTTGCAGTTGCGCTATCGGATAGCCAGCATCTTCAGCTGCGCCTGGTGAGTCGGCTCCTCTCACCAGTCCTCGGAGAAAGCCATCTTGAAGCCACTGCTACCGACATTACGAATGCTACTCGCTTGCTCGACAGTCGTTTCATGACGTGGGCAAAGTTCACCGAATGGCTGCTGCGGCAACAACTCAAACAATATATGCAGGCAGTAGATGGCGCGAAGAACGTTGAGGCATTGTCTCGCTTGTGGTCAATGCTTCGACCATGCTTACGCCTCCCTCCTCCACAGAAACTCTTGCGACCACCCTTTACTAGAGACAAGATCAAATTCCTTGACCTTCTCACCCGCCATGTAGATGATTTCTCCTTCTTCAGTCCATTCTATCACGAGCTCGCTAGAGATGGCCTCTTGCAGGCCATCAGTCGCGGCGCCACAGAAGCTGTTCCGCTGTTCTTCCGGATGGGCATGAAAAGTGATACCGAAATGCTTCGTGTCGCTGTCCAAAATACCAAGTGTGAAATCGGTGTAATTGAGATGATCCTAATCCATCCTGGCGATGTTGACTCTCTGGATCTTCTTGATATAGAATTGCACAATCTTATGGATCGAGCCGAGAGTGGTCGAGGAGGAGCCTTGAAGGAGCTTATCGCTACAGCGCAAAGACATCGAGAAATTGCTGATCCGTAGGTGTGAAACAGTTATGGTGGCCGACTTATTAGCCACATCTTGTCGAAGCCCTTCGCAGGCCGATATTGTACCTCGTAGCTGTCGATAGATTTTGGCTTGCTCCAGCACCTTCTGTGCCTAATGCGGAGAATACATGTTTTCCGTGTAATAATCAACCACTTGAGTAATCGGTTCATCAAGTTTTCGGGAAGCACGATAGATGCGGTCAACGTAGCCACCTTTGAGTCTTCAATCCATGTTTCCGTAGTGTCTCCCTGGTGGAAGTGCTCGTGTGCTCGAATTGGCGCCGCCCCAAAGTCTTCACCACAATGAATACGCGTGCGACGTAACCGGTGCCGTATCTGCGTAGGTACCTTGACGATTTAAAGTGCACGCTACGTCCGGCGGCCGCCAGCGGTGCGAGCAGATGCATTTGATCCAGGCTCTCTTACCAAACTTCACTTGGGTCGACCTTGATGTTTTCGCCATTTTGGCGGACAGTCTTACGGTGCTTGTCTCGTTTCAGAGGCTTGCGCATGTCAAATGCATCGCTACCGTCGTGATAGTAGTCAACGATTCGCCGATAGACCGAGTATCTGGAGAAATGTCAGCCGATGTGGTTGACATTATCAACTATAGCGATGGTCAGATGGCTTGTGAAGACTGACCCCATTTTCTTATAAAGCTTAATCGCAGCTTCGTTCTCTACGCGCACAAAGAGGTCAACGAACCAAGCGTTCTCATCGTCTCCGACCTTTTCCAATGCTTCGGAGAGTATTGTGGCATAGCCGAGTCTTCGCGCGGACGGTGCTACCGTCAAACAAGTGATATGTGCATGCCATGGCAGGTAGTTTGGCCACTTTTTTCGATAGATTGTCAAGCCAGGATCATAAGGTTCTACCGGTGCAGGATATGGTGAAGACTCGACCTTGCCGAGAACTAAACTTACGCATCAGCTTATGAAGAATCCACAAAGAAGTCTTGGAATGCCCACTATAAGCTTCTATCTGTCCACTTGGTCCTTCGATGACTTTGCAGAGGTGTGGCCACTGTCTGAAATAGTCGAGGTAAAAACTGATGTTATACGTCTCTGTCAGATGATCTAAATTGCAAGGATTGAACTTTAGCATGTCCATAGGACTCATAGGACGAATTGTGGCCATTGTTTGTTGCACCCATCAGCGTAATGTGGATGAATGCACGAGTCGTGACACTTTTGATTTTCTCCACCTTGAGGTGATGGTGTTGGAGAGTTGTTCGATGCGAATATTCTGACACGTGACAGCATGGCGGCATTCTCCAATTTAGCTTGACGCGTGCCTTCGCGTGCGCTGAAGCTCCAACGAGTTGTAAATTACTCTGTTCGATCGCCCTCTCGTCGCCGGGCACCACCTTTCGTTTGCACCATCACAACACTTTGGTCGCACCCGAGCAGATAACACCTTTGAAAGAGACGCTAATTGCAGAGTTCGATTCCATCTGTGTACGATCAATTTTGCCTCTATCACGCCAATTGCGACACCAAGTGGAAGGCGCCACGACCGCACAAGCCTGACATAAACAGCTATGTACGTACTACGAGAATTCCCCGACAGCTGGAAGAATCAGAATCATCAGAGCATCAATGCAGAGTTATACTAACATCATGGACAGGGAATCTTTCGACGACATTTATCTCGATCTCTCTAAGCAACCTGGCAAATGCAGACTGGCAGAGTCGGGTCTTGGTTGGAAACCAGCTGGTGGACAGACTTTCACACTTGACAAAGGAGAGCTTCTTAGTGCGCAATGGAGCAGAGCTGCTCGTGGATATGAGCTAAAGATACTCGCCCGTAATGCTGGAGTTGTTCAACTGGATGGCTTCAAGCAAGATGTGTGTACTTGCGGAACTCGCCAAGTGCGTAAATTTGAAGGCTGACGGATACCAGGATTTCGAGACGATACAGAAATGCTTCAAAGTCTGGTACGGGGTGCAGTTCGAGCACAAGGAGCACGCTTTGCGTGGGTGGAATTGGGGCAAGAACGAGATGGGCAGAAACGAATTGACTTTCAATGTGCGCAACCAACCAGCATTTGCGATCCCATACACTGAGATCTCCAACACCAACTTGGCAGGAAAGAATGAGGTGGCTGTTGAATTTTCATTACCGGCAGACGGTGAGGACACTGGAACCAATGGTCACTTGGGTGGTGCTCGAGCCAAGGGCAAGAAGATGGGAGGAGCTGTGGATCAGTTGACAGAAATGCGATTTTATATCCCAGGCACGGAAATGCGTAAGGCGAAGGATGATGACGGCGAAGAGCTCGAGGACGGTGAAGATGAAGAACAGAATGCAGCAAACCTGTTCTATGAGACGCTGATGAGCAAGGCTGAGATCGGAGATGTTGCAGGCGACACATTTGCAACATTCCAAGAGATCTTGCACTTGACACCGCGCGGCAGATTCGACATCGATCTTTACGAGAATTCTTTCCGGTTGCGTGGAAAAACCTACGACTACAAAATCTCATACGAACATGCCAAAAGATTCTTCATTCTTCCCAAGCCTGACGACATGCATCAACTACTGTGCATAGGTCTCGATCCGCCACTCCGGCAGGGTCAAACGCGATACCCTTTCCTGGTCATGCAATTCAAGAAGGACGAGGAGGTGCAGATTGAGCTGAACATGACCGAGGAGGTGCTCGCCAACTACAAGGGAAAACTCCAAGCTAAGTACGAGGAGCCGATCGGTCGTGTTATCTCGAAAATTTTCCACGGTCTTACCAATAAGAAACTCCTACAACCATCGCCAGATTTTGTTAGCCATCACCACATGAGTGGTGTCAAGTGCAGCATCAAGGCGAACGAAGGACATTTGTTCTGCCTGGACCGTGCCTTCTTGTTCGTTCCGAAGCCGGCAACCTATATCTCGTTTGACCACATCAATTCAGTGACTATGAGTCGTGTCGGTGGGGCTGTTAGTGCTAGTCGCACGTTCGATATCACGGTGTCGCTGAAAAATGGCGCGGGCGAGCACCAGTTCTCCAACATCAATCGTGAGGAACAGCAGCCACTTGAAACGTTCTTCAAAATCAAGAACATCAAGACGAAGAACGAGATGGATGGAGATACCTCCATGCTCGCCGCTGCCCTCGCGAACGATCCTGATCTCGTCAGCAGTGAAGACGAGGTTGTTCCACGGGATCGCGGAAGTGCTGACGAGGACGATGAAAGCGTAGACGAAGACTTCCAGGCCGACTCCGAGTCCGACGTGGCTGAAGAGTATGACAGTGATGCGAAGAGCTCTGGGGACAGTGATGCAGAGATGGACGATGCGGATGGCGATGCGAACGATGCCAGCGACAGCGATACGGAGGCGAAAGTGGAGCCACCAAAGAAGAAATCGAAAGTGGGGAAATAGAAGTTCTATCGACACTTGAAGCCATGGTAATTGGCACTTGCTACGAAATGAGACGATATTGGAAAATGGAATAGCTCTATCAATTTCGAGTGGCGATGTTTGTCTCCTTGTTCCGAGGCTTTCGTGAAGGCATTTCATTCAAGTCGGAAGATGCCGCAGAGGCCACAGATCCACCAAGTCACCAAGATAAAGAAACATCTGACTCTGTCGGCTGCTTAATGTAGTTGGACGAGAATCTGGAGAGTCTGATAAGCAAAGCCGGAGATAGTCTTCGTGCAGCATCCTCATGCGCGGCCAGCCGACATGGATCACTGCCAACACTCTTGTACCGAAGCCGGCTATGGCGGCTTCGACGGCTGTTTGTCCACGATGAAGAGCCTGCTGTTCGAGACCCTTGATGCCTGTCGGGACTACTGTTCTCAAAGCCGTGTTATCATCCTTGCCACACCCTTGGGCGCTTTCCGTGTATTGTGTAGCACACAAAGAATCTACAACAACAACGCTTCTTAAGAGTGTACGATTGTCAACAGACATGAACCCTATCCATGGATCGCCTGGAAATGCGGCTTTCCGGCTTGCAGGGCGTCGGTGCTCTATGCGCGCTAGTCTTCCACGGCCTGGCTTCATTGGTCGATGTAGAAAGAAAGACTTTGTGGTGGTCCGTTATCTCCAGGACCCTTGCAACAATCTGGTCGACAAATTATCTTCACATTGCATTTTTAGGGAGTTTGAATATCACCTGATATTGTGTGCCAGGTCGAAAGCGGAGCACAGATTCCTTGACTCATGCCAACGTACAGATCAATTCAGCGTGCGATGCTCGCAAGAAAAGCGTGTGAGAGGCGCTCGGCTTCGGCTTTCGGACTCAAATCGCCGTTGTCGCCGCTCGGCTTATTCAGGTCAAGTTCCATTTCTCAGTTTCTAAGCAATGACGCTATTCGTTCGCTACTGTATCCACACACACACAGGGTGGCAGGGTCGGCACAAGACCCGTGGTCAGGCCGAATGAAATATTCCAAGGTTATGTCTGATGAATCATTTGTAATCTAGTATTATTATTCGCGTCGCGACCCCTCTCTGCTCGTCCTGGCTACGTGCATTCAACCGCCGCAGGAAAGTGATATATTATCCATTCGTAGTCAGCAGCACAACGGCTGTTCAGCATTGCGCGCCTCCGCGTGGACAACATTGGAAAGCAACGAGACTGCTTCATCTACGAATACTTTATCAAAGGGAATTCACAGGAAGTGCTCGGATCACCGCAACACTCAACGACAAGTATTCACACTTAGCGGAAAGTTGCCGTTGATTCCTGACAGAATGTCGTATAAAGATGAAGAAAAGAGTATTGGAGAGGAGTCTGCGGTCAGAGCTCCGCAGTCTTCAGATGGACAGGCTGCAACACCTACAGCAGCCAGCCCGCCGACATCACCAGGTCCGATTCCGAATGGCGGGCTCCAGGCCTGGTTGCAAGTCCTCGGCGCATGGATTTTATTTTTCAACACCTGGTTAGAAAACATTATTACATCCGTTAATGCTTTGTTCCCAAGTTAACGTTCCTCCCTTATAGGGGTGTGCTGAACGAATTCGGTGTGTTTCAGGCGTATTACGAATCAGGCAAACTATTCACCTCCACATCATCGAACATCTCATGGGTACGGCAATGGTCAGGTCAACATCAGGAGATCTTATGGCTGACGTGAGGCAGATCGGGTCAATACAAGCCTTTATGCTCTTGACTGTGGGTGCGTTTGCAGGACCTGTTTACGATAGGGGTCATTTCCGTTGGCTATTATTGATCGGAACCTTCCTCGTGGTATTTGGCCACATGATGTTAAGTCTCTGCACCGAGTTCTGGCAATGTCTTCTTGCACAAGGCTTCGTCATTGGCATCGGAGCCGGTTGTCTGTTTGTGCCAGCTGTTGCGATCATGCCAACTTACTTTTCCACCAAGATTGGACTTGCCCTCGGCTTGGCCGCGTCAGGAAGCTCAACTGGCGGAATTATTTACCCGATCATGTTTTCTCGACTCCTCGACCAAGTCGGTTTTGGATGGGCCGTAAGGATTCTCGGCTTCACGGCGCTTGCCCTGCAGCTCATTCCGATCGCGGTCATGAAGATGCGCGTTCGGCCTGGCAAGGTGCGGTCCATCATCGACTGGGCCGCGTTCACTGATTTGCCATACGTAAGTCGGCTGCCCGAACCTCCATACCACAGCAATGCTAACGGATAGTAGATGCTTTTCATCGCTGGAACTATCCTTGGGTTCATCGGGCTCTACGTCGGCCTGTTCTATTTGTCCTTCTTCGCAGAGTCGAACAAGATCACGGACACGAGTCTGGCGTTCTATCTCGTTGCGATTCTGAATGCGGCATCCATCTTTGGCCGAACTCTGCCTAATTGGGTCAGCGACAAGACTGGTCCTCTTAACGTAATCATACCTGGTAAGTACCGCCTCCGAGGTTTCAGGCAGAACACATCTAACATACTCAGGTGCTCTTTGTGTGGGAATTTCCATATTGGGCCTCACTGGAGTTACCTCTACGGCTGGCATCATCGTGATCGCCGTTCTTTTCGGCTTTTTCTCCGGAGTCTTCGTTGCGCTACCTCCGGTTCTCTTCGTCGCTCTCACCAAAGACAAATCCAAAATTGGCACTCGAATTGGTATGGGCTTCGCCATGTGCGCTGCGGGCGCATTGATCGGTGGACCTGGCGGAGGAGGTGTCCTGGGCACGAAGGAACCACTCAACTGGACAGGATTGTGGGTTTTTGGCGGCGTGTGTGCAATCGGCGCTGGTGCGGTCTACATCTTCCTCAGGACCCTCCTCGTTGGACCCAATTTAAAGGCCAAAGTATGATCGCAGGTGCACAAAGTAACTCGACGTATTTACCGTTCCATTTATCTTGTAGACTAGCTAGACATACTTCATGATAATGAATCAACATGATTCACGAGATTCGAAGAGATGGTCGGTAACTCTGTCGAAGCTGAGATCCTTATGGTGTCAACTTCGTGAGTATTTCATAAGCCACGATGGACAACTCAATGGTTTTGTATTTGAATTGACCATCCATATGCTTGAACGCGGCAAGGAAAGGTGCGTGACTGCATCGGCTGACCGCAAGGAACGTGAGCAATGTATCGCGCTCCAGGTGTCTACCGCCATGCAATGTGCAACAAGTAAACGACGAGATCTCGTCGCCGCTGGCATGAGGACGGTCCTGAGCAAAAATTGTGGGCCAAGCACACTCACTGACAAGGTGCGTCAAGCTGAAATGCGGGACAATACCACGCCCTGAGCGCATCTCGATGATGGTTTACCTTATTTCATTTGATGTTCCATCAGAGCATAACCACGGAGACCTGACGTCTCATCGTTCTCAGCCGTCGTATGGGCTTTCCGCGTACCTCGGGTCGCCATGTCTGGTGTCACACAGCTTGTAGAGAGGTCTTTCCCAAGTGCCACCGGGTCTACGTGATGTTTCATCTGTAAACGATTGGCTCGCCACCAGGATCAATTTGGGCGGATCCTGCAGACGCCTCTTTGCGCCCAAACAGCCACCGCGACAGAGCGAATCACTCAGAGTATCTGTCAATGCCCCGATTAGGCTGATATTCGTCTGGTCTAATACATTTAGGCAGCACGTGGAGGTCGACACATATTTTTAGAGGTGGTGTTTGTAATATTAGATTATGGGGGAAGTTTAAGGCCTTTGCGATCGAGCCGATCTTCAATCACTATTGACAGCATCGCGAGCTGTACGAGCGTGCTAGATAGTCCAGCATTCCACGCGATGCGAGGGACAGCATCTTGCGTCGTGAACTCCCGATCGCCTTGGTACACCAACACTATGCCTTATCGTTCGACACGTGCTACCCGCATGAATGGAAATACTCACCATTGAACCACCCCCAAACCTTCTGCGGGACGACAAGAAAGAAGTTGTAGGTGGGTGACACAACGTGGCGGCCACATGTTGCGTGCATATCCAATTCACATGCAATACCACCTCAGAGCCATTGGGGATGTATTCTTACTGCTTCTCGACACCACCACTCTTCAAATAGTACACAGTAGCAGGAAGTATGTTCGGTCAGCGCTGGTGAGTGTGTGATGGGCATACAGTAGTTGGATGGGTCTAACAAGTGTACGAGACCGATACGCATTTTTCGTCGCGAGAGGTGTGGGGCTGAAGGATCACCAAAGTTCGAGGGCTTCCCACGTGTCTGCAACAGTGCCCTATTCATCCATTGGCGGCCCAGGTGGTATTTCACGCTCGCTTGCACCTCAAATCTTGATCTACATACCACATGGGCGCCGCCAAAAGCAATTCTGATGACATGACGTTGTAGATTGCACGCGAGGACCGCCGGACACACCAGGACTGTCAAAAACTTTGGATCTATTCGTGTCTGGTGGGTGCTAAAATATACTCTGTGGCAATCGGCCATCATCTTCGATTGTCTACCCACCCATAAAGCCGGTTAGCTTTTGGCAAGATTGGTGGACTCGAAATGAGCTTACACCGCCTTGGTTTTGTGAGCATTGATCGTCGTGTTCAAGCAGAGAAACCAAGCGCATCTGACCCGCTGTTTCACAGCCGTCTGTCGCATCGTAGAAGCCTTGGGTGATTCAAACCCAATCAAGGCCTGATGTCGCCCGAACGACATCATGAAAGCGAAATAGATCGGTCTTCACCTACTATCCGGAGGTCTATTGCTCCAGAATGTATTGGAAATGAGCGTAAATCTCAAATGATGACTTACTCGAGCAGAACGGTCGCCTGTTTGTTCACCCTGCATGTAGAAAACGTGGTAATGACATGAATGGGGCGCTACGAGCTGCATGGTGAGGGGGTGTTTGTCACAAGTGGGGACATACTGTCCATTTATCGACTTGAATGAGGTTTTCCGATGGTGATCCTTAACACGTGGAAATGGGCAAAAAGGCGCAGAGCGTCTTCAGGATTAGCCTGACCAAGCGATCGAGCATTGGACGACACTGACACGCGATAAATTAGTTTCAAGATAGCTCTAATCGCGTGCATAACTTGACGTTGCAACGCATAGTCGTCGTGAGCAGGAGTGCACCCTGATCAACGTGTGGATGGGTGATCTGGTTGATTCGTTGAGGAGATACTGGCAATGCTCCCACGTTTTTGCCATGTGTACAGAAGAGTGCCAAGCAAGCTTATTTACCAAAAGCATAAATTTGTTCAGTGCTCGGATTGTCGATCGCCCGATTGAAGCCCTGGTGGGTGCGAAGAAACGTGCTTGTGGGCGATGGTGCATGTTCATTACGAACACGATACTGTTCTGGTTAGCTTGACTGGCGATCTATCACCTCAACCACAATTAGCACGTTGCCGGTGTACTGTGTACCGTGATACGGTATTGTACTTGCATATCACTCGCCCCGGTCTCCGAAGCGGGTCACTTAGTAACGAAGTAACTTGTGCGCTTGGTCTTCCACTGCATGAGCTGGAGGAGTTCAAAGATCAGAGGGAACGGGTGGTTTTGAATCCTGGCTCAAGCGCGCACGACTCAAGTGCACACCCACATATACACCACATTCTGGTGATTGCCCTGAAACCCTATACAAAGAACGATATGGTTGGCTAACACTGATTCGAAGGATTCGAGGCTCCTCACATAGCTGCACAAACGGTGCCCACACGATCTGTCGAGCACGCGATAGGAAGAGTGCTTTATTCCCTGGACAGCATTCTATTTGTGTATCTTGACGCCGTCTCTGCCGACGGATTCGCCTTCATTTCCCGCCATCCATTAGAGATCGATTACGAATGCCCAAGTAAATCCTGGTACACAACAATACTCCGGAGCATAGAGATTATACATGTACAAGGCATTTGACATAAACAATGATATCACTAGTGTGAGCAGGTGGATCGGCTCCAAATGTTGACATGCTCGCATTCAATACGACATGATTGTTAGGTGAGCACGCCGTGTCTTCTCGCATGCCGTGTAACTTTAGATGACCCAACCATATTCGACACACGATACAGCACATTCAACACGAGGCCTATCTCATCAAAGACCTTTTTAAATAGCGCTGTGCCGGACCACTCTCAACAATTTTCTGGTAAGAATAGAGTTGATCTTAGCGGAGAGCCTCGTGGGTCGCGTGGCACTTAGAATCACTGCTGGACGAATAGGGCGGTCGCTCTCGGGCAAGGGCTTTTGCGATTGTGCTGTCGCAGATCGAAGCCCTACGATATTGGTGGCAGACGCCAATTATCGGGGGCCATTAGGTGATGATCCCCCAATCGCTGTCATGAATCTACATTTAACTTCACCCGTCCGTGTGCCACATTGTCCTTCAGGATTCGTCTCCCGCGAGTCATCATCATCACAGGGATATGACGAAATCATCCCCGATCGGAAACATGCCTTGTGAGCGGGTGTCTGTCGCATGCGCGTTATCACTTTGTTCGCGCACATGCGCCTTGTAGAATTCGTGTCATGTCATTGTGAACAACACCAGCATCAATGTTGTCGCCGAAGTAAAAGTAGGCCCGGGGAGCGTGGGAAACCTGCAATGCTCCCCTCAAGGCCATGCTTGCCAGGTATTAATGGGTAGCCCTAGGGCTGGTCGGAAATTGAAGAGACCAATGGCACGTTTCAGCATGTTTCAACAACATCTCGAAGGAGTTAAGCGAAGGCGATCTGGTTGGTCTTGTTTCCTGTCGTCGTCATTGTCGTTGTGGGCGTAAATTCAGACCGACCATTCATGGCGGACACGCAGTCCACTTGAGCAGCCACAAACCAAGGTCGAGCGCCGCTGCTGCGGTGAATGCGTGAGGGGCGGAGCATTTTGCACGAGCACACTATTCCACTTCGGGCATCGACGTGCGCGGCTTGTCCAAAAGAATACTAGATAGCTGTCCAAATTTGGAGACGTGGGGCCGTACATCGTCGAAGAAACCGCTCCGCCTTCATCGCGATACACTCGCACATGTCTTTCTGCCGGTCCTGCCGGTCGGGCGTGTTCAAGCCAACCTTATTGGCGCACGCTACGTCAAGCCACCGACTCCTCAGTCAAGCCATGTGTGAAAGAGCAGCACACTCGGCGAGTTGAAGATGGCCCCGAACGGGGGATGATCATCGTCCACTCATGCTATCGGGTTGCCGGTCCCGACGATCAATCTCGACATCGAATGCGCATGATGGATGATCAACACACATGGTCACGATGACACAATTCTTGCGAGGTCCGCGAAGCATGTCTCAGTTCGGGAAGGATCTGGCATTACAAAGAACATAGCATCACTTTCTCGATGTTCAAAAGCAAGGTGGGGGCATTATTGCGGCACCGGACGCGTGAGATGAAGTTCCTTGCTGACTCGACATGTAGACGGCGCAATGCCGTTTACCGTCCCCAATTTGTGACGCCGATCGAGAACATTGGATGTGTGGGTACAGAAAGCACGCAAGCCGTGGAAGAGGACTATCGGCGTCTCTCTGGTCGCTTGCTCGCGTGGGTGAAGGAGGGCCATCTATTTTCCCGTGGTAGAGATTAAGAAAAGCGACCGACGTGCATGCAGACCAGAAAATAGGCAGCGTAACAGTAGCAGCGCACTGGTGTGTGGCTGACTGTCGTTTGCATGCTTGTACGCCCGGGTCCGCCGTTAGGCCCCTGCTAGAGCGGCAGCCACGCACGGAACGAAGGAGCATACTAGCCGTTCTTCACCTAGGTGGTGGTCACTGGCTGACAGGCAGGGTCCCAACTCCCATGCTCCCATGCCCTACGCTTGACGCACCTCTGCCATGTGCATCAGCACCTGTTCAATCCTCCTCCTCCAAATTTATTATATACCACCATCCCGATTCCCATTCTCGATCTTGGAACCATTTGCATATCCGACTTGATCACTTCATTCTCATCACACAGTACCAGCATACAGCACGCAACACTGCCATCACTCAAGACACTCGACGACTCGCCGACCAAGACTGCGAATTCCTACAACGCGACTTGGCATCTGTAGGTTTCACATGTGCTGAGACACCACCACCGACCGTTTCACACGCACCTCTCCACAATGGCGACTTTCGCCGATTACCCGACACAAACCATGTTCAACAACGGCGACGACGACTTCACCCTCTATCCTACACAAGAATGGAGCTCAAATCTACCCTTTCCTCAAACAACCTTTGCCGACCAACAATCATATCTCAACACGGTCTCATTTGACGCACTAGAGACCCAACAGAGCTTGACGCAATTCTCCGAAATTGATCTCGCCGGATTCAACCCAATGCTCGCAGCGAAGCAGATGCTTGCGTTACAGAGCCCGGAGTTCTCCCCTATACTCTCTACCTCGCATGACCACCGAAACCCATCACTTCTTTCAGACTCAGGAGCATCAATACCGAGCACTATCTCTTCAGCAGTGGGCTCACCATCGCTCCAACCACAAGCCCTGGATTGGCAACAGATGCATCTGTATCCTAATATCGCTTCTCAAGTCGATGCCGGCTTCCCGAGCACAGGGCTTGAGTATGATACTTACTCTGTTGCCGACAAGAGCTGTGTCGGTGAGTCGATTCTTCCTTCATCATACATATTGCGCTTGCTCTAACCACTCTCTCATAGACCCTTCTCTCATTCAGCCTTTCTCGCCGCAGTCCCAGTACGCTGGCGTGCAGTTTGGCTTCGCCCAAGCACCATCACCATCACCCTCTAGTGTCTCGATGCATAGCCGGGGCGCACCAATAGTCCGCGCGCCTCGTTCGAATTCCCCACACATGCACATACAATCACGGACTGCTAAGCAAAGTCGGCTGCAACGCCAACCATCTGTCGCCTCGGATCACTCCCGACAGAGCTCTCAGTCGCTGGCATCGGAGGATTCCAACAAAGGCACTTGTCCCATCCCCACTTGCGGTCGTTATGTCAAGGACCTTCGGGCTCACAAGCTCACACACCAAAATGAGCGTCCGATGAAGTGTCCCATACTGACCTGCGAGTATAACGTCAAAGGGTTTGCTCGCAAGTACGATAAGAACCGCCATACCCTCACGCACTACAAGGGCACCATGGTCTGCGGTTTCTGCCCTGGCAGTGGTAGTGCCGCCGAGAAGAGCTTCAATCGCGCCGACGTCTTCAAGCGTCATCTGACACAAGTCCACGGTGTCGAGCAAACTCCACCGAACGCACGGAAGAGAAGCCCGACCGCAGCTGGGAAAGGCGCAGCTGGTCGCGCTCGCGGGGCCTCTGGCATGTGCTCAACCTGTAACGACACCTTTGCCAACCCGCAAGAGTTCTACGAGCATCTCGATGACTGTGTGCTTCGCGTGGTTCAGCAAATCGATCCTGGCGAGGCGGTCAACGAGAAGCTGTTGTCCTCGGTGGCTGATGATGCCGATGTCAAGCAGTCACTAGAGAAGCTCATGCTTCCCACCGGGTCCGATGAAAATGCTACCGGCACTTTGGAGGAGCAGGAGGACGATGAAGATAACGATGATACCAGCGATAGCACCTACGGAGGTCAAGCCAACAAAGGCTCCCGAGTAGGCAAGTCCGGTAGTTCTTCTCACGTCTCCCGCACAGGAGCCGTGTGCAAGATCGGTGGCGCTCGCAAAGGACTCACCCACTCCAAGGGCGGCATCCCCCTCGCCGACTGCGGCACAGGGGACAAGCGCAAGAAGAATTACCCCGTATTCTGGGGCACCAGCCGCGACAAGATGAAGATGAAGAAGCGTGTCCTTTGCGTCTTCGATGGCCCGCGCCGTCTGTGCAAGGACGAGATGATGCTTGACGGCGACCACGAGGTCCGCGTCCACCTACCCAACCTCGGTGACAGCCGCGCTTGGGTCAGCGACCTCGACATCCACACCCTATATCGCGCGGAAGGCTTCTTGAATGCCACCCCGGAAGAGAAGGGGCCGTGGATGCCAGAGCAAAACGAACTTGAAATGCTTATGATGTAGAGAGCTTTCTGTTCTCTTCCTTCTCTTCTCTTCTCTTCTTTCTTTCACTCAATACTTTTTCACATTGCCTCTTTGAGGCGGTCATTTGGGATCTCACTGTACAGGACCATTGACCACGGGGATATTCTTTTCCCGGGCGGAGGGGAATAATACCATATAGCAAGCGGTCTTTGACATGCGCATCAAATAGGAGATTGGGGCATATCTGCGAGGTTCTTGGGAAGAGTGGGTCCCGCCTCCTACCAGACGCATGATACAGGCACGAATTTGACGAGAACATCTATAATGACATTTAATGGACATTTCGAGATGAATACATTCATTGTTTACACATGGTCCAACACTGCAATGCGAATGGCGGGATGGGGAAGACTGCACTATTCAGAGTCCCCATCTCTACCAGCATACCCATTCACGCAATGCTTCTGTGTCTGGTGGTGCAGCATGTTAGGTTAGACCCCCACGCCCTCAGTCCCGAATGCGTGTGGTAGTGGTGAATTCGTGTCGCAGCGGCACGTGCGCAACACCGACACACACGCCCACAGACCATCTGCACCTGCGCCTACTTCTTTCTCTGCACAGCCCGCTTTCTAGAATTGCGGCCCCGGAGTCTACGAGAAATCCACGTCCCGCACCGCCACTGCCACTGGCCGCCCTTTGTCATGGATGGTTGGCGTCATGGGCAATGACGTCACATGTGAATATCTGCAGATGGGCCAAACCAGTGGAAGGACTGTTGATAGTCCTGCAGTCTACACACGCAAGCCATCGGTTCATACTTTGAATATACTTGGATGGATATACTACCGTATGCTGGGTCATTGGCATCGTAATGCATTGCAGTGCAGTGTTTCATCACTACCAACACGTACTGCTGTGTATGCCCATTCAGTACCAAGGAATCTCTCACTGCCAGGATTTTCAACCTCGCTGTCGTCAGCACAACGACACGAGCCTATGGACACGGTGATACCTCGACCAATTTTGTCACTCGAATGAGTACTTCTCAGCCATTTTCTTATGCTGGTGCGCACGATCGTGTTCATTTCTCAGTCAGCTTATCATACACAAGAGTTGGTAGTGACGGAGAAGGAGCGGAAGGTGTCCTTCCATTCAAAGAAGTGGGGTAAACTTACAATACACAAGAAAGAGCCAGTGTTGGAAGTGGCTTTCATATTGAATAACAATACCTTTCCGCAACAAACGCTCATACGATAGAGGCCACAGGAAGGCAATTGTATCTCAGCTCAGCTCGGTCGTCCTTCTTCAGTACAATGCTGAGACTGCAACAGTGCTCACCTGCATGTTGTCTACAATCTGCTGGCGAGAGTTTTTGCCTATGTAATAGCTTCCTCACCTTTCCAGAGAAGATCGAGTCTCCTTAGGCCGTTGATGATGTTCGCAGCTGTCATCGTTGGTCGAATGGCATCGGGGAAACATTAGCTTGGTGATCTCATTTCTAATCCCCTGTAGTGGGGTCGGTCGCTGACTACCACTTGTATTTCCAATCATGGCTTCCTGACACATGGACTTGGACAGGGTAAGATTGTTAACTAAGGTCCAGATCTAACGCAATACACAACACTTGGCTCCGGTGATCCATTGCCCAACTTCCTCCAACACAACAACGAGCATCACGCATAGCCATTATGTCATCAAATATCCATCTATACACGGCGCAGACGCCAAATGGCATCAAGATCTCCATCACAGTAAGGCAACGACCCGACGTAGTCACCAACAGAATAATGTTGAACTGACATCAGCCACTCAGCTCGAGGAACTCGGGTACAGCTGCACTTTTGAACAATGCAAAGGAAACATTGAAAATCTTCACTGACACGCCATATATATCACGATCAGTCTACCTTACGAGGTCACCGGCATTGACATGTCCAAGAACACGCAGAAAGAACCCTGGTTCTTGAAGATCAATCCCAATGGCCGCATTCCCGCCATCACCGATACTTTCACCGACGGCGAAACAATCCGTGTCTTCGAATCGGGAAGCATTATGCAGTACCTGGTCGAGCGCTATGACAAGGACCACAAGATAAGCTTTCCTGCTGATAGCCGTGAGCACGTTGAGGTGCGGCTGTCGTTGCCAGTTCCTCGTAGTGAAAAGAAACTGATTAAGTTCACAGGTTGCCTCATGGATGTATTTTTTGAATGCCGGAGTTGGTCCGATGCAAGGACAAGCCAACCACTTCCACCGGGTAATAGAGATCACCTTTGATAGCGGGTGGGCATCGATACTAACAAGCATTGCGAACCCAGTACGCTCCAGAACAAATCCCATACGGCGTGAATCGCTACCAGAACGAAACCCGTCGACTCTACGGCATCCTGGATACCCACCTCGGCGAAAACAAAGTCGACTACATCGTCGGCAACAAGTGCACCATCGCAGACATCGCGCACTGGGGCTGGATCGCCGCCGCAGGCTGGGCTGGCGTCAACATCGACGATTTTCCGCATCTCAAGGCGTGGGAGGAACGCATGTGGGCGCGCCCGGCGGTGCAGAAGGGTGCCAATGTCCCTTCGCCTTACCGCATGAAGGAGCTTCTTGCTGATAAGGAGGCCACGGAAAAGCATGCGGCGGAAAGCAGGAAATGGGTCCAGGCGAGTATGAAGGAGGACGCCGAGAAGAACAAGAGCCGTACTGGGCAGCTTTGAAATCCTGCGCGTTTGAACGAACACGAATGACATGAGGAAGCGACACTTCGCATCGGACTTTCCATGTCTTCTTAAGTTTCCATGAATGTTGAAAGTAGTACTTACTCGATGGAAACGTTGTGAGAATCTATTTCACAGATAAATACGGTATACGGTAGGCTGTGATTGATGCTCAGAATTTGTGCCTTGTTCGTGGTTGAGCCTCGGCTCCCCAGAAATCCAACAGGGTTCATTAGTCCCAGAGGCATATCTCGCGTGAACGCCTCTGATTAACATTAAATAATTCCTCATCGTTATTTACACGCGGACAGAAGTTATCTCTCCCAATCACAACAGAACCAGATTGCCAAAAATGGCCGCGAAGACTCTCGGATTAGATCTCAACTCGAAACGCCAACGGAAGTTGAGCGACTACCCTTACAAGGAAGATTACCGAGCTCGATGGTGAGACCTCCAACGCAGCAAGGAGGAGGATTTCCCATGAATCAAATGCATACTAAGATGAGAAATTGCCGTTGTAGGAACGACAACGACATGTACCACCACGTCAACAACCCGGTCTACGGCGTCCTAATCGACTCCGTCATCAACTCCTATCTGATCTCCAAATGCGGCTACAGCACCTCCGAAGCCACGCAGATCGGCCTCGTCGGCAACTCCTATTGCGATTTCTTCGGGTGAGAGCTAGCAGGAGAAAAGAAAAGCGGGATTCTGCAGCTATGCTGCTGACCGCAAACGTCAAACCACGAACCCGAACGCACGAACTAATCTCGCGCTTCTCTTCCAGATCGGCTCAATACCCCGGAATGCTCTACATCGGCCTACGCGTCGTCAAGATGGGCAAGAGCAGCTTGACTTACGAGTGCGGTATTTTCCAGGAAGGCAGCGAGTCCGTCAAGGCGGTGGGCGGGTAAGCCAGAGCCATTCATTTCTCATTTCCCCTTTTTTTCTATACATGTTTCTCGCATGAAATGCTCGCAGAAGTTGTGTGTGTCTGTGTGCTCCTCTGACGTGGGCTGTTTGGATGGGTGTTGCGCTAACCACATGGGATCGCTATCTAGTTTCACCCAGATCTGGCGCGAGAGGAAAGACTACAAGCCGACGGCGGAGGGCATCCCGGCCAATATCAGACAGGGACTACAACCTTTACTCAAGGGAAGTGAGCAAGGCCCGAGCGATCAGGCGAAGCTGTGATTGTCATCCAATCGACGTATTCATGAGTGTAAGCCTAGTATCATGAGAACTTGTGACATTTCGGAAGGCGGATAGCAAATTCGTGATACGTGGTTCCCGCCGTGACATCATCGCCTACACAGCTCATCTCCCCAACTCTCATGGTCATTTGGGTCCCTTTGCCCTCCGGAGACTGCCGATGTCGAAGTCATCCTTGTTGTCAACGAACCCATCACCATCGACGGCAGCTCGAGGAGACTTTCCTCTTCCTGGCGTCTCTCCGAACAACGATACCTTGGCCCTTCCTGGTGTCTGCAATGAGTTCTTGGAGCTGCTCAAGCCGCCTCGCTGCTCGTCCGCTGCGTCCTGGCCCAGAATGAATGAATATGCGCTTTGCTCCAGCGGCGGCCTTTTGCTTTCCGCCTGGTTGACATGCGTGCTGGATGTCGCGTTTCTCACAGGAAGGATTGTAGAGTCGGCTGGGCTTGGAAGACCGATGTCCAAATCGGTCCGAAGAGCTGCCAATGGTGCTTCCGACAGCTCTAGCGGCGTGGCTAAAGCATCTTCAAACGATGCAGGGTCTGCCAGTGGTCTGGCTTGAGCACCTGACTCCGGTCCCTGTGACGGCAGTTCCTCGTCAATGAAAGGATCTTCAATTCCGACCGCATCTTTTTCCTTGACGTTCACCTCGCTGCTTTCCTGCTCGATCTGCGATGCTTCCATTACCGTGTCTGAAGCAGTGTTGGTATCTACGTCAAGGTCGCCGGTATCCTCGAGAGAAAGCACCAAAGTGGGATCGTCCAGGTAAACCTGCACAAATTGCACCTTCGCAATCGCTGCTCCAAGCTTATCCACACTGTCACCAACCACTGCGGTGGTCTTCTCATCGTCAACGATGCTATCGCCGATAATCTTCTGATGCTCCCACATCTCGCTGACGGCTTCTGTGAGCAATGCGGAAAGCTGTCGATTGCGCTCTTCAAGCTCACGGATTTTATCATTCGGGCGAAGTCCACTCTGCCTCCTCCACGCTGGCGATGCTGGCGTTTGGACATCTCGAATCTCCTGCGCCTTCCTGTGCACTTCGTCCACTGCGTTCCGGACAGCCTTGCCGATGCCAAGTTTCTCGCTTTGAGCATATATGTTTTTGGCTGTGTTCTGGAGTATGGCTTCGATGTTACGGGTCTGACGACTAGCTCGGGGCGGCGAAAACCCAATCCTAGGGCTTCGCGGTATACTAAAGCCGGAGAATGCCGTGATATTGCGCTGCAAGGCTGGAGGCGTGGCTGGTCGACCTGGTTGCAGCAAAGGTCGTCCGGTGTATTTAAGCACAAGCACACTGGCCCCCTGGGTATCCCGATGAGTCTGAAGGTAGAGCGCATCGAGAAGAAGCGCCTGTGCAGGAAACTCTGGACCTTGACGTGGATATTTCAATAGAATTCCAAGAACAGTGTTGTAATCACCTTCCAGGAGATGCCATCGTACTCGTAACAACATTGCAATCGCGATGTAGTTGACAATTTCCAACGTCTGGTCCTCGGCAAATAGGACGTCCCACAATGCCAGCACATCGTCCATCTCGAACTCCCTACCAAATAATAATCGAATCCATCGGATCAGATATATCTGTGGGACGACATCCAAATTGGTGAGGTGCTCAGCTAGTGCAGGGTCGTATAAAGGGAGCAGCTCGTTAGAGATGCGATAACTCCGTGTAGCAATGGATTCAGGCCCTTCTGAGACATAAAAGGTTTTCGAGCTCTGCATGATCTGCCCGAATATTGTAAAGGAATCGTGTTCGATGTGAGCAGAATCGAACACGAAACTGATAACTGCATCTTCGCCCAGGGTCCTACTGGCCTGCCCGAGATCGATCGCATCGGTTTGCACGACCCAGAGCACATGGGCCAAGAGCTCATGCATGCCCTGCTTGTATCCCTATTCGAGCGTCAATGTCACGGTCCTCGCGCACGCTCACGCGGTAACTTACAATATCAGGATTGAGCTTGCAGAAGATCTACAGAGTATCAGCCATACCCTTGAATCGTTACAGCTGATAGCGATGCCGTTTACGTACGAACAAGATGTCCAGCATCATTTGTTGCGTCTGCGTCAATCGGAAGTAGTCGACCTCAGGCATGCACCGTTGGACATCTTTCATGATTTCTGCTCGCAATTCCTCATCCTTGCCCAGCTGCGACCAAGGCGAAGCCTTTCATCTTTTCAGCTTTGGTCAGACCAATGCGCCAGCATTGACATTGATGAGGATCGTCATACCTCCGAATCTTGACTCAAAGGATCAAAGCCCAGATTGACTTCGTCGGGGTTCTCGATGAAGCGAAGGAAGTGTGACCGTAGAGAGTCGTATGCAGATCGCGATGACTTTAATGTCTTCTGCCATACGGTCGCATCCAAAGTGTCGAAGAGGAGAAAGGCCATCCAACATGCTGAGCGGAGACCGTTGACGGCGATGGAGCCCTTCGGTCCTGGTCGGACGGCATCTTTGAGTTCACGAACACTCGTGAATGTCTTAAGCATAAGCCAAGCTTCTCGAGCATCAGTGAGACTACGCATGTTCGGATATACGCCCACAGCAGGCAATATGCAGCGTAGACGATGAAGCGAATTGAAATACAGAGCATGTACAATACAGGCATGACCCAGGTTCCCAGAGGCGGTTCGTGGAATGCACGGACCATGTGATCACAGTCCTGGGATACAAGTGGACTTCTTTATGTGTTGTCTCTATGCATTTCACACACGTTACGACACAAGCGTCCTTCGGATGTTTGCTTTCTTATATTGAACCTCAACTACAGTCATGTATCATCTACGCAGTCAGTGCTGGCTCGGCGGATGTTGAAGGTGCACTAGGAACGGCGGCTACGTCAGCCTTGATTTCCGCCCACGAGGTCTCCCTGTAGCCACCACGTTCGAAGCTCTTCATCGGCACCAGACCGTAACGGTTGAACATCTCCTTGTCCTGGTCCCAACCGTTGCAGTCAGTCGTTAACATTTTCTCGCCCGTGAAGACTGCATTGGCGCCAGCGGAGAAGCACAAAATCTGCTCGGCCTCGCTCATAGTAGTGCGCCCAGCAGCGATACGGATAATGGTTGCAGGCATCACCATACGTGCTGTCGCGATTGTCCTCAAGATGGCGTCGAAGTCGATGCGCTTTCGCTTGGGATCGTCTCCAAGTGGTGTTCCTTTGATAGGGACAAGTGCGTTTACGGGGAAAGATTCGGGGTGAGCTGGCATGGTTGACACGGTGTAGATAAGACCAACATGGTCTTCTGGCTTCTCACCGAGGCCGAGAATTCCGCCCGAGCAGACGTTGATTCCAGCCTTTCGCACGTTGGAGATTGTTTCCAGACGCTCATCGTATGTCCGAGTGGTGATGACAGAGGGATAGTGTTCGCGCGAGGTGTCAACATTGTGGTTGTACGCGGTAAGACCGGCAGTCGCGAGTTCTTCGGCCTGGTTCTGGTCGATCATTCCCAATGTCACACACACTTCCATGTCCATGGCACGAATACCCTCTACCATCGCCTTCACATTCTTCAGACTCGTTTTGCGTCCTCTCATATCCCTCCATGCAGCACCCATGCAGAAACGCGTGCTACCGTTGTCCTTAGCTATCCGAGCGGCCTTGAGAACATCGTCCACTGGGGACATCTTAGTCGCCTTCAAACCAGTGTTGTAGCGGGACGACTGCGAGCAGTATGAGCAGTCCTCGCTGCAACCTCCAGTCTTGATGTTCATGAGCGTGCACATCTGCACCGCGGAGGGAGAGTGGAAGCGGCGATGTATCGTGCCCTGGTTGCAACGTTTGCAGTCAGTATATAAGGGTGCTTATGGGCACATCGACCGAATTCATACCGCCTGGAAGGCCAACTCCATAAGCGGCGTGTTGTAGATCTCTCGGATCTCCTCTTTCGTCCAGTCATATCGCGGAGCGCGAGCATTGACTGCATCTCTCAACACCGAGCTGGCTACGGGTGGAGCTGGCAGCGGTGTTGTTTTGATTGGCGAGAACACATCCTCAACCGGAGTGCTGAAGTATCTGGTGGATGCCCATTGTGAGACCTGTAGGGACCTGACAGCCGCGCGGCGGGGGAGTGCTGTCAAGGCCATGCTGAAGAATGTGGTGAAAGAGGATGTGGTTCCAGTAATGAACTGGTGCTCAGCGATATCCACGACATGATATTAGAAAACCCGCCCACGCCGGTATCTACCTGTGTCTGGACGTCCACACGCACTCGGCATCCACGCATCGGGAATCAAGGTAATCTACCGGGGTGGAAAAGCGCCTATCCACTCACGTTGCTCAATGCTCTCAACGCCAACCCCGCTGCCAATGGCAAGCGCGGGGTTTTCGGCTTTGCTGATAAGTCATCAATTCCACGTGACGCCCCGGAACAAATGGCTCCAGCTTGTTACAATATTGGCCAACGTTGGGAGATAAGGAACCTCTCCTCAGGCATACTCGGCGCTTTTCTTCGGGGAAAAAAGCATTCCACACGGTCTGTTCAAATGTCTGAGACAACACCAAACCGCCGCCCGGAAGAGCTTTCCGCCGGCTCTCCTCGAAGGACGATCCAGCACATTTTATCTTCCGAGAGACGCGAACGAGCCGACGTCGAGGACAGGCAATGCTGTTGTTAAGCGCAGCTCCGAAGCGAATTTGTGGTCGGATTCTGATATTCGTGTTCGAGAGACTCGCCGGATGGTCAGCACGTGACTGGTTCTGCAGAATGTGGCACTGAGAGGTATTAATGCCTGAGGTGTCAAACGGCTGACGACTTTGCGCTGTATGAGCACAAACGAGTCATTCTTGCCTTAGGCATCCAGGTACGGAAAATCATCTCCCCTGGGCATGTACCTGGAGACGAGTCAAGCCACCTCACATTGGGCGCTAGAACGGCTCGCGCCCAAGAGTTCCGGCACGCCACCTCGTCTGCTCGCCGGACGCTTTGGACGACCTACGGTGAGTGAGTATCAGGCGGACGGATGCTAACCCCTCTTCACGAAAACTCCCAGTATGGATGCTACGTGTGGAAGGTGTTTTACGAGGAGGGATCGTAACTGATGCTTAAGCCGCTTCGTTATTCCGCACGGAATCTCACAGCATCGATGCCACTTGCTTGTAGAAGCTGTTTTAAAAGTGGGGATCGTGATCGATGCTCAAGCCGCTTCGTCATACTAAAAGATTTCACATTGCATTGAACCACAATATCACACATCAAATTATCTCACACCAAGTTACACTGCTTTATATCAGATTTTGTCATGTCGATCTGTTGGCTTTCTGCGATGCTCTGGTCGTGCTATCTTACTTCATGTTATACTCAACGATCATACCTACAGTACAAGGTCTACGAATTACTTGATCGTTCAGTCATACACGATCGCATACGAAAATCGGGGCACACAATGGGAGGTTCCAAAAAATATTCATTCATCAAAGCTATATCAAACTGTCCTTCGGTGACGTTGCATCATGCATCATTCTCGTGAGAATGAAGCTCCTCCTCGGATGACATTTCTCATAATTGTGGGGCATCAATCCATTTAAAGGGCGGCAAGGGTGGCGTCGAACTTGGCGGAGATCGAGGCGGAGGCGGAGATCTCGACGGACTGGAGAGTGGCATCGAGCTTCTTGAGCAGGGCAACGCTGAGGGCGACGAGCTTCTTCTCCTCGGCCTCGAGCTTGGCCTTGGTGAGGGTGAGGACGTTGACGAGGCCGGAGAGGACGCTCTCAAGGGCGGTCTTGCCCTTGGCGATGGCGTCGAGGGCCTCAGCGATGGCAACGGCGAGCTCAGCCTTGACCTTGGCGACGATGAGCTTGGACTCAGCGACGGTAAGGGCGGCAGCCTTGTCGATGATGGCGGTGGCGGCGTCAACGGCGGCGTTGACGTCGTCGAGGGAGCTCGAGACGGAGAGGGCGACCTTGAGGTCACCGACCTGGAGCTTGACGACGGCGCTGGTGACGAGCTTGACCTTGGCGGTGATGCTGTCGACAGCGGTGGCGACGGCGGTCACATCGCGCTCAGCGACGAGGGGAGCGGCGAGGGCGAAGGGCGCGATGGCCGCGAGGAGGAAGCTGGAGAAACGCATCTTGATTTGTGGGTTGGGTTTTGAAAATGCGAGGTTTGGAGTTGATGAATGGAGAAGGCAGTTGATGAGCTGTTGAGATGATGATGATGAGAAGTAATTTCTTGATGACGGCCGTCCGATGAAGACCTATTTATGTTTCCATGAGGACGGCCTCCTCGTCGAACTCGACGCCGCGATGTTACGGACATCATCATGGACTCCGACGTGGATGGAATTGTTCCTGCATCGCCAGCTTCGACGCCTCTTCACGCCAGGCGTAAGCCATAGAGAGGGGTAGTCTCTGCGATCTTCTGTCGATCAGTCGAGATGGGTAGATTGAACTCAATACACTGTCACGCCCCAAATAAGCATTGCCTAGAAACGTGAGCCGCTGATCGTTAGCGAGTGAACCAGAGGTGAGGAGATGCATTAACATGAGGCGTTCGTCGAGAAAGTGTAAATCCTTCCAGGCCCCCCCGCACAGATCTTCATCAGTGGCTTCAGCGCTACTCTAACCGCTTGCGGGGTGTTGGTGGCTGCATCAGTCGACGTCGACCCATGATTGATGGAATAAGTCAAAGGACGCAGTGAATTATCCCGAGGCAGACAGACTTCGCTTTTCTCGCGTCCAGTGTAACCACAGGCGTACCTGGCACCGTCGAAGCACCAAGCCTTTCTAGCGTGATCTACCTGTCATCGCTACCGCGACGACACGTGCATCTTGGAACTGTCAGACCGGGGGAGGCAGCAGAAGACTGTCGCTCGCCGATGATGATCTGTCACACCACACGTGCCCACCCACGAAAGCCTCCTCTCGCGCAGTTTATCGGTTACATGCAAGGATCGGCAGCGGTGGCTGCATTCCTGACGAAGCACAATCTATTTAGTATGCTCTTTGAGGAGGGGAGCACACCATTGTCCGCCGCCTCAGTAGCATCGCCCGCGCGATGGCACCCACCACAAACTCGGTGACTTTCATTCCGGTGGATATTCGGCGTGATTGATGACGAGTGATGGCGGTTTGCGGCGCGGTGCAGTATCCGATGGCTGGCCATGACAAGCGTTGGCAATATAGGAGGATGTGCCAATTGATTAGGATTCCAGGGCTCCAATGCAGACGGCCTGCCATCAATGGCTGGCCTGCCAAGTGGGATTGCAATATAATGGCTGAGCTGCCAAGGGAAGCAGACTATCCCAACCTGCTCGTTTCACCGCATGGGGAGATGTGGGGGATTTCGGGCTTGAGGAGAAACTTTCTGCTAAGCGTCGCATGGCAAGAGTGCTTTTTTGCTTTTGGTTCAGATTGACTTTTTCGAATGGAAACAAGACTTTCACCCATGTGAGTCTGGCCAGTCTACGCGCCGCATGAGACGTCTGACCAAAGGTTAATTGAGAGATGCCATCCCAATGCAGGCCTTGGAGCCGTGGGGAGTGACAGGAAGGTTTCGAGCGCTTCTCGATTGAGACAATTTTGAACAAGGATTAGAACTATATAGAATGCGATATACGTGCTGTGGTGGGAGGGGGAACTCCCAAAATTTATGCGCTAATTTCGGGCTGGCGACGCTTGAAAGTAAGCAGTAGATCATCCATGGGGAAGATGGTTGCAAAGACCCGAATGTCCTCGGACGTGCTCGTAATGGTGTGCTCCCACTCGTACTGGGCACTCAACTTGTGCAGCATCAGCATGAGGTTGAGAATGGCATAGGTCTGACCAAGGCAGTAGTGGGGTCCCGTGCCGAATACCAGCCAGTTCTTGCCTTGCTGCTCTGCAGTGCCCGAGACCCATCGCTCTGGCTCGAAAGTGTCTGGGTTCGGGTAGGCCTCGGGGTCGTGCAGAGCGAGCCAGGTAGAGGGGATGATCATGCTTCCCTTCTTAGCAACGTAGTTCATGTCAGGGATGGGGAAATCCTTCTTGACCAGGTACGGGACCATGAGAACGGGTGGTCGGTACCGCAAAGTCTCCTTCACGACTGCACGTGTGTACTCCTGGGATGATATCAGCGTACGTTCGATTGTTGCTCTGATCACGTCATTTTACGTACCATCTTCTCAAGCATGTCCAAAGTGACAGGTGCGTTGGCGTCGGGTCGCACGCGCTGGCCCTCCTCGCGCACTTTTGCGAGCATTTCTGGTCGGTCAGCCACAAGCTGCAGCATCCACGAGCTTGCGCTGGAGGTGGCGTCTTGAGAAGCGAAAAGGAAAGTAAAGACCGTCATGCTGATTTCGAGGTCGCTGAAGTTACGGATAATCATGGCTGGCTTCTCCCCGTCAGGAACTTTCTCACCCTTGGCGAGGCGCTCCCGGTATCGGTCAGATTCCATCATCTGCATGAGCCATCGGTCCATGATACATTCCGGCTCAGCACCCTTCTGCCTCATTCGGACGCGGGCTTTGGCGGCGCAATTGGCAAACGCCTCGAGGACCTTGTCGGCGGCCTTCTTGCCGTACCAGGTCTTAGTGAAAGGCAAAATGAAGGGAAAATTGACCAGCTCCAGAGCAGCAGTAATCATGTAGTAGTCATCGGCGATGCGTTTCACTCCCTCGCGAGACATGTAGTGACCAACAAAGGTACGGCATGACACGGCGCAGAGCAATTCGCGGAGCTTGATGACCCAAGGCACAGGCTTCATGTCGGCGGCGACACTATCCCGCACGAACTCCTCGAAGTACTCAGCGTACACCTCTTGCTGTCCGGGGAGGTATGTCTCCAACGCCTGACGCGTGAACAATCCGTTCAAACCTTTGCGGTATTCAACATGCTCTTTTCCATCCAGAAACACCCAGTTCTCGGGGCGAAGCAGCTTGTGGGCAGCGTCGACCACACAGGGTTTGACGTAGGTCGGGCTGTTGAACACCTTTCGCGCGACATCGCGGGTGGCGGCGATGATGACGAACTTGTGAAAGACGGAGACGCAAGAGAGATCGCCGGACAGCCATTTGGTGTGATACTTTTTGAAGGACGGGTTGACACTGTCGAGGAAAGGCCCCAAGAAGGGAATTTTGAATGCGTCGCCAGCGATTGAGCCCTTCAGTCCCCAGTATGATACTACACATTCCCGTCATCAGTTCGTCTTCCTGTTTGATGACAGCACCTCGATTCAATGCTTACGTTGATCATAGACCACAGCTGCCAGGAACAAGGTCACGAAGACACCGAAGAGATTCGTAGGCGTGGCATTGTCGGAAATCTTGCTCAAAAGGCCAGCGGTGTTGGCCGAAGAGATGGTCGCGTGAAATTGAGCCGGGAACGATGCTGCAGAGGCATTGATGGCCTCCATGAATGAAGCCATGGCGAGCTGGCTGCCTGTGGAAAGTTGTGGTCCTGATCTACAACAAGAACGAGACAATTTTGCGAGAGAAGCGTTGATGGATATTTGCCCCTGCCCACGAGCCTTCCTTTTTCCAGCGGAAATGATGGTCCCGCACCACGGATCCGAGAAGCCCTGAATAATCAAAGTTCCGCCGATAATTATTAATATAATAAGTCCGGAGTGACAGGCCGGGAATATGCGAATGACACGATTACGGGAGCATCACTGATCGACGTTTCATAAAAACCTCTCACCGATATCAACTACATTATTACTGCGATCCTGTATATTATGCCTGTGGTCGTCAAGGCACGCTGCTATCAGTGGTGGTGGCATAGCTGTACGGGCATTTGCACATGTCGATGATGAATCGCGAAATGCACGCCTCCAGCTGGGCAATCTCCAAAAAGTTTATCGAGCCTAGCTTCTTTCGGACATTGAAAATGGTTCGATGTCTGGCAGATCGGCCAATCGTTCGCCGCTAACCTGAAATCACGCGGGATCCCCTTTTGATGTACTGCCCGGCCCTGGAGGTGTAGTAAGCAATGTCCTCTGTGCCTCCCTGTGCCCACCACGTCGGAGCTGTCGGCATCCGTGAGCAAATCCACAATTAGATGCTGTTACAGTATTATATGACACAACACAAAACACTACAATCTGGACGGATGACCAGCTGTGAATTGTCGTTGAAATCATTGGAGAAAAAACTTAGCGCACCAATAAATCATGAACCATCGAAAATCATGGATATCGTGCGCGGTCTGCTTTCGAAGGTCATCGCAGAACTCTTCAACGTAAGCGATCTGGCAGAACATCATCACTCGCTGCAACGGGAAGATACAGTGCGTATCGCGAACGCCATCATCGTGGTGTCGATACTCAAATCATATGTGCAAAGTCGCTCCTCAGGTGAATGTTCGCGCGTGCTAACTACGGTTCTTGGTTCTCCTATATCACTTGAAGTTCCTCGATTCTGTCCCCGCCTTTTTCGAGATGCCTCATCAAGGTTCATCTTCGGCCGGATGCGTGGTGTGCCGCTTCGTCGAAATCGTGGCCGATAATCGGATCGCCCTGACGAACAAGGACTGGTCGCTGTGACCTCACAAAAAAATGTTCTGCTATGTGGATGATCATGCATGACAGTCTACTCTGGTTTCGGTCGATTCGCCTCAGTCACACGACCTGAAATTCCCACAGCGTGTTGCCATGAGGACTTCTCACCAACGCGCCAGTGCTATCAACCACATTGATTGAGTGCAGCTCTTCCGCCCAATGCGGCGAGAGCAATTGATACCCGCCGTCGGGATGGCGACGGGGTGTGACGAGTTCCCAGCCCTGCATTTTCTTCGCAGTGGCGACGACATTGCCCTTGTTGTCGTGGCCCAGGTAGGTCATGGCATGACCATTATAGAAGCCAAAATAGCCATTGCGCTCGATGCATTGCCAGCGGTTATCTACGCTTCCGACGAAGTCGATCGCGTCTTGCATCTGTAGCACGCGACCTTGCATCAATGTGATGGCGTGGGTGGTGCCCTTGCTGAGGATCAGGTAGGATTTGCCGGGCCATGGGACGACCTCCGATGAGTCGAGGGTTGGCGCCATGGAGGATGCGTCTGTCATGGGATCTGCGTCGAGTAGATCCAGTGGTGAGGAAGTCGCGGAGCCTGTTGGCGTGATCTCGCCTGATGCGGTTGTGAAGGTGGCTGAGCTTGCGTCGTCTTCTATTGTGCTCTGGCGCGAAAGCATCGTTTGCTGTGGAGCACTCGATTGCAGCTCAGCGGCGAGACACGGCGTGTGCGATTATGCTGTGCGCACAGAGGTAGTGCTGAACTTCGATGTTCAGGTCTGGTAGCACTCCTGCCTTTTGAAATCCTTGTTGTATTGACCAAGCTTCTGCATGTGCGGTAGGCCAAGGCAGCACTTTAGACGATACCGTTGTTGAGTCCGGGGTCCAGCTACACTGCATATGAGCTGCTTGACTGTATTCTGCACTGGTTCGCTTCCAAGGTTCTCGAAGGATGCTAGTGGATGACGAATGATGCGGAGGAGCCGACTACATTGGTTTTCGCCGTCGAGTTATCGTCGGAGTCGCGTGTTGTGGCAGACGTCATCGGCGACATGATGCATCCCGAGCTAGAAGCCGACACTAGCTACAGGAGACCGGCTTGCGGGCGTGACACGGAGACACTCCGAGTCAGATCGGCGTGGGCAACTAGGGTTGCACAACCCCAACTCGAGAATGAACATCCCAGGTCGCATGCAGAGCGCATCGCAGATACTGTGCGAAATCAATGGGATGCGAATACAATTGAAATGAATACATGCAATGCTACGGCTTGTCGTATCATGACCGTCATCGGCATTCATCGCCAATCGAAATGGCGTTTCGCGGGTAATTGTCGTCGTCAATCATGTGCTCTCGTTAGTGTGACTTTGTGAGTCAGTGGACATTGTCGCCCATACCTCGACGATCACTCAAACAGAAATTGGCCCCGATAGGACACAGAGGGATCTACCCAATGTACATAGGCAACGACTTCAAAAGTGATACTGTCAATGGTCATGTCCTTAACAACAAAGATAATCTATTGTGCTGCTATACACTCCAGGCCAGGATTATGCGCACCACAGATTCGTGTCTTGTCCACGAAGAATGGCATCCGCATGAGCACTGGGTTTCGATGACTGGAAAGAAGATACTGCTACATGGTGGGCAAGGGCAGAATGAAGTTTGCACTGAAATCAGCCATCCGGGTGTCGTTGACAGACTTCTCTCCCAATCGGTCTTCACAGTCGAATGCACGACCAAGCAAAAGTGGGCACCCAGCGACAGGCAACGGCAGTTTCAAAAGTCGTGGTCGTCGAGTACTTCGCATGCAAGGGTGGGTTTGACAATTACTCAACGAGAAGGCTCTGCAGACGAGCTTCCGCAGCGATGACCTATTGTTCAGTCAGTCGAATGGCCATTGCAAACAGTGCACTCAAACATCAAACATCAGGGGGAACGATGCAAACAGTACTGACCTCAACAGCTTGTCGGACCTCCAGAACTCTTCGGCACTCTCCGATCCAATCGCGAGACAGAACACCTGCCCAGCCTTTGAGACCGTTCATTTCGCGGGCTGCAGCATCGACATCACCTTCCTCGAGAAGGACCTCCGTGCGCGCGAGGATAGCCTCCACATCGTCACCTTCAGGCAGGCCGCGGTCGGATTTCTTCTGGAACATCAATCGAGAGAGGACAGCGCTGGCGGCATGGCTTGCAATGCCCGCGTCGGCAGGGAGCAGGGATGCCTTACGGACCTCAGTCGCGACGCGGCGGAAGCGGTCGATCAGCGAGGCGACGGAAGGAATTCCACGCTGGTAAGCAGTAGGGTTGATGGACGCGATGGCGGCATTCACAACGTCGTTGCCTTGGCTGACCTCCTTGAGGGCGACGAGCTCATCGAGGAAAGGAGTCGGGTAATCCGAAGCCTGTAATTTCGACCGAACGGCCTCGAGCGCGACTTGGAGATGTTGCGTCTTCAGAGTAGCATCGACGACAGAGTTCCATTGACCGGTCAGCTTCTCTAATTCATCCACGCTCGCCGAAAGCTCCTCAAGCTTGGAGAGACGGCCCTCGCGCTCTTCCTCGACCTTGGACTTGACGCTCTTAAGAAATCCTTGCTGGATCGCAATCTCTTGCTCGAGGAGGGATTTCTTGTTCTTTTCGTCGGCGATTTTCTTGGCAGCATCGAGCTCAGCGGCGAGCTTCTGTTGATAGCTGGTGCTGAGCCTCTCGCGTTCGTTTTCGTACTCCTCTCTCCACCGGGTTTCTTGCTCGTGCATCTCACGTTCGAGGCGGCTTACAAGCTCCTGTGCAGCCTTGTCAAACTCAGTGTTCGCCTCGGTGACCTTAGCCTCGGCTTCCTGGCTCGCGCTGTCCTTGAGAGTGCGGATGCTTGAGATGATTTTGTTGAGGTCCTCCTTGGCAGTAATCATGACGTTTGAATATTTCGATGCATCAGGCGATGCATTTACAGTGGTGATGATGTTGTTGAGCATCTTGACCAATTCTTGAACCACAGGCTCGTTTGCCTCCGGCACATTGACATGATCTACCAAGGTTGCGGCCGGCTTAGAAGCAGGTTCGGACGTGGACTTGGTTGCTGACGAGGCCGATGATTTCCCAGTCGACTCTTTCGCCGATGTCTTCGCGGCATCCTGCTTGGGGAGGAGCTTGTGCGAGACGTCAGAGACCTTTTCGCTCAATTTGGACTTGTTGTCATCTGTTGCGCTAGATGCGGACTCGGCCAAACGAGGGTTGACACCGCTGGATCTCCCAATCGTAACCTTGTTCTCACCACGAGTCTGAGGCCAGACCTTGTTCTCGAAAGCACCCTTGGGGAATCGCTTCCGGAACTCGCGGTCCTCGAAATACGCGACTGCGTCCTCGCCGTACGGCACGTACTCAGTGAAGAAGTCATGGAAGTTGTCATTGACCAGCGAGAAGTAAACACCACCTCCGTATCCAAGCGCGGCAAGCAGGATCCATCTGATGAAGAACGATCGCCAGGTGCGGCGTTTCTTTGCAGGGCGGACGGGGGCGGGAGCAGCGCTCTGAGAGCCGTTCGGTGGGAGATTTGCAGCGGCGGTCGGCGTATTGGCGTGAGCCTCAGTTGGAGTTGGTGGCTCTACAGGGATCTGGGACTCGGCGATGGTGTTTGCTGCCACGGACGGCGTGGGCGTATGCAGAATAGGTGGCTGAGGCACTCCGGCAACTGTAGCACTCTCACTACCTGGGAGAACGATTTTGTCGGGCGTTCGCGAGTCCGCAAACGTCCTCTGCTCGGCAATGTTAGAATATTGTTGACGACCAGAACAATTTCAGTGGCCTACCGCGAGCGGGTATGAGATGCGTTGCAGCTGGCATTGGCGCCTCAAGCCCTGGCGTAGAGCCTGCTCGAGGCTGGCATTGCTTCGAGCTGCGACGATACGCAGCATTGTGAGCTGCTGATGGGCAACGGAGAGCGCAAAGTCGCGTCGTTGATTTGCTTCTCGTTGTTGAGCTTTCGTGATATTCTGTCTGGCGAGCTCGGCTGTCGGAGCTCTAGCGGCTGTACCCGCCCGCAAAGACTGGCTACGATACTGCCAAGCATCGACGACGTCAATGTAGGTCGCGAAGTCATTCAGATTTATTTGAATCAATCCATGCAGAAGATTTTCGTGGATACGGTCCGATAATCTATCATGGGCTTCTAGAATGCATCGACTCACGTGATGATTGAGTGTACGTGGACTAACATTGTGGGAGAGTGATTCATGTATCGTTTCCTTTGAGTCCGTCCGAGCATCGCCATAAATCGCCATGTACTGCTGACTTTGGTAACACCCTTGCCTGAGGACCGGATACAAGCATCGCGGCCAAGGCCAAGCCGTTACAGTTCACAATAGTATTGGTACACAAGCTGCCTTCCTACCCCGAGAAGTATGACCCACAATAAATCTTGAAGCACAGCAGATCGAGTCGCCTTGCTATGCAAACTTCTCCACCAGTCCTCGGCAGTGAAAGCAATAAACAACATCCTGTATTCCGCCCTGCGCCCGCTTGCTGTGACGATGAAAGCATGCTGCTCTGTGAAAGGAAAGAAAGTGGCCAGAAGGTTGCCTTGTTATACATGTTGGAAAAGTCCGAAGTCGTCAATGGAGCAGAGGACCAACGCGGTCTTACTGTGCTTGGCCCCTGCCACCGCGAGGAGCCGATGGTCCACCTGGACCGCCACGACCACGAGGGCCAAAGTTACCACGGTTTCCCTGAGGGAAGTTGGCGCCGCCGCGTGGAGGACCTTGGCTGCCTGGCCCGCCGCGGCCGCCACGGCCTTGATAGTTGCCACGAGGGAAACCCGGGCCGTTCTGGCGAGGAGCACGTCGCTCCTCGACGAACAGCTTGTCACCCTGCATCTCGAACGGGGTACTGAGCGCGTTCTTGAACCCTTCGGCGGTTTTGTAATCGACAAAAGCACAGTTCTGTTGAACGTTAGCGAAAATTTATACATCATGAAACAGTCCTCAACGTACCTTGGGAGCACGAGCAATGTCGAAGTGAGCCAGCTCGCCAAACTGCTCTAGCTGGGCCTTCAACTCGTCATGCGCAATGTTTTCAGAGACATTCTTGATGTAGCCGCGGTACTGCTGTGGTTCAACGGGTGCTGGGGCAACTTGGCGTGAGGTCTGGCGGTTGTGGCTCCCACCGACTGCAGTCCACTCCTCGTCTTGTCCGTCCTTGGCGGCTGGAGCGGTCGGAGCGGAGGTCGGAGCGGTGGTCGCGCTAGTCGTACTTGCCGCGTCCGCGCCGGCTTGGTTCGCCGGAGTAATTACAGTTGCGCTAGGCGCGGATGGCTTGGGCTGCTTAGGTGCAGCAGACGATTGGTTCGGGATGATAGGAGTGGCAACCTTGTTTGCGGCAGCAGCGAGGGTTGCCCAAGTCTTGGGCACAGCGGGCACCGGCGCAGCTGGCTTCGTTGCAGGAGCAGGCTTTGCGGCCGGAACAGCGACCGGAGTAGCGGCACGAGTGGGTTCGGGCTCCTTCGGGACTTCCGACTTTGGTTCAGATTCTCCTGTTGGCGCTTGCTTAGAGCCTTCGGTAGGAACAGCCACAGGGGTCGCAGCAGGCTCCTTCTCTCCCTCAGCAGCAGAATCATCACCATTGACCGTGGCAGTGGTCTTCTCCTCTGCAGATTTGTCCTGGGCAGCGGTCTCCTCGAGTGACTTGTCCACTGTCTCAACCGCGACAGGGTCTGCGAGGGTCTTTGGCTCAGGATCGGTAGGTGCTGACACCTGGCTGGCTTGCGTCTCTTCTGGCTGGTTGTGTGTCTCGACCTCCGCCTCCTCGTCATCCTCTGCTAGATATCGGAAAATGTCGTTCAAGACGAAGTAGCCATTAGTCTGTGTAGCAAGGACGAAGGTCTGTGTGAATTTCTTGTGTGGCTGGGATTTGTTGGAGATCTCGCCAATGACTTGAATGACGATGTTGGAATCAGATGCTTGCGAATCAACATTGGTCACGCGAACCTTGCAGTCCTGAAAGTCGAGCTCTTGGATTTTGTCATTGATCGCACGCTGACCAACACAGACGTCAACCTTGTCAGTTTCCTGACCAGAGACAAATTGTGACCGCTTGTTGTAGAAAAGGTACAATCGTTCGGGGGTGCGGCTGAGGGTTGTGTAGTACTGCTCGACGAAGTACCAACCAACCTCATCCTTGGAGACATCTTGTTGGGAGGTAGCGGTGGTGGAAGTGGAGGAAGTAGTCGGCGCGTTCGCGGTCGCCTGAGAGGACGAATTATAGGCTGGGTAGTTGTTCTGATCGCCGCCCGCATAGCCCTGGTTGGAGGTGTAGCTGCCGTTTGTCTGGGGAACGTTTTCGGTCGCCATGATTTCGAAGGAGTGTCGATCGATTGAGGTGGTTCCTTCGAGTTCAGTCGGAGATGCTATTACGGCTCAAGTATCGACAGTGTTGTGGTGAGTGAGTGAGTGATGGCGTGGGCAATGATGCACCGGGACTTTGAGGTGCTTTGTAGGAATTTGGGCGGGAGACTTTTGGTGTGACAAACAATCGCGTGACTTTTCAGGCGGAGACAGGAGAGAAGCTAACGTTCGATATCGGACCGATGGAAGTCGTAGAAATCAAAGATTGTCTAAAGACTGGAATGAGAAGTGTGAGTGTGCTGGTGTGAGAGGATGAAATGCGAAAGAGAAGAGTGTGTGTGTGCAGTATCGAGAGAGTTGCGAATTTGGCTGATCAGCATTCGTTCGATGAGGTAAGGCAATCGAACTTTTGAACAAAGAGCGCCATCAAGCACCGAAAACAGGTGACCGTGCGCGCTTCTTCATGTCTTGCCAAGAACAGGTCTGCACTGCAAGGAGCTGGAGATCATCAAACCCTGGTTTCCTGCACATCATTATCGTGCACTGCTCACTAACTTTCATTAGGCATACTATTTTAATACGACACATACAGTATATCGGAGGTAGTAATTGACAATGGCATGTATCGGACGTGTCTACAAGCAGCGCAAACAAATGGCGGGCGGTATGACAACAGTCGGCACAATGGGACCGTCTACTCATGCAGCTCTGCCTGTCTGGATCGGTATCTCACTTTCTCTGTGGTGACCGCAGCACGCGAGTAAAAATCGCACTGACCAGATCATTTCAACAATGGCCGCGGCAAGTGGTCAAGGGCACCGTGTGTGGATGGCGAGCTCTGTCCCCATTGTTTTGAACTCCTCCGCCATCTACAGTGTATACTTAGCTACCTAGTAGGTATGGATCTAGAGGAGAGATATTTCGCACAAGTCCAACCATGGTATCGCCCAAGCAGACCATACCTGGGTACGTATATATAATTTGGTGCCTCGATTGTTCGAGGTCGTCTCCCAGTATAGTTGACCAGAGCATTCTTTCAGCTCATCATTTTATCAATACCAACGCGTAGGGGTGATCATAAGATGCCATTTACAGATCACATACTACACAGAGCTAACTCCAACTTCCAGCAAAGGCGACGCATCGGAACTGCAGGGTCGGTTCATTCAAACAGCCTAATCATTAAATACAGTAGGGCTCTTGATGAATGGACGGGGCTCTGCATGACAAGCCGATGACGCACGGACAACGTGCGCGCGTGAACCCTTGTGACCAGAAACGCGGGCGAAAGACTTGCAGAACTACTGCAGTAAGAGACTCTACGGAACTGCACGCTTGAAGCAGTCGTCTCGAGGCAGCAGGATCCTACGATTACTGCTTATCACTGCTGCTGTCCCTTGTGTGCGGAATTTGTAGCGTAGACACCGCGTCCTGCCACTTTGCAAGTTCACTCGGGCGACAACTTCAGATACAAACGAATATGCAATCGAGCGGACAATCTCGCTAGTGGATCTGTTGTTGCTCACATCGCAGCGACCATCGCACCCCTTCACGTCCTCCTAACCGACTAGCATACGGAATGATCAATTGAGAATCATGGCGAGTGCATACGCTGATCCAGACACCCCTACTGGGACGGGCAGCGGGTTTGGAAAGAGTGTTTTGATAGTCACGGGTGTCAGCGCTCTGATTGCATGCCTGCTCACGATCGGGTGAGTGTCTGGGAATTGGACCTGACATTTACAAGCCGTTCGGTCCATCTGACAATCTTCTGCTGTTCAGTGTCATCCTCCTGCAGGCAAAGAACTATCGAAAACCCCTGCTACAACGCCATGTCATTCGAATCCTGGTTCTCGTGCCTCTCTTCTCGGTTGCTTCATGGGCTTCTCTCACCTCACTTCAGGTGGCTTTCTGGATCGATCCCTTTCGTGATGTCTACGAAGCCTTCACCATCTATACTTTCTTCAACCTCTTGATCAACTTCCTTGGCGGTGAGCGAAGTCTTATACTCATGATGATGGGTCGCCCACCTGTGCCACACTTGTGGCCGTTGAACCATGTATTTGCCAAAGTCGACATCAGCGATCCACACACATTTCTTCAGATCAAGAGGGGGATTCTACAATACATTTATGTAAAGCCTTTGTTGGCGGTGGCGACCGTGGTCTGCAAGGCGACTGGCACATGGAAAGAAGGTACACTCGCACTCGATTCGGGATATGCCTGGAGTGGACTCATCTACAACGTCAGCATCTTCTGGTCTCTGTATGACCTGGCTCTGTTCTGGGTATGCATGTCGGCCGATCTGCAACCTTTCCGACCCATGCCCAAGTTTCTCTGCATCAAAGGCATCATCTTTGCATCCTGGTGGCAGGGATTCTTCCTATCCATCTTAGTCTGGCTTGGAGCCATCACAGGCATAGCCGGCACAGACTATGACGCAGATAGCCTCGCCGCCGCGATACAGGATGCGCTGATTTGCATTGAAATGCCGTTCTTTGCCGTAGCACAGTGGTACGCCTTCAAGTGGCAGGACTATGCGGACAAGACCATAAGCGATGCTCGCATGCCCATTCGTTTTGCCCTACGAGACGCGTTCGGACCTCGAGACCTCATCGAAGACGCCAAGGAAACCATGAGTGGGAAGAAATATGACTACCGCTATTTTGATGCCGAAGATAACGTTATTGGACACGAAGAGTCAAGGAGTAGGGAAGCACGCATGAGGGAAGGAATGCGGTATGAAAGAGGCGGACGAGGCAAATACTGGGTCCCTGCTGCGGGCCATGCGGACAGCAAACAGCCCCTGCTCAGCCGATTAGTAGGAAATAGCCATGCAAGGACAATGAGCCCAGGAGGTGGACATAATCATCGATCCTCCAGCCAGCACAGCAAGGACTACGGGACAAGTGATGAGCCAGAGGAGACTGTTCTCGACCCGGAAGAGGAGAGGCTGTATACCAATGCTCGCGCTCTTGAGTTTGGCGACTGGAACTATCCTGTGATCAACACCCATTTCGCATCTCGCGAGGACCGGCTCTACGCGGACCCGAACATAGTATCGCAATCCACGAACCGAGTGATTCTGCAGTCCTCGCGAGAAAACCGACAGAGACGTAAGAGTAGGATAGAGTCAATCCGCGACAGCGTTCATCAACACGGCAGACCAGAAGCTTCGAAAAAGCGCGACGAACGCGGCAGCGACTCGAGCCATGGTGGGATTGCCTCGAAGGGAAAGGAGAAGCTCAAGTCAGTCCCTGTCGTCGGCAGCTTGCTCCGACACGATTCTTCGGATTCCGCCAAATCGGACAGTTCACAGCTCGTTGACCTGATCGTCGAAGATCGGCAAGCGGAGGCGATCGAGCGTGTCCGAGCCCGCAAAGAAGGCGGGCCCGGCTGGAACCGGATTAAGCAGCAACATTTTGTCCATACGTTCCCGGACGAGTCCGCATCGGAGGAGGTCCGCGCAGGTTTCAACCCGGATCGGGTCGAGCAAAAGGTCACAGATGGCTCGCATACGCTCGACGATCCATTCGAGATCGGCGATGGCGATGAAGTCTCCAAGGCCGTCGGAGATCTGGAGGGTGAAGACGAAGTAGACGCACACCAGCCTTGGGACAAGAAAGAGTATCCGGGCAAGGGGAAAGGCAATGTTCAGGACGACGACACCGCCACAAGTCCTCTCTTCGAAGAGGAAAGGAACGCGTGGGGTGACGAACGATGATCCTGACGAAGCTGCATTTCAAAGGCGTTTGAATAGAGAAGTCTATGCATCGGTCGTGATATGAAGAGCGATGCCTTAATCATGTGAGAGTCTTTCGGATTTGATGTGCCTCCTGTAGATGCGCGCGTGGTGAACGTACAGCCCGTTGGTATTCCTGTCCGTTCTTCGAGTCACCGGACGCATCCTCCCTATCGACGTTTCGGTGAAAATTCCATGCAAGGAATTTGTGCGACATATCATGCATCACTCCCAGTTTTGCCTATCCCGCGGAAGGATGCTGTGGAAGGATGCTGTGAAACACGACATTATCCTTGACAGCTCTGGAGCGCTAGAGAGCCTGGGGTACGTGCAGATCCGTGATCTCCGGTAGCTGCAGGTCAAAAGCACACTCACATCAGGTGAACCCTCTGAAGTTGGAAGCGCTGGAGGATGCACAAAGTGCAGGCCTCCCCCATGATGGATGTTGTTCGTGACGGGCGCACATTCTATCAATGAGCGCACATGTTCGGTCTGGCGGTGTTTCATCATCTAGCAGAGACTGGAAGACTCAGTTACTTGGGACAAAGGCTCGCCTCGCAGTTCAGGATATATCCTCACTGCTCATTGCTGCCCACAATCCTTCCAGCTCGTTACTCAACTCTGCGAAGCACTGATATCGTCACTAGAATTTATTCTTATAAGTGAAAGCATCGTCTACATGCGGGAATGGAACCCGGATTTAAGTCCACCACGCCCGAGACGACTATTGTCGGGGTGGAAATCGTAGACTTTGCCACCGTCGATTCCCCACCGATAGACTGGGAAGTAAACGACAACGCAACGGAGTCTGATGAAACATCGGAGATCTTCGAGCGCGAAGAGCCACCCATGCGACGCCCAAAAACAGTCCACTGGGACCTCCCCATCAGCAAAACCGACTACAATCTCCTCAAGACCGGCTTCACGCCCCAATCCATGGACGATCGCTGGGAGATGACGCCGGCGTACCTCGAAGAGAGCTCCGCATATAGCTTGTGCTTCGCACGGTCGTGGACCGGTATCCCGCACTATGTGCTCATCGTCAGAGACCAAGGGCCGATCATCGACTCGATGGTCTATGAATCGCTGACGGAGGGTGGCAATGAAATCACTGAAAATACTGCGAAGAAAGAAGTCATTGCCCTTGCGAGAGACTGGCTGAAGTGTGAGATTGGGGCGTTCCCGAGTCTCGAGGGAGAATCGCTGTTTTTTCCGGTTGATAATGCGAGAGAGCCGAGTGACGAGCACTGCGACTGGAGCATTGTCGATTCTATCAGGGCATTGATGCGCGCTCGCTGGCGTGGATGGTCGGGAATCGAGTAACCTTTTATAACAATCTTACTCCCTACTTAATTCCAAGGATATTAGTAGTAAGGACTTAAATTGATGACTACCTACCTGGGTAATAATAACAACCACATCATGCTCATAAAAACATTACAGACTTGTTGCTAGAGCCCTGGAGCGCATCTTGCTCCGAGACCAGCACGTGACGCCCGATGATCTCCCATCACGCCGCCATCCTTCGCTTAGCACCATCGCGCAAGCGAGAGTGCAGTCGGGCCATGCACATGCATAATGGAGGCGTAGAATGGTTCAAAGTCAGAGGGCCACCATTAGCGTAAACCCGAGAACAGAATGCACGAACGAGACACATCCCTTGCGTGAAACCCGCCTCGCCTGCTCTCGCCGATTACGCCTCGTTCTCACCATTTCCACAAGATATGTAGGTACTCGTTCGTTTCCTTTTTCCAATTCCGAAAAACATATTCCCACATGAGTACGCCTATTCGTGGTATCTATCATCGGTGAGCTCGCCTACAGGCAATGATGCTGTCAACATTTGACGTCACCAGCCTCGCGGCAGCGTCAAGGCTGTTTTTGGACTTTTGTCACGACTTTCCGCTCCTGGTTGCCGGTGGAATCTGCGGCGCCGGGCTCGCGTTCTACGTGACATACCAGCTCTTTTTCCATCCCCTCAGTCAGTACCCCGGGCCATTGCTCGGGCGACTGACCCAGTGGTACGACGTATATCATGCCTACATCGGAGACAAGCACATCCTCTTCCAGCGCTTACATCAGGAGTACGGCACTGTAGTCCGCTTCTCTCCCGGCTCTTTATCGATCAACGACCCAGACGCGCTGAAGATCATCTACTCTCATGGTGCCAATGTCCAAAAATCGGTGTTCTACAAATGTTTTCGTGCGGCGCCTACTGCTATCAGCACCCTGCTCGCGACGGAAAAGCACCAACATGCGCGCAAGCGTCGCGTCATGGGCCAGGCCTTCTCCGATCAGGCAATTCGTGGTTTTGAGCAATACGTCCTGAGCCATGTTGAAGATCTTGTGGAACGCATCGGCGCCACTTTGGACCAGAGTAAGAAAACCGAGAACCCGTGGAGTACGCCTTTAGACATGGCTGCGTGGTGCAATTGGCTTGTGTTTGACATCATGGGCGACTTGGTCTTCGGTCGATCGTTCGGGACTCTCGGAGATCGGCCTGAAAATCGCAACGGCATCTATCTTCTCGGTCGTGCAGCCCGGCGAAACTACGTGGTGGCGGCTATGCCCATGCTGCTATATACCGGTGCCGAAAAGATCCTGCCAATCTTAAGAGGCTTGTACGCCGATCGATCGAAGTATCTCGCGTTCGGAAAGCGCCAGGTCATGGAGCGCACGAAAGACAGCAAAGCATCAGGATCCCCGCGCTTGGAAAGTGGTCGCCGCGATATCTTCTCCTTCTTACTAAACGCCAAGGACCCTGAATCTGGACAAGGTTTCCATCAGAATGAATTGTGGATGGAAGGCAACACGCTGATTGTTGCAGGAAGCGATACCACGTCGACGTATGTATCACCCTAAGCACTTGGGCAACCCCGTCGATTTCGATCCTAACATTCTTCTAGCACACTGGCTGCTGCGCTACATTACTTACTTCATAATGATCACTGCCTTGAGCGCCTCCAGTCTGAATTGCGTAAAACATTTCATTCCGCCAGTGAGATCCAGATGGGCGCTCAGCTGAGAAGCTGTTCATATCTCCGCGCGTGTATCGACGAAACGATGCGAATGAGCCCGGCCGTCGGCGGACTTCTGCCTCGAGAGGTTCTCAAGGGAGGACTCGCCATTCCATCACTCGGACTGAAGATCCCAGCCGGTGTAGATGTCGGCGTTCCAATCTATGCCATCCACCACCACGCGGACTACATCGTTGAACCATTCAAGTTCGATCCTGAGCGCTGGCTGACCGGAGAAACAGAAGCGGAAGCATCCAGACATCCACAGGATCGAGATGCCCTCAACGCCGTGTTCAACCCATTCAGCATCGGCCACAGGGCATGTCTTGGCAAGCCCTTGGTGTACATGGAGCTCTCCATCGCATTGGCCCGAATTCTATGGGAATTCGACATGCGACTGGCAGCCGATCAGCATGTTAGCCCATTTGTTGGTCGTGATCTTAGTCAGGGACTGCGACAACCTGGTGAGTATCAACTCTTGGATTGGTTCATGAGCCGCAACGAGGGCCCTTGGGCTGAGATCCGTCGACGTGACGGAGCACGATGATGGTCAGCTCTGGGACAACTAGAGCGAGGAAGGGAGATCGAGCTATGTTTATGCATGACGATGATGGAGGAACGGCCGGGCTCAACTTGAAAATAGAGATGAAGGATTATCGAAAAGGCTGGCAGAGATCGATGTGAATAGGTCGTCATTATACCCCCGTAGTGTAGAAGAGAGACGAAGCCTGTCCGTCTTCCTATTGGAAATCCATATGTTCTGTACCCGTGTCCCACCAACCATTACAAGAACGGCACCAGCGCGAAGACGGCCAAGAAACGATATCGGATTGCGCTGTGTCTTGGCATTCTGCCTTTCCTTCTGCTGTTCAACCACGAAGGCAGGCTGCGTCGTCGTGCCACGGGCATGTCTTTTGCTATCTATAGCCTTCTATAGCGCGCTTCCTAGCGAGAAATACAAGCGCTCTGCACGTGTCATTGACGCACGTAGCTTTAGAATCGGGCGGGAGAGATTCCTTTCGAAAACATCAAGTAATAGCCAGCCACTTTCTTCATTCACTTGTAACCGAGTGCCGCCGCGGGAGAGGATCAACCCGGCCATGCAGTTTAAAATACAACTATTTCCGCACGACTTTTTCTCTCTCTCTCTCTCTCCCCCTGCGCTCGACACATTCAATTCTTCCTCATCATCGATTGGCGCATTTTTCTCTTACTGACTTGTCTCTTCGGCGAACGTCCTCCAGGTAGAAGAAACCGACGATGATGAAAAAGTTTCTCGCTTCAGGCCACATCACACCGCGCATCGGTCCGGGTTTCCACAGAGACATGGAAACGCCCCCTTCCCGTCGCCTACACCCATCACACTGGGTGCAAACGGCGAGACTTCGCGAGAACGCCCCGCAGGACGTTTTCAGATGTTGTCGTGGATAGGCCGGATGTTGCCGTAGGGCGCGCGAGCTTCGACGGCACCGTCGCCGGTCGCGACGGGCCGGATGTTGTTGCCGATAGGGTGGGCTTCGCGGGCCTCGAGGGCGTCGTCGCCGGTGAGGATAGGGCGGATATTGTTGCCGTAGGGATCACGGGCCTCGATGTCGTGGATAGGGCGGATGTTGTTGTAAGGAGCGCGGACCTCGATGGGGGCCGCCGAGGCAACTATGGCGGAACCGACTGCGGCCGCGATGGCGACAGTCGCGAGAGAGAACTTCATGGTTGCGAGAAGGGAGTAACCAGGTAAGGGGTGGGAAAACAATGGCTGTTGAGTTAATCGGAGAGGATACGGATGGGCTGATGGGAATGAAACGGGAAGTGAGAAGTTGTTTATATGTCTGCCTTTCGAGGCGAGGGAATAGCGAGGAGCAGAAACGGCCGCGAGGGCAGCAGCAAGTAAGGAAGAAAGAGATCATGCCACCAAGCCACCAAGCCACCAGAGGCACAAAGGTACAGTACAAGTCCATTGCATCATTCTTTGACGATGCGCCAAGATCGCTTGTGGTGCCTTCGATGAGATGATTTCTCCTCTATCCATCTCTCATGATCATTGGCGATTAGGAATTGACATGCGCTTAGGCGTGTTCGCAACGGTAGGGGATTTGGCGGAGCAGTAGGCTTCGCTTCGATATTATGCATATCAGAAGACCACCATTGTTTCGCCGAGATTGATGTCTTCTTGATTGTGGACATTGCAGGTGATTGTGACAACGGCTCTTTTCAACGAGAATGATGAAGGACATCACAGCAATCGGCGCGAGGTCGTTGACATTTCTGTACTACTAGCGGTGGAAGCCGGCTGGCCGAGACTTGTGATCATCATGCCTGCTGTACGCTCTGTCGTTCGTCGGGATGTCCAGTCCGATGGTCCGCGTATCGGAAGGAGAGCATCTGCACAAATCCGTGTCCGAAGAGGTTTCTTCACCGCGTCTGAATATAGCGAAAGGCTGCCTACGACAATTATCGATGCGGAGCCTCGCCGCATTGACATCCACGACCATCTGACCGTCGAGGGCGGTTAGCGGCGTATGCATGCTTTAAGCGATGAAAGTACTGTTCCGAAGCGAGGGCTTGCTGACGTCCCCGCTTGGGGATTCTAGATCATCCATTACCTAGTATATTAGGAGTATGTTTCGAGGGCGGGCGACGCTGCTACCAGGGAGGGCATCGTCGGGATCGCCGCGCTTGTACATACGTGAGATTCGAGCGTCAGTATCCATTGTAGGAGATATCGTGAAGCGGCTCGTCGTACTGCGACGACTTCTTTACAATTTAGCTCAGGTTGCTTTCTATGGTGTCAGCGAATAGTAATAACTGGTGACGGCCCTGTTCCTCCAGCCGCTTAATCATCCTGGCCCGATCTTATTGGGAATCAGCAACGTGCTTATCCATTGCAGGTTAAGAACCGGCCGTTGTTGAGAGTTCGATACATGGCGCTGGACGGGCTGATTGTATCATGCTTGGGCAGAGTCCACTCGAAATCCTCCTGATAACTGCTGCTTTGCTTGCGATCATGAATATGTGAACGGTATGGTATGTAGACACGAAAATAGTGCCAACGAGGATGAACATGAGTCGCGTGTGCTCGTGCGCCCAGGCTGGCGTCCATTATAAAACTCGGCTCCCCGAACGCGCATTTCCCGGCCAAGCCAAGGAACAAAAAGGTGCTGGAGCATACTGTGGAAATTTATGATTGCGCTGTCCAGCCCGAGCTGGAGGGCACGATCTTGCACGGAAGCAAATCCGTTGGCAGATCATGATGATAAGCCTCAGTACTCTGCTGTTGTGCGCTGGTAATACAATTCGAACTTGTAACAACAATAGAACTGCCTATGAGGAATGACTTTTTTGTGGATAGACTCTCGATCCGAGGCGAAGTTCATCATCATCATCATCATCACCATCATCCTGTCGTTACCCTGTCGCGATGATACTATGTGATGGTTTATGAGAGGAGATGATTCCATGACAGCCGTCCCAAAAGCAGCATCGGCAAGCATGGCGATCCCAAGCAGCGGGCGAAGTGATGATGAAACAGCAGCCGAAGAAGGCTCATCAAGGGCCTGTCCGCCCGCCCTTCCGCCCGCCCGCAGCAGCAGTGGTAGTGGCGGTGGGCAGCACCGCACCGCACCGCACACAGACAAAAGACATGGAATCCACCTGCCCAGGTGCACTCACAAAATGTACTGCACACTACAGCGCACTATGTACATCACCGACCACAGACCAACCGCAGACCGACCGTAAACTTGTCGAATTGCCTTGCTCTGTCTGTCTGGCTTGCCACGTCGGTTCCAGCTTTCCATCATCAGATCATACATTGTTTCTCCAGCTTCACCAAATCGCCAGGACATTATCCGACATTCATCAGTAGCCCCCAAACAATTCGCTTCCGCCATATTCAATTTGCATCGACATCGCCAGCCTGTCTGTACAGCATCTCGTTCGAATTCCGACCACACCCAATCGCCTTCTCCGCACACAGTTCCAGCGCAGAGAAACCCGTTTCCATCGCACACGACACTTTCGCTCACCACGAAAATCGATCTTGTTCACTCTATGGCTCCCTCGACATTTGCATCGGCTGCGGCCGGAAACCATTCCTCTCAGAATATCACCCGCGATGCTGCCTCAGAATGGTAGGTCTCGTCCGTTTCCTGGCCTCCGGGCTGGTCGCTTGTCCGCCTGTCTGCTGCGCATTGGATCACTATTCGCACATCCGTGTGCATCCCTTCGCCTCGGAAGTCTACAGGCAGAGATGTACAGCAGTTGCAGGGTTCGAGCTGATGCTAAACTCATCATCGCAGGTCACGCAGAACGAACGGAGCGACTCAGACTTTCCGAAGAGCTTCAGGCACACCCACGACAGCCACAGCGCCGCCCGCGAACGATGTCGCTCCTTCCCAGTCCGCCCGCTATGTCCCGCCCCACCGCAACGGCACCGCGAGCGATACACGTTATACCAAAGAGCAGTTGTTCGATTTGTATAGGTCACACCATTCCAGCTTGAACGAAGGCCTGCCAAATCTCTACATTGGAGGTTGGCATCCGGACTCGAATAATTCCTCCTCAGTGGCTTGGGGCAAATCGGATTCCGCGCGGGACGCGCAACCCTCGGCGGACGTTTGTTGGGATAGTGACGCTGGCATCGAACCTCTTGGTTTGATTGAGATGGATGATGAGGAGAAGGAGGTACGTAGCGAAGGAGAGGTCCGACAGAGGACGCAGGAAGGGCTGATTCATCGGTAGTTGTTCACGACGAGCGTCAACACTCCCATCAAACCGCCTACGACGACCGGCAAAGACGGCCAAGCCACGAATGGACATATCGGTCGCAAGGTATCAATCTCTACCGGGGCACCCACTCCAGGAGCGTATGGACTACCGTCGCCTGGCGTCACTCGCGGAGCTGGTCGCCGGCGCGACACGAGCGAGTCCTATCCATTCCCACAAAATCAAAGTGGGAACTCGGGTGGCTTTGAACGTAACGAGCAGCGCGCCACATCACCTCCGCCGGCTCTCTTGCGCCGTCGCACCGACCACAGAGAACTTCCCCGGCCGGATAACCAAGACGGCGACGACAAAGCCTCCGGCAATCCGTTCGGGACGCTGAAACGCCTACCGACCGGTCAGATTGCTACAGGCTTTGGTAGCGCTTCGCCCTGGTCTGCTGGTCCCAATTCTGCTGCTCTGTCGCCAATGGGTACCTTTGGATCTTTCGCGTCGGCAGGTGCTTCGGGATCGCAAGGCATTTTGGGCGACAAGCGTCCAGGAATCGGAAGTGGAAGGACGGAGAGTAGATTCAAAAATCTTTTGAGTAAGGACAGTCATGAAGACGTGAGTTTGGGTACTGGGGAGAGTAAATCTGGCCATCCTGGCGCGGCGAGACAACATCAGGACGAACAGGATGACGACGATGATGATTCGGCCAATCCTGCAGAGGACTCGGTTCCAGCTGGAAGCGCTTCGCTCGTTGCCGACGCCGATCTTAGCCCCCCACAACAAAGGCAGGCCTATCGTGGCTTCGGGACACCTCACCGACAGGGCAACGCAGACGGTAACGCCTTTGCTGCATTTGGCATGAACTCTACCATGGGCGGATTCGGCTCTGGCTTCGCTCATCATCAGCAGACTCCTGCAAATCAACGTAACGGACCTGGTCACGGAAATGGCAATGAACCTATGAGCCCGACGGACACCAATCCTTACCAATCACCCGACCAGAATAATGTTATTCGCACGCACGAAGAAAGCGACTTGAGCGAAGCCGACCTGCGAAAGCATCTAGCGGGTCTTGGAGGCTCGAGTTCCGACCTTTCAGGTCAGCCAGGAATCTTGAGCGGTCTCGGCGCTCTGCCGTCCCATGCACTTCGTGGCCCTGGACCTGTCGGACCAGCAAGCGACAGGAGCCAAACTTCCAGCGTCGCGCCCGGTCGTGGATTTCCAACCCTCTCTGGTCTGGGCCAACTTGGCGGCGGTCCCGGCTCCAACGCCTGGCCTGGAACCCAAGGAGCAATTGGCACACCTACTAGACAGGCAGCTGGCTTGTCGAACGTGTTGAATGGTGGTGTTTTTGGAAACTCAATGTCTGACCTACACTCTCCTGGTGGGTTTGGCGGCTTGGGCTCGTCGAACTTGATCGGCTCTTCTGGTGCGCCTTTCGGGGGCAGCAGAATGGCGAGCGTTTTCCCGCAAGCTATGCAAGATCAGATGCGCCAACCTGAACACAAACAAGATGACCTGCATGACAGGGTCGGAGCTTTCGCCGGTCTCGGAGAACTTGGAAGGAGCAGTGATAGCCCTTTCAACAATTCGTCCTTTGGCGAAGGTCATCAAGATCAAGGGCCTGACAGCCAAACGGGACAGTTCAGCGGCCTCGGTCAACAAATGGGACAGCTGGACCTTGGCTCTCATCCCCATGGTCAATCACAAGTGTTGGGCAGCTCGGCCTCGAATCAACCACCAGCTCCGCAGCAGCGTACGATGGTCATGCCTGACCGGATGCGATGGATTTATCGTGATCCACAAGGTCAGACCCAAGGTCCCTGGTCTGGCCTGGAGATGCACGATTGGTACAAGGCAGGCTTCTTCTCACCCGAATTGCTGGTCAAGAAATATGAAGATCAGGACTATGAGCCACTGGCGCAGCTTATCAGACGCATAGGAAACTCCCGTGAGCCGTTCCTGGTGCCTCAGATCGGCATCCCGCATGGTGCACCATCTGGCAGCGGTCCGAATGCCTGGGCCGGCACGGGATCGCTTGCGAGCAATGGTGCAGCACCCATCGGTGGAGCTCAGCCTCCATTTGCTTCCAGCTTCCCTAGCTTTGGAACCACCCTGACCGCGGACCAGCAAAATGCCTTGGAACGCCGTAAGCAAGAAGAGCAATATCTCATGGCTCGTCAGAAAGAGCATCTGGCCCAAGCACAGATGAGTCAGCGCTTCCAGATGCAAGGTGTCGGTCACCCGGGACTCATTCCTGGTCAGCTCCATCACCACAGCAGTGCGCACAGCCTGCACTCGCAACAAAGTTTCGGCAGCATCACAGGGCCAGGGACTGGATACCAGCAAGGGCCGCCAGCTGCAGCTCATCAGCCCGGTTTCTTCGACAACTCGTTCCGAGCACCGCAGCCTATTGGCGCAGGCACTATCGGCTCGGGCGTCGATGCCCTAGGTCAGATCAGAGAAGAAGATCCATCGGGTCTGCTAGGTCGTTCAACCCTGATCGGCAACCGCGCTGGCCCAGGTCAGTTTGGTGCTCCCGGTCAGCCTGCCATCGGACAACAGCAAAGCCTTGGTGGTGGTAAGGAGCCCCACGATGATCGTGTGCATCAAATGCTGCAGGACCGCGCCCGTCTCGAGCAGGAACAAGCCGACTTTGATGCCCAGAATGAAGATGACGACGAAGCCGATGAATCGAACGATCGGCTGCAGGAGTTTGAGCAATTACAGTCACGGGAAGAGAATATTCCCGCAACAGCGGGCAAAAGATTGCCGCAAGTTCAGGCACAACGAGCACAAGCGGAGAGCTCGGCGTCTCAGAGCAGCATCAGCTCTCCTGTACACGATGCTGTGCAAGCCAAGGAGCAGTTTGCCAGGGACTCGATCACCAAAACCGCCGAGCCAGGCCTCCCCCAGCCGTTCCCTGCGCCCGCAGTCGCCAAGATGCCTCTCGCTGCCCCTGAGCCTCAGCGGCCCGGACGTCCCGTCGTTGCCGAGCATCTTCAGCAAGAGCCTCGCGATCACTCCGAGACACCTTCGGTCGAGGCCAAGATCGCTCCTTGGGCCAATAAGGAAGTCGGCGAGACCACCAAGGGTCCTTCACTCAAAGAAATCCAGGAGATGGAAGCGAAGCAAGCTGCAAAAGCGGAGGAACTTGCCATCGCGGCTCGTCGCGCCGCTCTTCAAAAGGCCATGGAGGCTGAAGCACAAGCTGCCATCGTTCAGCCGGGCTTGCCGGCCGCATCGAATTGGGCGACTGGTTCTCCTGCGACTCCGACCGGCCCTGGACCTGCAGCATGGGCCAAGACCGCTCAGAAGACCGCTGGCCCTGCTCAGGCCAAGAGCATGGCTCAGATCCAGAAGGAAGAGGAGGCCCGCAAGCGCAAGCTCGCCGCCGCAGCCGCTTTGAGTCAAACCAACAGCACAGCCAACGTCGCTGTTGCAAGTGGCGGAAAGAGCTATGCCAACCTCGCTGGTAAGGTCTCCTTGCCGACTACAGGACCTACCGTCGGAGGCGCCTGGACCACTGTCGGCGCTAGCGGCAAGGTGAAGACCCCACTACCAGCCGCTCCATCCACTGGTAGCAGAGCTGTCAGCGCCAGCATACTGCCCACCGTCCAGAGCGCAGCATCAGCAGCGGTTCGCAAGGTCCCTTCGCGAAGCTCCACACTGCTCCCCGGCGCGGTGAATGCGCAGGATGAATTTAAGAAATGGGCCGCCAACGAGCTGCGACCAGATCTGAGCAAAGGCATCTTAGGTAAGAGCTTCTTGATCTACATTATTTTGATATCTGCATTCTAACCCAAGCTTCTCCAATAGCCGAGGACTTCGTTTCCTCCCTAACAATGCTCCCCGCCGAGTCCGACATCATCACCGAGGCTGTCCACGGTGCCTCCAGCACCCTCGACAGCCGCCACTTCGCCGAGGAGTTCCTGCGCCGCAAGAAGCTCGCCGACAAGGGCCTCGTCGACGCCGCTCCCCTCAAGTCAGCCTCGCCTCACCACGCGGCGGGCGAAGGCAAGGCCGGTGGCTGGAACGAGGTCGCGAAGAAGGGCCCCAGCGGCGGCCTGGGCAAGGAGATTGGTGCTGCGGCTGGAGGAAAGGAGGACGCCGCGGCGGCGGCGGCTGGCGGGAACGGAATGTTTCGTGTTGTGCCGGCGAAGAAGAAGGGCGGTAAGAGGTAGATCGTAGAGCTGCCGTGACGGCGGGTTCGAGGACGGGGAGGATTGCGCGATCGTCGTGGGACTTTGATCTTGTCTTCACCCCAACCGCTATGCCAATTGCGGCCCGCTCGCTCGCTCGCTGCAGTCCCCTCCGCTGCCATAGAACTCTATATTATTACACTATGCCGCGCGCCTCGAAGGAGATCGTTCTTCTTCCCAGCAGCGTTGTCCTGGATAATAAATACAGCTTACCCGCACATTCCCCAAAACTTGCATGGTATCGTGAACAGGAAACACACCCGAATTCTACTGTAGCAAGGGAAAACGTTCCAGTTATGTCAGCCACACTGGTCATGCGCGACACCAAGCTGGTCTATACACTCTCGTCTATGGGATCACGCAGCACTGGCAGTCTTGCGCGCGTGGGTAGGGATGAAATAACGATCATCGTCAGTCGTTGCGGGATGGCATCCTGCGAAGACTGACCCGCAGAGTATTTGGAAAAGCAAAAAAGAAACAAATCACAGGGACGAAAGAGGGGTGAAGAAGATAAAGGACAGAATAAAGAAATTCGTTTTCCCTATTTAGCATCTACGGATACATAAACCAGAGAGGAATGGAGCGATGTCCGTTTCCCTTTTGTCATCAAAGCAGCCATTGCATGTCATGGTAGCTCGCGCTCTTTCTCAAAATGCAATTCGCCCAGTTAACCCACGGAACGCCCATGTTTGTTTTTTCGCAAGAAAGAAGACGTGATCGGCATTAAACTTTCAGAAAAATTCGTGACGGGACATGGGAGAGAAGTCCGATCGTTTAGTCGACCTCCTCCATGGCGCTCTCGCCAGCGGCCTCGGCGGTGGTGGACTCGCCGGCAGCCTCATCGACGGTCTCAACGTCCTCGTCGACGTTCAGGCCAAGGGAGACGAGCTTGTGAATGCGCTCGGCGTACGCGGCGGGCTCATCGATGGTGAAGCCAGAGACGAGCAGGGAGGTCTCGTACAGAAGAGTGGTGATGCTCTTGACAGTGCGATCGCTCTCGCCGTCGGCCTCAACCTTCTTCTTGAGCTCCTTGATGATGGGGCTCTTGGGTGAGATCTCGAAGGTCTTCTTGCTGGACATGTAGCTTGACATGGAGGTGTCACGGAGGGCCTGAGCCTTCATGATACGCTCCATGTTGGCGGACCAACCGAACTGACCAGTACGGATGGCGCAAGGTGAGCCGACAAGCTTCTGGCTGACGACGACCTTCTCGACCTTGTCGCCGAGGACGTTCTTGAGCGACTTGGCGAGTGACTCATACTCCTTCTCCTCCTCCTCACGAGATTTCTTCTCGTCCTCGGTCTCCTCGAGCTCGAAGTCCTTGGTGATGTCGACGAGCTTCTTACCCTCGTACTCCTTGAGCTGGGTGAAGGCGTACTCGTCAATTGGGTCGGTAAGGAACAGAACCTCGAAGTTCTTCTGCTTGAGAGCGTCGAGGAAGGGCGACTTCTCGACAGCCTTGACGGACTCGCCGGTGATGTAGTACATCTGCTTCTGGTGCTCAGGCATGCGAATGATGTAGTCAGCGAGAGAAGTGGTCTCCTCAGCAGACTTGGTGGAGTTGTAGCGAAGGAGCTTGGCGAGGGCGTTGCGGTTCTGGCTGTCCTCGTGGATACCGAGCTTGATGTTCTTGGCGAAGGCAGTGTAGAACTTGTCGAACTGCTCCTTATCCTCAGCGATCTCGTTGAAGAGCTCAAGAGTCTTCTTGACAATGTTCTTCTTGATGACCTTCATGATCTTGTTTTGCTGAAGGGTCTCACGAGACAAGTTCAATGGGAGATCCTCAGAGTCGACAACACCCTTGACGAATGACAACCACTCAGGAATGAGGTCGGTCGCATCGTCAGTGATGAAGACACGGCGGACGTAGAGCTTGATGTTGTTCTTGGTCTTCTTGGTCTCGAACAGGTCGAAGGGCGCACGCTTGGGTACGAAGAGGATAGCACGGAACTCGAGCTGACCCTCGACGGAGAAGTGCTTGACACCGAGGTGGTCTTCCCAGTCATTTGATAGTGACTTGTAGAAGGCACCGTACTCCTCCTGTGAGATGTCCTGGGGGTTGCGTGTCCAGATGGGCTTAACCTTGTTCAATTCCTCCTCCTCGATGCTGCTCTCCTTCACCTTCTTGGTCTTAGGCTTCTTCTCTTCCTCGTCATCGTCAACCTCCTCGACCTTGGGCTTCTTCTCGTCGTCCTCCTTGGACTCCTCGGCAGCGTCCTCGTCAGGAACCTCCTTCTCGGTTTCCTTCACGACGTGAAGGTAGATGGGGTATGAAATGAACTCGGAGTGCTTCTTGACAACTTCCTTGATCTTGCTCTCGTTGAGGTAGTCGAGCTGCTCCTCCTTGAGGTGGAGGATGATCTTGGTGCCGCGGCCAAGAGGCTCACCGTCAACGTCCTGCTTGATGCTGAAAGTACCACCAGCGCTGGACTCCCAGATGTACTGCTCGTCATCGTTGTGTTTTGAGATGACGGTGACGCGATCAGCGACAAGGTATGCAGAGTAGAAACCAACACCGAATTGACCGATCATGGAAATATCGGCACCTGCGGTGAGGGCCTCCATGAATTGCTTGGTACCTGACCGTGCAATGGTACCAAGGTTGTTGACAAGGTCGGCCTTAGTCATACCGATACCAGTGTCACGGAGGGTGAGGGTCTTGTTCTCCTTGTTGGGGATCAAGTCGATTCTCAGATCTTTTGCAGAGTCAAGTCTGCTTGAATCGGCGAGCGACTCATATCGGATCTTGTCAATGGCATCTGAGGCGTTGGAGATGAGTTCTCGTAGGAAAATCTCCTTGTTTGAGTAGACGGTGTTGATAATGAGGGAGAGGAGCTGAGAGATCTCAGCCTGAAACTCGAATGTCTCCGCCATGGTGGCAATTGTCGGTGTAGTGTAGATTTATGGCAGTCTGTTGGTGAAGGTCAGCAAGACTGTGCTGAGCTGAGCGGCGCCTTGAGTGATTGATACGTACAAATTGAGCGGGAAGGTGATACAACAACACCTGAGGGTATCAAAAGTGCGAGAGATAGTTGAAAGTGATGTGACTTGAAGGAAGAGGGCGTGTCGGAAATCTTCTTATGTATTCGAACAGACAAACACTCAAAGACAGCCAGTGGTGAGCCGAGCGTCTCCAGCATTCAATGGAAACTTCCAGCAGCTTTCTTTCCATTCTCTCACCTGAATTTCTTTCCCCAGAGCGGGCGGGCACAGGCACAGAGACAGCTCCATACCGCTTCGAGCTTAGCTTGGAATGCCGGTCAGGGTAATCTTGTGCGGGCACATCACATCGACACACAAATTTTTTACCGTACCGTATGTATTCACAAGACGGTGTCTGGTGGCGGCTCTGTTCTGTCGCATGTGTTTATTATTAGGAGGGACTGGAAGGCTCGCTGCGAGTACACAAAATGCAAACGCCTCATCGAATGCATGTGAACAGACACTCATTCACATGTGATGAGTGTACTTCAGGACTTCCCAGGAACCCATTCTTTCCATCCATTGCTGGGCGTGTCTCACGTGCGTGTGGTTCGCAGAGGGACTCCGCAGCAGCACAACCGCCAGCTGTCGTGCTTTGCTGCTTGCCCAGGTGTAGACGTAGACAGCCCACAGATGGAGCGGTCAAGCCCTGGAAAGATTCCCCAGGCACAAGGCTATCCAGGGTCTGGATTAATCCTTTGGCCGTCTGTTGGCACGTTTCCGCCTGCATCCAGATTGATACACGGATGCAAGATCGCGGGAATGTGTTACAGATTGCCCGTCGCAGAGCATGTGTAGAGTACATCACTGCACTTTAGGCGCTGGCGGCAGTATCTAGCGATCCTGCATCCCGTTGGACGGATGGAATGCGCTTCAACGTTGAGTAGAAGGAGGACAAGATATGTAGCTCAGCAGTGCCGGCACCAGAATTATCGATCGACTCACTGACGCATAACATTGTAAGGACTTAGGCAATCTTGGTCCGGTGGTATACTATTCATTCATCAAGGTAAGATGACTCGTCTGAGGTAAAACGCTGTGATCACCTCTTGTAACTCGGTATATGTCGCCCCTTGTAGCTTGGTGTATGTTAAAGGACCCCTCGTGCCCTTCTGGCGATCGACCGCTGCGCTCCGCCACGAAGATCGAAGCGCACGCCAGCCTCCTAGACAGAAAGAATTTGAGATGAATGCGCCAGAGATCCCTCAGGTACGCAACGCACGCATCGGGTTGTCTTATGGTTCAGGGCCCAACCGCTGGAGTGGAGTGCAGCCTGGACCTCGCGTGCAATTCAATCCACATCGACTCCTTATATTAATCAACAGGAGTTTTCTCATGCGTGGCCGAACGTACTTTTGTTCGACCGTCACTGTGTGAGAATGATTCCACGTCAGCAGCACATGAGATTATATGCTGGAATGAGTGACGTGGAGTGAACCCCAGAGGCCGTTGAGATTAAACCGTGTGGAAGGCTGGAAATGGTTTAGCCGGGCGTAAAACGCCGTTGCTTGGGCGATGGACTGTTGTTCCCGGCCGCTTGGATGATGACGCTGCGGAATTTGCGACAAGCCAGCCATCCTGAGCGTTGGATTCGCCAGCCTGGAGAAGAAGCTCATGCACCACCTGCTGCCACACGCATTAGTCCCGCTTTGCCAGCACTGCACTCGCTGCATGCATACCACGCCCAACTGGATCTCTCCCAATCATTGTTACACCGCAATACTATCGCTATCCTGTTGACTCACGCCTGGGGAGACCACTCTGCCATATCAAACCGGACCAGTCGCATACTGATACGCACGACTGTTACAACAACGAACACTCATTCTCGACATCGGACTTATCCTCCCGAGACCGCTGCTCTTACGAAGACCTCTGCGACGGATAGAGTTACGACCAAGGAGGAGGAGGACCCCGGGGGCACAGATCTACCGTCCAACAGCAAGACGAGTCACCATGATATCGTGATCGACACTTCCTGTATGAGCTGCGCGCAAGCCAAACACATTCGGCAAGATTACTGGAGAGCGCAAAGATGTCCACCAATGGCTTGTCGCCGCCAGGCACGTCGACGTATTCGAGCGACAACATGTTCGTGGGGGATGGCACCTGGGACAGTGAGCGCAATAGCTTCCTGTTGCCAAATCTCCAAGGCCTCAACTTCGCGATGATGCAATATAATGGCATGGGCAACCGCTTTCGCGACCTACCTCAGTATCATGTCCTGATCATTGGACATGGCGTGCTTGCAGCAATCGTATTCATTTTCATGATCCCAGGAGCCATCTTCATCGCCAGATTCTGGCACTCGAAGAGTCGGCAGGCTTTCAAGCTCCACGTGTATATCCAAATTCTCGTCGTCTTCCTGAGCACAGTCATACTAATACTGGGATGGTTCGCGGTCGGTCCGGAGAGAAGTCTGACAAATCCTCATCATGGCATTGGTGTGGCGTTATATGTGTGCATCCTGGCTCAATTCCTCTGGGGCTGGTTGATGTACAAACACGAACGCAAAAGGACAAGTCCTCCGATCAAGCTGCCACTACGCATCCACATTCACAGACTCTTCGGCCGTTCGATCGCCATTCTTGGGTTCGTTCAGATTGCTCTTGGGCTTACCCTTTATGGTTCGCCGAAAGCATTGTTCGTTCTCTATGCCTTGGCTGGAACCATACTTCTATTCATGTACATGGCGCTGGCGTATTCGGATATGAATCGCATACGCGCAGGCGACCATCATCGGCCACCACCATCCGAAAACTACACTGATTACGATGGAAGCTCATATACCGCGACACAGACTGCAGCAACGACACAGGGTGGCAGGCCGCCGCGCAAGGAGGAGTCACATTGGGGAAGAAACTTATTGGCTGCTGGCGGAGCACTAGGTGCTTACCAGTGGTACAAAAACCGACGCGATAAGACTAAACAGAGCAAGGACGATCGCTACACCCAGCGACCTGACAGTAGGCTGTCTCGTCCATCGTCAGGCTATGACTCACGATATCCGGGTACTCAGTCACGACCGCCTGGCCCACAAGGACCCTACGGAGAGCCATCGCAGTATGAATCAACGTATGGTCCTTCATACGGTCCATCGGGACCATCCGGCTTCGGTCCGGCTCCATCGGGATACGACACCGGTAGACCGTCAAGCCGCGGGAGCCGCCGCGATAGGCGAGGTTCACAGAGTCCCTTATCGGAGGACACTTGGATGCGGAGCGAAGAGGATGAAAAGCACGGTCAAAAACCCGCTACAAATACGTGGCGAGATCGCTTCCTTGGAGCCGGCGCGGGTGTTGCAGCTCTGATTGGCGCCAAAAGCCTGTTTGATCGCCGCAAGAATCGCGAAAAGGGCGATCATGACGGTTATCGACCGCCGAGAGGTGGCGAACATAGCATGGTCAGTCAAACTGACGTTTCGCGAGTCGAAGCCGGACAAGCTCCGTTTTCGCCGCCTCGTGATCGAAGGTATCAAGAAGTGCAGTCAGACACTTTGACGCCCATGAGTCCATCCCGGTTAGCACCAAAAAGAAGACCGAGTGTCTATACCCTTGATGAAAGTGATGACGAAAGTCACGTTCCGAGGCGTCGACCTGGTGCCGGTGAAGATAATACACTCAAAGCTAGCATTGCTGCTTTAGGTTTCGTCGCTGGAGTCCGTGAATGGAACAAGAATCGCAAACAACGGCAAATCTCAGAGCAGGCAGAACGAATACGCCAGCAAGAGATTGAAGAAGAGCGACGCTACAAGCGCAACAGCTCCCACCATTATCCCTTGCCCGAGCATGCACAGGGCAGAAGAACCAGCATGTCGGGCACTCTCATGACAGGCCCGGAGCCTACCATGGGGAGCAACCCAGAATTATCACGGCAGAACTTCCGTCCTGACACATTACAGCCACCGCTACCCATCGGAGCAGGCGCCATGTCTCCTGTCTCGAATCCTATGGCGAGCACCGCAAGCCCAGTAGCACCCATGCATCATGGAATCGGGGCGCAGCAGCAATCGCCGATCTACAACCCTCCACCGCCGCCCTTGAGTCAGCCCGCGAACACGGCCCGACCGAACGAATATCAGGCGCCGCCACCCGGGTCATTACAGATGCCTCAAGGTGCCATCAATCCAGACCCTTCACGACTACTCTCGCAGGAATTCGTCCAAAACAGCTCCAGCAATCTAGCAGGGACTGCATTAGCTGCTGGAGCCCTCGGTGCCGCTGGTGGTGCCGCCGCCGCAGCGCACCCAAGACCACCGTCGCATTCATCCCCACGCTACAACGACTCGCGCACTCGCCTGACGCAGCCCAACCGCCAATCGAGTTTCGGATCAAATTCCATGTCACAGCTCAATCCCAGTGCAGCCGGGCCCTCCACAGCTTCCGGCTTACCTGTGAGCGTGAAAGTCAAAATGCACAACGACGGCCGTCACGTCACGCTCCGCCGGCTCAACGAGCAAGAAGCTGCTGCCGAGCGAGAAGCACGACGGGTTGGAACAGACGCGGGTGGCAATGGCCGCCGTGCGCGACGGGGTTCGAGTCTAAGCTCAGGCGGCGAAGATGCCGGCGCTTCACGATTCCGACGCGGCAGCAACGCCATACGACCATCAAGTCAACAGCCCATCGCCGCAGTGCCACCGCCGCCCTCCATGTCGTCTCCCTCGGCAGCCGGGAGCCAGCGACCACCCTTCGCATCAGACCTGCCACTGCCAACAGCCGGCTCAAGTCGAATCCCTCAGGCATCGGCGTCGCCGCCCATCGTCGGTGCACCGGGCCTGCAGCAGCAGCCTGTCTCTCCGTCACCCCACCAGGGCCTGTCCCCCGCGCCAGGGCCCGCGAGCAGCGGAGCGATCGTCAGTCCCGGAAACATCACCTCTGATGTCGGCACAGGGACAGACGTCAGTGCTTTCGACAACAACCGCCGTCGGCGACGAGCGGAACGAGCACGACGGGACGCCGCGGCCAAAGGCGCGCGGGTAGAATTCGAGTAAGCCGATCTGATGCGTGCGGGCGGTGCGAGAATCCGAAAAGTTTGATGGATGATCCTTGGTGTTTGCTTTGGCATCGGCGTTTACGGAAGAAGGGGGTGCGATACCTGTACGCTTGTGGGACAAGGTTTGCTTTTGTACAAAATCGATGGGCGGACGGAGCTGGACGAGATGAGACGCGCGATATGAGCTATGATACCTGATCGACTACATCCGTAGACGTCTTTATATGCATTGAAATTTAACTGGACATTGACCGCCCGAACTCTCATAGGCCCTCTTACGTATATCGAGTTGTCTGATAATCTGTAATTGTGATCCGTTATACTTTTCATACCTTGACATGATCTACCTCATCGCAACTGTCTATCACTTTAGTATCCACCGTATGTCTCCGGCGGCGGTCCATACCCTTTAGCTTTCTTTGACCCCGGCCATTCCTGTACGAAGTCCTTGATCTGCCGAATCTCTGCCTTCTGCACGGCCGCCACGCCGGCATTCACGGCTCCGTTCGCCATGATCAGATCAGAGCAGTGGATTCCACCGGGGACGAGATTCACAGGGACCCCGGCCGTACTCTTCAGAGGCCCGCCCGGGCGAGATTCCGCAGACACGGAAGCCTCGCGCCAGGGGTCGTATTGGCCATTGGTGAAAACGAGCCGGCTCGTGTTGACGTGGTTCCAGCCGCCGGTATATGCGTTCACATCGGCTTCGGTCCTGCGGGCGGAATTGAATGTCTCGCCGTTGGGACCGGTCGGGAAGTAGAGCGCGCATTGTCGTTGGAAGTATGCGGGCGTGATCAACCGGGAGACGATCGAGGGGCGGCCGGCGGGAGCTCCACCCTGCCAGTAGCCGAAGGGCTCGTTACAGAGCATCCACTGCCATTGCCGGTCGAGAGTACTAGCCATGCTCATATCGGTAAAGACCGGATTGCTGGCGTTGTAGGAGTCATAGCATTCCGCGGTGTATTTGCCCTTGAAATAGCCAAGTATTTCGCAGCTGCCTGGGAAAAAGACATCCTTCCACCATGTAGCAAAGCCATCTAAAGCCTTCACCAGCCCGACACCCTCTGCGCTAGGCAAAAGGGCTTGGTTTGTCTGATTGACCGAATTTTCGACATAATCACACCATTGGTGGAAGCCGGACTCCTGATAGAATTGCTCATCTTGTCATGGTCAGCTGGTGAATTTTGACACGTTCAAGGGAAAGCTCACATTGCCACAGCCACGGTGCGGTTTCAAGCGCAGCCATGAAGTCGTCGTTGTGCTCAAGGCTCTCCATTCCGAATTTGGCCTTGAGATCATACTGCTCTTTTGCAGTACCATGGACAAGAACATTGTCCATGTAGTCGATCACATTAGAAACATCGCTGCTACAGTTCTTTGGCATACCCTCTTGCACGGGTACGAAATATGTCCATAAGTCAGAGACGGCTTCAACCACCGCGCTGCTGGCCAAATACGCCCAGAACGTCCCCGGAGCAACGCTCTCCGTCCATGCGGTCAATGCACCTGCATAAGATCCTCCAATCAAGACCCATGGAACAGCATCGGCGTTGGTGCTTACTCGCGGATGGGCAAATGGCAGCTTGACGTTGTTGGCGAAGTTGGTCAGATCTAGGATGCTATTCTCCAAAGTGAGATATTGCAGGTTAGCTGTCGTGAGCTCGGAGAAAGGGGAACTATAGCCCCAGTAACGGTGTTCGATAGAGATGGTTGCGGCGCCAATCTCTTGGGCGACAGCACCGGGAAGAGAGGCGTTGCTAAGCCAGAATGGTGCGGAGCCGCTGGCGTTGAATTCGCCGGGTGTCGTGATCTGTAATTAGGAGAGAATATTAATGATATGCATTCATAGACTTTGCACCCCACGGTCAAGAAGCGGGCTTTGAGTAGCGAGGGAGAACATACCACAACCGGAGAACCAGGCCCTTTCCAGAATTCGGTGCTATACCAGTATGCTTGCTCGAATGTTCCGAGTTCAGGTCGTTTATGATCGATGAGCTGTCGAAAAGTGGCATTGCTAACGGTGGTAGCTCCCTTCCTCAAAACATGATCAGGGATCTTCCAGTGACCTTTGTAACCTCTTCCTTTGCCAACATGCTCCTTGTAATCGACTAGGTCGGCAGATGTCAAGGTCGCCAAGGCAAACAGGGCGATATTTGTGAAAGCCCTCATATTGGTCTCGTCGAGGCTTGACCACGATCGTGCACTGTGATCACAGAGAACAATAAAGATCACGACCCTGGTGAATAGTCAACAAAATGAGAATGAGATGGATGGTCTGATCAGAAGCGGCCTCGCGGCACGTCTTAAATAACTTTCATTACTCCCATGAGCCGGCATGTACGCAAACCTTCGGACACCATCGCCACTGAGAGAATGATGACATCTGTGGCATAGGACAATATCGGTGACAAAGTACACGCCTACAGACGTTGCTACACATCCGAACAGGACAGGGCGATGCAACCTGCTACTGGCATAGCCACAGGGTATCTGAATTCCAGTCCCAATTGATCGACGATCCAACAACATGGGAGGAACGAAAGGTGAGGTACAATAGACAGAGCTGTGCTGTGTCGCTACGAAAGTCATGTTCGGCTTGGCTTGGTTGAAAGATCGTACGCGGCTGCGACCGCGATAGACGGAAATGTAGTCCGGTCCTTTAGCTTCTCGGTGCGAGAGAGATGTGATGTCGCCATGGCACTCTTCTGGCAATGCATCTCGCAGGATATCATGGCCGTGCCATCCTCGCTTGACAAGCGGGACCTGTTCCAAGATTGCTTCTGTCATGCTTATGTAAGAGTGCGTGTGGTGGCCGTCACCATATTCATCATTCTAGGGCATGATTTCTCATGTCTTCGCATGGGATCACCTGCGCCTGCATGAAAAGACGTTCCCGCGATCCACGCTTCGAAGGGGGCCCGGGCTTGCAGAAGATGCGTCATGGCAGAAAAGCTAGATGGTACTCGATGGGACGTTGCATGAGGTGCGACGCGTCGAAAAGCAACAGTCTGACACTCCACTATGAAGAGGTCTGGCCGCAGTCGTCAAATGACAGGACATTGCAGAAAGTGATGAGGCGCGGCGACAATTAATTCTTACTGTATGTGATGATGACAGGACATTGCAGAAAGTGAGGCGCGGCAAAAGCCTAAATGGCAGGCGTCATCGTCAGGGCAATCATGCGGTGGTGGGCCTCGATGACCGCGAAGATCATGATGCAGCCGGAAGGTGATTACTATTACAGTATGAGAAGAAGTTCATAGATCCGAGTACACGTTCGGGTCCGCCTATTCATGTCGTAGAGGAAGGCGATCTATCACTTGGACGTAGGCGGTCGACGGGCCGGATATGTGACCGAGTCAGGTTTCCACGTCTCGACCGACGTATGTGCTAAATGACGGCGGAGAAGTTCAGCAGCTGATGGAATCGGCCGGAGGAGGGTTAAATCAGCGGCTTGTGCGCGAGTCAATAGCAACACTGCCAGCGGAATACTGCTGCTCGTTGTCCAGGATCGAAGGGACACGACAGCGCCAATTGACAACGAGTCCCATGGGAAAGAAACGCCCTGAGGTCGAGGTTGTGATGCGTGCAAGTAGGAGACGTTACCTAGGTAGGGTTAGATTTGCAGTCCTGTAGCACTTCGTGCCAGAATCGATGTTGATAATCACGTGATGTTGAAGAAACCCGCGCACGGGCCCATCGAATTCGTGCGAGCTTGGACGGGTCGGCAAGCTTCGGCGGACAACACCTCCCCTACTGCGAGAGCTGTGTTTCCGAAAGTCGCAGAGAAAGGGCCATTGAGATTTGCTACTGTCCACCCATCTCCATCAAAACCACATCCTTCCGGCTTAGCCATGAACTCACTTCGCATTGCCCGCGTGGCGCTCAGCGCCCGCTCGTCGGCGCTCAGGACGACCACCATGCTCAAGCGATCCTACGCCGACGTTGCGCCCGACAAGATCAAGTTGACTCTTGCCCTGCCGCACCAAGCCATCTACAAATCACAGGATGTGTACGTTTGTCTTCGAACACCGAGAGTCTCAGGGAGACCATTGCGCCCGAAAGAGAAGGAACACGGATGCATGGATGGAGAAGCGTTGAAGTGGATAAAAATTATCGAGGGCTAACGATGAACTTCTTTCTCCAAATAGTGTCCAGGTCAACATTCCCGCACAATCTGGCGACATGGGTGTCCTCGCCAACCACGTACCCGCCATCGAGCAGTTGAAGCCCGGTCTCGTCGAGGTCATTGAGGAGTCCGGAGGCAGCAAGCAGTTCTTCCGTAAGTGCTTGGCATAATCTACTCAAACTATGGCATGCTCTGTGGACAAATATGCGAAAATACGATGAGGATGATCCGGGAGTGGATGCGGGAAAATTGTGACTGACTGGCGATATACATACAGTGTCCGGCGGTTTCGCGACTGTCCAGCCCAATTCCGTACTCAGCATCAACGCCGTTGAGGGATACCCTCTTGAGGACTTCAGCGCCGAGGTCAGTTTTCTTTGCAATGCTGACGACTCCCAAATCACACTGACAACCTTGAGTAGGCTGTCCGAAACCAAATCGCCGAAGCACAAAAGATCGCCGGCGGTAGCGGAAGCGAGGCTGACATTGCTGAGGCCAAGATCGAGCTTGAGGTAAGAAGGCGACCAATATTCTTTTTCTGCCGCAAATCCTTGTACTGACTACTTCTTCAGGTCCTCGAGAGCCTCCAGGCCCACTTGAAGTAATCGTCTGGCGTATGTATGTACTGTATACCATCAATTCCTTCGCCTTTAAGGTCATATGCGATCGGATATAGAAAAGAAAATCGACCTTCTTTCTGCCTTGTCTACAGAGCTCCAGGATTTTGGTCTGTGAACGACAGCACCTGCCGCCGCTCTCCCGCGTTTGTGCTGCTATTCGGGCAGTCGCACATCATTTGGGCCTTATGTTGGGCCAGTCACGTCCTTTTCCTCGCTGTGTATCGTTCTTGTCGAGCTTCAAATCACATCCCAGACAAAAGCTTGCTTCTTCCGCTCAACCTACACGAATTTGTCTCCGCGTCGGTAGAGCATGTTGGTGGGTCACTCATTTCATGTTGTATCCTTAGTCCTCAATTCCTATTGAGGGTGATGATCTCAAGGTGCCGAGACGGTAGGCTACATAACCAGCGGTTCACCTCACATCAGTCCGGGATTGCCACAACACACCCAACACGAAGCAATCATGGCGGACTGGAGTCACAAGCTGGTAAGTTCTAACAATTTTCCAGCGAAAGGATCACGTTGACCAGAATGAAGCGCGCAAAACTCTCTCGCACCTCAATAGGCAACAGCAAAATCAGCAATGGCAACGAGAGAGGGTCGACTTTAACCCCAAAAGGCAGCTTGAACGGCTCGTCGCAGAGCTCGAAGGATTCGAAGGATTCGAAGAAGAGTCAGCGCAAGAGTTCCATATCAAGCTCGACGAAAAGCAAGCGGCGCCAGTCCATTTCAGACTCGCTCAAGAGCGTGTATCGCGGAAGAACGAGCCATGCTCACGACTGCCGAGGCCTCGCCGTCTCAGATATGGAGCTCTCGCATGTAAACACACCCGCGGCCGGCTCGACAGGCTCTATCGCGATGGTCATGACTCCGTCGACGTTGTCCCAGCCTGCACACCAGCCTCTGCCACAGCCGTTTGTGGAGCAATTGTCCCCTCAAGACGTCCCCATCAGCCAGCCTCAGGAAGCCCACTCTTTCGATGCGAGCAAGAGCAAGCGGAAGAAGGAGACCTTGAGGATCCGGCTTACCCGCTGGTTGACGGTAGCAAAGACCCGCCACCCTCGCGAGACCCAGCGCTGACCCGAACGGGACATGTGGATGTTGCCGCGCGTGTCCAGGCGTTGGAGCGCCAGAGACAAAGGCAGCAAGAGCTACAGCAACAGCTTCTGAGGCGTGTTCCGTTGGTTATCTCCGCCACGCCACCTCCTGATCCCACCAAGCACAACGCTCCTCTCATCTTTCCTCTACATTATAAGCGTTTTGTGAGGAGAACTAGTCAAGCTTCTCCTGTGCCACCTACAACTGCAGTGCACGTGCCGAGTCATTCAGGGCAGACAGTCTTACAGTCTCCACGACCTTCAAGAATCGTGCCTTTCGTACGGGCTCCTATTGCGAACTTTGCAAAATCAACTGTTCAGCAGAGCAGTCCATTCGAGGCCGCTCCAAATGCTGCTCTTGATCTTGACGACAGTGGCCATGGATGGAACTTCGAGAAACCGCTCCATCTGCGTTCCTACGGTACTCGTAGCCAATGTGTTAGACATGGTCGCAAGGAGTCGAATGTACCTGGCGGCAGCAACGATAAAGTCCGGCCCAGACAACATCAACATGATTCCAAAGGTATTTTTGCTGCGGAAGGGGCTATTCCATGAATGAGAAGTCGTCATTGCGCGTTCGCAGTGGAGTAATGTCGTCAAGTAGCAAGTTGGCTGACATGTGAGACTATTCATGCAGATGCGAATCGACCGGTCTCTGACTTCGATGCCTGTCCAGACTGCGTTGCAGAACATGACATCAAACAGCAGGATCTACGACTTTTGCGAAACAGCAATTTCACCACGGTCATGCGAACCGGTGATATCCAACATACGCCTGCTCGATCAGAAGGACAAGCATCGCCACGACGTGATAATTCGCTCACTCGGAACTTACCTGCTGCTCGAGAAATCGCTTCACAGGCTGCTTCAGACTCCAAGAATCGCGATCAACTCGTGCTCTCTTCCGACCTAGGCGATGACCTCGAAGCAGTGGTTTTCGAGCGCGAAGGGAGGCTGGAACGCCTCATCACCAATTCCCGCAGTGGTCGTCCGACCATGATCCTAATCTCGCGACTCGCTCAGGAGCTTCGATGCGTATCGGACGCCATTGCTGCGCAGAAGGATGAATCACTGCAGGCAGATATTCCTGATCATGGGTCGACACTGTCCAAGTCCTCGGGGAGTTGTCGTCGACCGTTCTTTGAGTTTGATGACTTTCCGAGCTGGACGATGGCCCACGACATTGATACACCCGAGGCTCGCAATCATATATCAGATCATGACAGCCCAGGTGCAGCCATATCTTCAAGAAGGTGGCATGGCCATGATCAGCGCTCGGACTCCGAGGGCGACTCTCTGGAATATCAAGCTCGCGGCCTGAGTCCCGCCTCCGATTCCATTATAGTCGAGCAACGAGACCAGACGATGAGTGACGACGCAGGGACGGGTCTTACCATCGCCGAGAAGAAGTTGCTTCGGGAATATGGGCTGCTCGAGTCGCTATCGCAGTTTCGCAGCCGTCCAGCAGATCGCACCTACGACCAGATCCCCGGACCACCTACCTCGCCTTTGACTTCACCCACACACAACCTCGACGAACACGACCCGACCGCTACCGCACCTCCAGCCCCATCTACCGATGCCCCGCCTCCAGGCGTGGCGATCCCGAGGCCATCGCCCGAAGCCCACTTACTCGACCCGACGACCAGCAGCAGCAGCGGTGCCCAAGCAGCTCCGACTCCGAGCGGCGGCGCTCCCACAGGATCCTCGCAACAGTCGGTTCCCGGACCTAGCACACAGCCTACACCGGCAACCCCCGAAGTCCCCCTCCCGATCAAGCGGCCTACGAGATCCTCCGTCACGAAGGCCGATCACGAGGTCATCCGCACCGCCATCCGGATGCAGCGCTCGTTCGCGACGATGCCGGCTGTCGGAGCCATCCGGACGGCTGCGGCGAAGGAGAGGAGCGAGCGGAGGAGAAGGCTTGCGTCACATCGATTGTCTTGACGATGGATGATGGTGCGTGGATTCAGGTTTGCCGAGATCTGTAGGGCGAACGGAGGATTCGATGGTTGAGGATTGAACGGACAGTGCAACTCTACCAGGTTTTTTTTCTAGGCTTTTGCAATGACACCTAAGCTCAGATCCACCAGCATCAATTTGAGTTTTTCTAAGGGATATTTCTTCACTGTGATAATCATGTGACAGGCGGGAGCCAAGAGATGGAAGGTGTATAAACCATGCTGAACGCTAGTTCTTATTCATTGTCGGACATTGCCCCCCACCAAACCGCACGCCGCTATTCTGTTCGTGAGATCGTATCGATCGGAGTTTCTGGCTCGGCATCTTCATGAGCGGCTTCTGCGCCCGACCGCAGCCCTGCTTCGCCATCGACCGCCGTGGTACCCGAGAGATTCGGATCCTCCTCCTCCTCATCATCCTCGGAGTCGTCTGGGATCACTCCGCCTGGAGCGCCGGATGCATCTTGGTCGGGCTGCACCGTCGGGTCCGCGACAATTCCGGCGGGCATCAGCGGAGGGCCGTCCTCGTCGCTGTCTAATTGCAGGAGATATGTCTCCCAGAGTTCGATGAGCTGTGTGGGGGGGCATGAATTAGTTCTTCAAATCAACTCCGAATATTATGGGCGAAACATCATGGGGGATTACTCACCTCTTTCTGTGCCTCGATGGCGCTCTCCAGGAATGTTTCCACTGCACTCTTGAAATCCTCGACCTTCTCTTTCTCGAATCGATCCAGCTCGGTACGCATCAACCGACCCATGTCCTCGAACAGTAAACGTGTGGCATGAGTCTTGCGCTCCGCATCCGATACGTCGGCCTGCATCTGACTGATGCGATCTTGTTGCGTGCGACCGGCCCGGAGGAGTTTGTCGTGTTGCTTTTTGATATCTTGCAGCTTCTGCTCGGCCGAGTGCCATGAGTGGTAAGACTTCTGGCGCTGCTCGAAGGCTTTCTTGATGGAGCCGATCATGCGGATATACTCGTCAATGACGATGCCGATGGTCAAGATATCCTGCATGGCCTGACGCTGGTACAGCTCCTGTATGCGCAGCTGCAGATCTCCCAGGGCGTCCAACGGTCCGGAGAGGCTTGGGCTGAGCTCTACAGCAGCAAGGTTGTGCAAGGAGACGCTAAAGTCGCCGCAGGAGTCGGATAGGGCCTTCCGCTGGGCGACCACGGTGTCGGTGGATTTTTGGAGCGCTTTGAGCTGGTTCTCGAGGGCATCGAGGTAGATTCTTCGATCGTGGAACCAATCGTCATGCTCGATGAATTTGCCGCCACCAGAACCGACGGACAATCCAATGCTCGACATGATACCTTTGGATTCGCTTCCACTCAGGAGAGGATCCTTGCCATTTGAATGCTTGATGGCGACATTGAATGATTCGCTTTCAAGGAAAGTCTTGAGATCAGCGTCAGTCTGCAGGATCGGGTGGGCTGCGATCTTGTTGATCATGCGCTCGAGAGCCATGCGACGTGATTCGATGAAGTTGGTCTCGAAGCGATTCAAAGTCTGCTTCTCCGGTGGTGGTGGGACCACTACGCCAGGGTTGTTATCGTGCATTCGCTCGTACAGCCACAAGAAATCCCGATATCTCCTGACGACTGTGAAATTTGGATTGGCATACGCTTTCGAACTCGTCCGGGTCATGACGCTGTAGACAGTATGACTGCTGGCGGCATTCCCGACTGTATGTGGGTCACCGACCGTGATGGAGAATGTGGGTTTTGCTGCTTGCTCAATTGCGACCGAAGGCTGAGTCGATCTCGTCCTTCCGTCGTATTGCGCAGGCCGAACCGGCGGCGGTACTCGAGGTCCATGCAGGAAGGCTCGGAGATTCTCATCATCCTCGTATTCCCCACCTCTGCCAGAAGAGGTAGCTGATGTGGCCGTATCGGGGCGAGACGTGACGGGTTGTCGGGTCCTCGAAGCAAGCTCTTTCACGGGCGGCGCAGGCGCAACAGGCTCGGCGACTGGATCCATTCCCAGAGGACCCAGTGGCCCCATGGAGTCATCGAGGCTTTCCAGAGTGGTGGATTGTGTGAGGTTGCCATGACGTCGTGTCGGCCGCGTCTTGGATGGTGCAGGTTTGGCGCCAGCGAGAGAGGTGTGTTCTTGAGTTCGTGATTGCGAAGACGGCGACGATATCGATTCAACGGCGGGGGTGGTATCTACAGAAGTCTCCTGTGACTCCGACAGAGGCTGCTTCTGTTGATCCTCTGCAGGCTGGGACCTCGAAGGTACGTCTGCGCGTGCGAATGATGTCAGTCAGTTGGTGCTGGATGCGCCATGAATGGGATGTAATCAAGCAGCCCACGCACCATTCCAGGGTGAGTCGCCTTCGTCCATTGTGTTGCCCCAAGGGTTGTCGTTGGTATTGAGTGTATGCGCCATCTTTTTCCCGGATCTGCGTGCGAGACTGGTAACCACTTCAGGACCCCCGAAATGCAGCTGCTTCCCACTCGCTGCAGCTGACGATTTTGGCGGTGGTAGTCCCCGGCGGTACTGTAGCTTGATGTGGAGGCACAGCCCGCCCGCCTGCCTCGCCTGGCCCTTCCGGAAGCACTTCCGCTTCAACGTGTTGCGCGCAATTGATGGTTCTTATTACAATACTGTAGTCACTCATATATGTCCGAACTATCCTACTGCATCCAGCCATGACAACAGTGATTGATTGCAGTCATACCAAGCTGACCTTTGAGAACTCGGCAATCGAAGTGATAGACGTATTCCCGTAAAAACGAGCCCTTTTGCCTGAGGATCCATGGCACGAATATGACGCGCTCCAGGGCTCCCAATGATGTCCCGAACTCTCTGGCTTCTCAAGCGACGCACGATCGTCACGAGACGCTGCCAGAACGACCAAGCCGACGGTACGCTTGTTCGATATCGACATCGTGCCATGTATTGGCGGCAATCGGGCTTCGGGAAACATTGGCGGCCGATGATCTTATAGTGGTGTTTGTTCCCGCCATTGAAGAACCCTAATTGTACGAGCTTGAGGTCACTTGAGCAGGAACGATTATTCATGATGTCCGTTATCTCCGCACCAAGCCTCGGATGGTCTCACCATTGACACGACAATGGCATCACATCTCATTCTGCATTGCATTCGGAAGACACATCACATGTGAGGATCTAAGAGTCCATATCTTGACTCGATCCGGTCTTCGAGGTTCTGTTCAACCATCCCTCAGCCGCTGCGGGACGAAAAGATCTCCCGCGTTTTGAATCATCCTTGAACTCGTCGAAGGATAATCACTGGTCTCCGCATCTCATATCTCTCACAATGGTCTCCGCCAAACCTGTAGCGATCGTAGTAGGAGCCTCAAGAGGAATCGGCCGCCAGATCGCCGTCGACCTCGCAAAGAACGGCTATGCGGGTTAGTCGTTTTCCCCAATCCTCTGACAACAACCCTGACCGACAAGGATCACACTCATGCCGAGTTCAGCGACCAATTGAAGAATCACGTATTAGGAAAACAGCTGGCTGACAGGAAGCTCCTTATCAAATACCGACAGTCGTTGTAGCAGCCAAAACCATCTCCGACCCCAATTCGACTGCGCCCTTCCCTCCCGATCCCAACTCCTCGGCCTCGACCATCACCACCGTTGCTCGCGAGATCACGACAGCCGGCGGCGATGCCTTGGCCATCCAGCTTGACGTGCGCTCTGCTGATGACATCGAGGCCGTAGTGAAGCGCGTGGCGCAGCAGTATGGTCGCATCGATGTGCTTGTCTACAACAGCGGGGCGATCTGGTGGTCGAGTGTTGCCCAGACGCCGATGAAACGCTTCCAGCTTATGCAGCGGGTGAACATCGAAGGCCTCTACGGTATGGTACAGGCGGTGTTGCCGCACTTGTATCGAAACGGAGACGGGAAGAAAGGGGCGGGCAGGATCGTGGTCGTGAGTCCGCCAGTGTACAGTCGGTTCTTCCGCGGCAAGACGGCGTACGCGATGGGTAAGGTCGGCATGTCAGTGTTGACGATGGGCCTTGCGATGGACTTTGAGCGGGAAGGGAGGAGCGATACCATGGCGATTTCCAGCATCTGGCCGGCGGCGGTAAGTGCAAACATCATTCTTTGCCCCATCAACGACACTTCACGGGAGATTGTGTTGCACCACAGGATCATCACTGACGACGGGAAACATGATCACCACCTAGGCCATCAACTCCGCAGCGACGCAGAAGAACCAACGCCCGGAGCAATTCGAGGAGATGCAGCGGCAGCTCCGCCGCCCCGAGATCTTCTCGGACGCCATCCTCGCCATCCTGCGGGCGCCGACCCCGGACGTCAACGGCAAGACCTTGCTGGACGAGGATTTCCTGCGCGACCACGAGCACGTGACCGATTTCTCGAAGTATGCCCTGGTGCCGGGGACGACGCCCAGGCGGATCATGCCGGAGGCTTTCCCAGACCTGCGCGTCCGCGAGCAGGACGATGAAGGAAACCGGGTGGACAGTGTGGAGTTGAGGAAGAAGGCGAAGCTGTGAGGGAGGGAAGGCTTGTGGGTCTGTGATGCATGTGTACTAGGGTTGGGCATGTGGTTAGGGTTGTGGTTCTGGCAGATTGTGGTTCTTGTTCAAGGCATAAGTCAATGATGTAAACGAGTGTTCGCGGTTTACCACCATCAGTTGAAGACTCTTTGGACGTGGTAATGACGACGAATGATGGCCACAGTGACTGAATTTCTCACCGGACCACCAATCTTCCCTTGATGAAATGCTGGCAATTTCCACCTCCCGGCTTCGTTGACTAAAATCAAAGCCTTACTGCACAGCAAAGGGCTGTCCCGCGTAAGGTATTGCTTCTGGAAAACAGCGGGTATAGTAGCCTGAAAAGGACTGCCAGCATCGAAGTCAATCCCGCTTAGTTCGTTGAATACATCATGGTGTGTTGAGCGATGGCAGAAGGCCTTTTGCGACACCAGAAAGAGATGATGGACATGGATAACCCTAGGGCCGTGGTGAACCCTGGAATAGAGGCTTCGCAACAACCGTGAAGATCGGAGTTGCTCGAGGCTTGTTATTCCAAATTGACACTCGATGCTGTAGTGTCAGCGTGGCATTTCAAGGACATACCCACAGCAGGTGTCGGCGAGAGACTCTCGCAGTCCTTTCGAACATCACCTGCATGACTTCTGCGCGCTGCAGCTGGGATGACTAGCGGCGTGAGGATATTGATAATTATAGCCCGGGTCAACTGTGCGCCAATCAGATTTGGACTGTGCCTGAAGGCATCCTCCTCTCTCCCCATGTTTCCTGTGTGTTCGCCCCGATCATTTCATGCATTGCCTGTTCTATCGTGGACGAGGCTAGATCTTGCTCTCCGCAAAGGGATCGTTCTCTCTGCCATGTCCAGAAGAGAGGGTGTGGTCAAGAGCACAAAGAAAGTAGGTATGTACATAAATTGGAAATACTCCGCAGGCCGGTCCAATCGTTCGCTTTCGGTACCACAATGCCATTTGCTGGTCGGCACGTGTTTTTGATAGGGCCATGTGGGATTTCTATCGTGTGGGTGGCGCGGGCGGAGGGGATCGCGAGGATTTCCAAGACTTCCAAGGTTCTAGTGACCGTGATACAATTTGGAAGGCCTGACGCTTCTTCATCACCCAACAAGGCAGGCGAGAGCAGCGCCGATTGGGAAGCCCGGTGGGTGCTGGATTGCTGACCTGCGCCGTGCATCGTGCGCGTCTTTGCCCTCGCCAGCGATGCGGCGAGGGCACTGCTGCAATGCAATGATGGGTCTGCCTGCATATGCAGCAGCATATCGACATCGCTCACCAACACCGCGCGCAGAATGATGTGGCACAGTCTCGAGTAGCATCACGAAGGCTCGGTGATACCAGAAATAACGTGATGGATTCGGTTTGCATCGCAGATAGATACTACATGTATGTAGTAGGCAGGCGGGCAATGGGCTGAAGAATCGAGGAGCCTGCGCCACCACCACCAGTAGGCCCAAGATCTGTGAGGTCAGGAAATATACAGTACACTGCACACTGGTGTCCTTCGCTCAAACCTCCGTGCATTGACTGCTGTCGGCGAAGCGAGGAGAGGGATGCGAGAGGCGGTCCTGATGACTGCCCGCTGGCTGATCCAACGACCCCAAGCATTGGGCTGTACAATGGACAACCACTACCCAGACACGGACGCCTTCACGTACAGAACATGTACGTACATGTCCACACCCAGACCGCGCCACCAACATCAGCAGCAGCAGCAGCAGCAGCAGCAGCAGCATCATCATCATCTCCAAAGAAACCAGCCATCGACACAGGAAATCCTCAAGCGGGTTGTCGTCGTCCACCCAATGATCGGTCCGAACTCTCCGCTCGGCCACGTCTATCTTCGCACATGTGCTGGGAATAGAGTTGTTGAAGATCATGTGTCAATGGCGGCGGGATCGGGTGCCATGAGGTGAGATGAGAAGAGATGATGGGATGGTGGAATGCTGGCACTGATTTGACAGGCGGACAGACGGACAGACAAACGGGCAAGACAGGGCAGGGCAGCACGGCGCAGGGCAGGACAGGCACACACCCACCGCGGAATTAGCCTCGCCCAACTATTTTCCCGCCCAATTCTTTTTTTATTTGGCTTTATTGAATTCTTCCCCTTTCCGGGCGTCTGTGGGTACAGAGTTGGCGCCTCATTTTCCTCCGGCCTATCCGTTCCTCGCTTGAACATGCATTATTGTTATTATTATCATCATCTTTGCTATTATGATCGTGACTAGTCACCACCACAATCGGATCTTGCGCGGATGATGGTGCGATCAGGAAGTGTAGGGAGAATCGCAACGGAAAGGGTGTCGCAAAGATACCTAGGCATGCATGTTCATCACACACACATGGTATCGTATCGTAGTCGTTACACGATTGTCGTTGGCGAATCCTGGTTTTCATCATTACCTATTGTCATTGTCACTGTGACTTGGAAGGTGGTGATGATCATTTTCGGTAACGCGTCCAACAACACCTTGAACGAACCATTTCTGTGTTGGACTACAGCGGCTGGAGGAAACCTCGAGGCCCAGCAGCAGCAGATCACTTAGCTCTATGAGATTTATTAGTGGTGGTGGATTCCTCTCGCACCCACCCACCACATCACCAGTCTAAGCACTGTAACTACTAGGTAATCATCACTGCGCCTGCCGAGAATACACCACCACCACCGTCCAAACTCATCTGGGCCGTTGTGACTGTCGGCCCCATCGTGCCGCGTCTGCTGGGCGCTCCATAAACCGCCAGGAGCTTTTCTTCCGACCAACAACCACCAACCCTGCGGCGGCTCCCATATCATCACACAACGGTCGGCCACACTTTTTCTTACCATTTTCTCCCCGTTGTGCCGTGAAACGTATCCAGCGCACACACACACACACATCACCACCGATCAGGAAATCCGTCATCTGCGCCAAAGATCCACCACTTCCGCGCCGCAAACCTCGCCTCGGAGCTTTGGATCCTTGGATGCCATCTGATCTCTTTCTTCTTCCAGTCGACCGGCGACTACTTCACCAACCGTCCACCCTGGCTTCCATCCTTCTGCCCATCCCATGCCGGCCCATCCCTCGCCGATCTCCTCAAATTCTCAAACGTCGGCGCAGCAGCACCAGCAGCAGGCATCATATCCAACGACGCGGCAGGCATCATGTCCAACGACGCAGCAGGAATCATGTTCGACACGGCGCCCTCACCACTTCCTCCGCAGCTCCTCGAACGACGAGCAATGACGTCCACGTCGTCTAACGCGCCGGTTCCGACCAACTCGCCAAATGCAGCGACGCCCACGGTTCCCAACAATGGAACCACCCCGGCGACGACGCTCATGACAAGTACCTCTGTTCCGACGTCAACGGCTTTGCCAGTCCCTTTCGACCAAAGCCTCAGTAACAACGTCAGCAGTTCATGTGACAGATTCTTCGACTCCTTCCTGGCCGATCCTGCCTTTGTCAATTGCACGCCGCTCTCGCTGCTCCTCGGGGTATGTCGTCAACTTCCAGAGAGAGAGATAGAGAGAGAGAGAGTGAAATCAATCGATCGCCCAGATCCCGATGCTAACATCCACCTCTTTGTATCAGACATCGGTCTCCTTCTTTCGAGCTCAGAGAGCCCCCGCTCAACTCAACCAGATCCTCGACGCCAGCTGCAAGGTCGCCTTCCCACAATGCTCCGCTCTAATGTCCAAACTGGGCCGACAAATCCAAGAGTCCGGTTCCTGCGGCGACGACTACCAGAAGCAGAACCCCACCGTCCTGAGGGCGTACACGGGCTTCATCACCTATGAGCCCATGTACCACGCCGGCTGCCTCCGGCAACAGAGCAACTCCTCCTCCTCCTCCTCCTCAACCAGCGGCAAGGCTTCCAACAGCACCACCAGCTCATACTGCTTCACCGACGCCGCCACCAACAACGCGTCCTTCCAGGACAACTACAACTACTACCTCCCGCTCGGCGTGCAGCTCCCCCCCGACGTCAAGCCCACCTGCAGCCAATGCTCGCGCGACACCATGGCCCTCTTCGCCGCGTCCGCGAGCAACAAATCCCAGCCGCTGAGCGTCACCTACAACCCCGCCGCGCGCCTCGTCAACGGCGCCTGCGGGAACAACTTCGTCAAGGCCGACGTGCAGGCCTCATCGGCCGCCGGCGCCGCGACGCTCGCCGGCCAGTCCGGGGTGTTGACCGCGGTGACGCTGGCCGTGGTCCTGTGGAACATGACGATCTGATCTGAACTTTCTCCGATCCAGAAATTTCCCTTTTGGACCGGTTTTGACTCGCTTGCATCATCCCGATGTTTTCGAAATCGCTCGAAATTTCTCTCTTTTCCTTTTCGGTCCCTTTCATGTGCGCGGAGAAACGAGGAGACGAGAGGCGGGGAGGGCAAGAAATCAAGTGCTGATCTGGCCATCCCCCCCGCTCATTGCTCATTGTCTTGAATCTTTTTGTTTGTTTTCGGGTCGGCGTCCTTATCTCCAGACTCATCACTACCGTCCATCCCTCATCCATCACATCACATCACATCACACACACATACCAGCGGGGGAGTTTCCCGCCTTTCATTGTCTACTTTTTCTTGGGGAGTTCCATCGCGATCCAAGGGCGTTGTCTTTTTTTTTTGGCGGGGGGCTTATGGGAGAGGACGAGATCACCATCGGCGTCCCGCAGGTTTTGGTTTTGGTTTTTTGTTTCACCCATGAGTGTTTTTGTTTTCGTTTTGCTTTTGTCTGTCCGTCTGTTTGGTTGGTTGGTTTGGCGGGAACAGAAAGAAAGAGAGAGAAAGATACCCATACCCATGATCGCGGTCGCCGATCAGCAAATCTGGCGGGCGAATTTTCCTTCGTCATCATCATCATCATCATCGTCATCGTCATCGAATAGAGCGAGCGAGGGAGCGAGGGAGGGACTGGGTTTACCACGGCGTTTCTTCAGTCGGGAAAAAGGGAAGGGTGGCTGGAAAGGAAAATGGAAATCTGTGTTTGTGTGTGAGAGAGAGAGAGAGAGAGCAAAAGTACCTAACAATCCATCTCCCTTCTCGCCTCCCTTGAGACGCAATGACTACTCTGTACAGTCCTGTCCTGTCCTGTCCTGTCCCGTCCTGTTCTCACATCCTTTCGTTGTGTCGTCATGTGTGATTCCCCCCGTCGAGCCCGTTTTTCTTTTCTTTTATTTTGCTTGACTCCCTCCCTTCCTTCCTTCGCTGGAATGGCGGCCCCCCTCGAAAAAGAGGCAAGACATCCGAAATGCCTTTCCCCCCTCCTTTGAGCTCAGCTCTGAATCACCTACTATTCATGCGAGACACACACACACGCACACATGAAGATCAAAAACCAACCAACCAAACGGCAGGTCCATCCCCGAGAGTTCGGGATTTCGCGAGAGCGTGGTGCGGGTGGCCGTGCGGGTGGCCGTGCGGGTGGACGTGTGTAGCGAGGATATTGCGAGTGTGAGAAGAATATGATAAGAAGTCCGAAGTACGATCAAGGAGTACGATCAAGAAGCAAGAAAGAAAGAGATAAGAATGAAGTGAGAGGAAATGTCTTTGGAGAATAAATACACGGGGCGAAAAAGGTGCGAAGGGAGAAAATCGAGCGGGGGACGACGATGACGGTGATGATGGATGGGCTCATCCATCCTCTCATCCATCCTCTCATCCTCCCTCTCTCTCTCTCTCTACCTCTCTCTCGCCCTCTGGCTCTGACGACGGCGACGTTCTGGCGACGCTGAATTCGACCACGAGAAAGCCGAACAAATAAACAAATAAAAGACAAAAAGATGGGAGGAGGGCGTCCCATCCCATCCCATCCCATCCCATCCCATCCCATCCCATCCATCCAGAAATGACCAGAACGCCGTTCCCCCCCGAGAAGACAAAAAACAAAAAATCCCAAACGCCCAGAAGTATGCGGTTCGTCCTCCCCCTCCCTCCCCCGGAGACATATGATAGAAGATGATGATGATGGTGGCGGTGTTTCTCGGGACGGACAGCAAATTCCGCGGAGATTCTCGCGTCTTTTTCTCCGGAAAACGCCTCCCGAAAAAACATTGTGGAAAAATGGAGAGAGAGAGAGAGAGAGAAAGTGGGGTTCGTTTCGTGATCGTCGTAAGCGTGAAGTCCGGTCCCCTTTCCCGTCCGAGATGCTCCCTCGTGTGTGTGTGTGTGTGTGTGTGCGGCCACCGGGGCTGGTGCGGCCTTTTCTTCTTCTTCTTCTTCTTCTTTCGTTGCAATTCGTTTCGATTCCCCCCTGCCGTTGCTGGCTGTGGGGGAGGGAAGATGGAGACGGAGATCTCTGGGTCGGGAGGGGGTTATGTTTCGCTCGTGTGGGATTCCGTTTTCATCGTCATCGTCGTCGTCGTCGTCATCATCAAAAGCAGTAGACGGCGCTGTGTAGAGTCAGATCCGACGGCCGTCGGGCTGCTGCTGCTGCTGCGGGCGCCGTCGTGTTGCTGCCGTGGCGGTTCTTGCGCGGACGGGGGAAAGGCTTGGAGGAGGAGGCGGCGCTGCCCTTGTCGGCGGGGAGGAGGGTCAGGTCGGCGGCGGCGGCGGCGTCGACGAGGGAGATCTCGGCGCTGCCCTCCTCGGAGGCGGAGGCGGTGGCGGACGAGGTCTGCGAGGGGGAACGGGTGAGGCGGGAGGCGCTCCGGACGCTGGTCGCGGACGCTGCGGCGGAGGAGGGCGTCGCGGCGGCCGCGATGGGGTCGAACCGGTGCGAGCGGTAGCTCGGCGGGGGCAGGGCCCAGTCGTCGAGGGCGCCCGTCTTCCAGTTGATCTTGACCCGGCGGCCCGCGTGGACGAGCACGTCGCTGGCGCGGGGGGCGTCGGCCGGGAGGACGGGCATGCAGCGCTTGATGTAGCGTTCGATCTGGGCCGGGGAGCGGTTGTGAGGGGGCCGCCATTTGCCGTCGGCGCCGAAGTTGGTCGAGGGCGAGGCGTGGATGGTCTCGACGCTGAACGTCGAGTCGATGGTGGAGGTGGTGGTCTGTCGGAACACGGACGGCCGTCGCGAGGCGGAGGGATCGAGGGTCGCGAGCGGCGAATCTGCTTCGTCGGCCGTGGCGGGGACGGAGCCGGACTCGACCGTGCTCTCCTCATGCATGGCGGAGAGGTCGATCTCCTCGTCCTCGTGCGTCGCCGACGTGGGTCGCACCGCCGTGCCCTCCGGTCGGACGACCTGTGCCCGATCCGTTTCCGATGCCTGGCCCGCAAGTTGAGGGTAGAGCTCGCGCAGGATGCGCTCCTGCTGAGCGAGGATGGCGGGGTTCTCGAGGATGCCCGCCACCGCCTCCAACGTCCGCGATTGGCGATTCCGCCGCCGGGGGACCGTGCATTGCCTGGGGATGCTCCGCTCATCGAGGTCCATGGAGATGTCGATGGCCGCGGCGAGGGCATGGACCAACCCGTGGACGGTCTCTTCCTCGGCGTGCGCCAGGAGGATCTGGTCCGCCTCGACGCGGAGGCGCAGCAGCGATTGCTCGACGGATTTGAACAGGGACGGATCTGTCCGCCAGGCTTTCCGCCAGGCAGCGGCCGGGAGGAAGTGAGCCAGGCGACTCTGAGGGACCAGGATGGAATACTGCGTGTCCGATGCGAGGCCGACCTCCGCGTGCTGGAGGGTGTAGGTCCGCAGCGCCTTGCCGGCGCTTCCGTCCTTGCGCGCTCGGTGGAGGACCAACGAGGTCCCTCGGAGCACGAGGATCACCTCCTTCCAATCCGCCTCGGAGATGTCGTGGAGCGGGCTGTGGGACTCTACACGGAGCAGCATCCTGGCTTCGTAATCGACGGTGCACGTGTAAGCCGGGAGCGGGTCACGGCGATCGGATCGCGGCCTCGGGGAGGGGAGGCGCGCTCGAACCGCGTTGGCATATGTCGGCGGGACATCGTTCGAGGGCGAGCATGAGGTCTGGAATGTGTTGTAGTGACTGGTCGGTCTGCGGGCTGATCGCGCCGCGGACGGTCGCGCCCGTGCAGGCGTCGCGGCGACCGAGGAGATGATGTCGCTGGTGGATGAAGCGATGACCGACTCCATCTTGGCTATGACCCGGGGACTTGGGTTAGTTGCTCGGTAGCCGGGCGTCGAGATGCAATCGTGGCGGCAGCGGATGGCGACCCAGCCAGATCTCTGAGGTAATGTACAAGATGCCCCGAGAGAGTGGACCCGGATGAGGCGAGGGTATCGATCAATCGGTTTTCGAGCGCAGAGCTTCCACGCGGAGTTGCGCGATCATGAGCGTGCCATTGGAGTCGTCGATCGCTGGTCGTCGATGAGCGATTGAGGTGGCGGCGAGGGAGGCACGACGAGGTTCCGAAGGTTCTATCGAGTATTTGGACGATGTTATGAGGACTCGAGTATTTGGATGAGGTGTGAAGTATCGTGGGTCGTGGGTCGTGGTGGAGGGATGTGGGTGATGGGAGCTGAGCAAAGTTTGGTACTGGACGTTTTCGAAGACGGAGGAGGCAGCTGTGGATATTCAACCAAATCGACGGTGGAGGTGAAGCAGGAGGAGGAGGAGCAGGAGGAGGAGGAGGGGCGGGTTATCATGACGAACTACAAGGGTTCACCAGGCCCGAACGATGGGTTGTCGTTGTACATGTACACCACACCACTGGGGACCGCACTGGCGCGCAGACCCGGACTGTTCCTCAGCGGGAAGAGAGAGAGATAGATAGAGTGAGGGAGAGAGACCAATTCTGCAAAGAGAAACCCGACAGCAGGGTCCGTCCCCCCCAAAGAGAGAAAAAGAGGCGTTCGGATGGCGGATACCGAGCGAGACCAGAGTCAGGTGGACCGCCGGCTAGGACTCTTTCGGGGGCAAAAGGTTCGGTCCAGAAGCGATGGATAGCCGACGGAGGACAGGACAGAACTGATGGGCGGGATCGAACTGATGGGCGGGCAGAACTACTGAACCATCGCGATGATGAGCGGATGGGAGAAGGATACCTGCGACGGTCATAGAAATCGGCATGAGACACGAGGTACCTAGGGATATGTGTGGGAGTCAAGTCATATCATATCGTATATCATAGCCGGGTGACTTCCTGGACTGGTACGTAAAAACGACGAATAGAGCCGGACGGGAAGGTGGTGACGACTACGACGAGAAGAAGAAGAGAAGTGGAGTGGAGGAGTGGTGGTGTGCGGGAGAACACATGGCGAACGAAACCTTTGGTTGGAATGGATGAATGGGAGGAAAAAGTTTGGGGTAGTGTAGGTGTGTAGGTACCTAGTAGTAGTTAGTAGTAGTTCGTAGTAGTGGCAGTAGGAACTGTACTGTACTGGACTGGACGGGACTATACTGTGACTGGTGGTACATTAGACTCTAACACTGTGGAAGCAAGCATATCATCAGGCCTTCCCCGGTTTTTATTTGTTGTTCATTCGGGGTTGGTATGTGTGTGTATGTTTGTTTGTTTGTGTGCGTGTGTGTGTGTGTGTGCGGGTCAACTTGGCTGTCCAGCAGAGAGAGACACATACAACAAGGACGGGACAGTCCATCGCCAAGAAAGAAAGGCCCAAAACATAGTTTCACCTACTGTACTATATGTACCATAGGCACTTAGGTAGGCCAGGTGCACCACTACCCACTGACGACCGTCTCTCTCTCTCTGTGTCTCTCTCTCTCTCTCTCTCTCTCTCTCTCATGCTCGCGTGGCTGCAGGGTTCCCTGGCGTCGTCCCCGTATGGTGTGCGCCATCTCGTCTAGACCCGCCCGCCCGCCC